CTTTAATTGATTTCCATCTGGTATGAAAACTCATCTTGCAAAAACTTAACTTGAGTTAGGTAATCCATCACAGTGAACATCTTGTCTGCATTATTTTGAGTTATGTTATTTTTGTGTGGTAATGCAGTGCAGGCTTTTCAAATCAGTCTGCACTTACAATTGCATTACCAGGAAATAATAAATTAACTTTGACAAAAAAAATAAAAGCTGGCACTATGTGCCCTGTGATGTATTATACAGAAAAAAAAACACATTCAGCAATCTAAAACAGTATGACATCCTTTGAAACCAGCTGACAGTAATGTAAAGTACATGTGAATTGTAGTAATGGGCAAACACATGCAAAAACACTGATATAGTCCTTTTAAAGTCTGCTTCTAATATGGGTATACCAGTGGTATGTTTACAAATTTGCCTGCCACCAGCCTCCATTCCTCCTAAAACTACACCCTGTGTAGAGGGCTCTGGGGGCCAGGCTGCACTGAACTGGGTTGAGTTACACTGGGTAGCTAGCTAGATTGATCTGGCTGCAGTAGCCAGGGGAATATAAAGCAGGGCAGGGGCTTAAAGTCTGAGTCCCCCCAGGGATGAGTCCTCGCTGCATGGGGAGAGGGGCATGAACTGAGCTGCTTCTCCCTCCCTCCCTCCCTCCCTCTCTTTCTTCCTCCCTCCTTCTGCTGTTGTGTCCGTCCATCGAATACCGTTTCCAGCTCTCCTTCCTTCACTCTGGTCAGTCTCTCTGTCTATCTCTTTCTCTCATTCTCTATTGTTTTTTGTCTCTTATTTTCAGCATTTTGCTCTTTCCCTCCATCCTCATTCTCTCTCCCCCCCCCTCCTTGCATCATTTTGCAAGCATATGGGAAAATGAATATTGCTCATGAAGTTCACACCCAAAATGAAACACCATGGCTGATGCTGAGTTTAGCATTTAATCCGTTTATAAAAGAGTTTTTAAAAAAAAAAAAAAACTGGTTAACATCATTCTGTCCACTTGCTGTGATCTTAAAAGCTGGTTTTCCCCTTTTTACTGATGGTGAGTGGCCAAGAGGGAGGTGCATGCATGTATGTGCTAGAGACAGTCAAGCCTAGCCCACAGAGTACGATCTGTTACGTGTCAAATCCCACCAGTACCTGCTGTATGCCTCAACCATATATAACTTAACCCACCACAATTATTTCTAAAAGAATCAGGCTAGAGCAGGAATAAAAGTGAAGTTTAGGCCTATTTTTTAAGAGTAGAAACGCAAGATTGTCGCCCTGTGCTGCAAAGTTTGTTGCTCTTCCCTGCTGTACCGTGCTATTCAGCAGGGGTACGGAGCAAAGCTGCACCGTGCTGCTGTGTGCTGTTGTAGTGTTGTGGTGCGGTGATAGCAGGATCGTCCGCTGGGGGAACCCAGAGTATTCTGTCTCACTGAGTGATACCCCTGTCTCCACTCACAATAAACAGCGCACACACATACACCACTGTCTGCCAAGCCCAGCCTAGCAGCAGATTCCTCCCCACTCCACCCCACCCCTCTCGCAAAGCTGCAAATATATTAGCTGCCTCTTTTTCTTTTGTCTTGGGAAAATCGCAAGCAGGGGGAGTGCGTGTATGTGTGTCTGTGGGTGTGTGTGTATGTGTGTGGTGGTAGTGGTGGGGGGCTTACTGTACTAAGAAACTGGAAGAACACCCCCCTTTGTGCCATTCCTGTTTAGAGATCCCCATGGTATAGGGCCCATTCATGGAGGGAGGGAGGTGGAATGAGAGCTATAGATGCGAAGAAGAGTTATCAGTAATACAGGTATGATGTAGGAAACAGAGAATGACTGACAGACACAGAAAAGAAAGATTATGAGTCGCATATCTCATACAAGCAGTCTGTTTGGTTAGAAATGAAAGGTCTGTTGGAACGGGAACACGTTGAGCTAAGTATAAAGGGTTGATTCATGACCAAAAAACATATTTTCTCACTTGTAGTTCTGTGTAGCCATGGAGATAGTTTTTGTGTTTTTTCCCCAGGTTTTGGGATACATGTATTTTTATGTTTTTAGATATTGGTCTTTTTCACATCTCTTTGCAGTGTGTATATTATCCAGAGCAATGGAGACACTGATTCCAAAAAGACATGCGAATAAAATAATTTTTTTCCCATTCTGTGAACACCACAAACCATATTCTGTTAGACTCCATTGTGTTGGGGAGGAGGCAGAAAGGTGAACCAAAAGTTTCAACTAAAGTATTTGCTGGTAATGATTCTTTATTGTATTGATTTTCTATATACAAGCAACATTAGATTTAGTGATTTGTTAACCAGGCTCCACCCCATCGTCAGAAAAGAATTTATGTCATAGTGATGTAAGCATTAGAGGTGAAACCAATTAGTCTATTGACAAAAAGTTACTCAACTTTTGACATCTTTTCAGCAAATGTGCCAAACGTGTGCCAAACGTATCCCAAATGTACTGCTTCTCACTGCTTTATATAATTGTAAATGTATGTAGGTTTTATACTAAACCATTTTAAGACATCACATTGCATTCTGAGGAATTGAGGATGTATTTCTTTTTAAACTATTTTTTGACATTTTGTAAACTCAAAAACAAACTGATTAACCATTGAGGTGGTTTCCTCATTTACAGTGGCGTCAAGATGAGTTGCATCCCTAAAATATATTGCTATAAATATATTTAATAAGTTGCAGCCCTAAAATATATTGTTATAAATATATTTGATAACTTGCATCTCTAAAAATGTTGCTATAAATTGGTAGATAAAGTAGACCGTAGATCTTGTCTGATTTCAGAAACTGAAACAGCCGACTCCTCAATTTAAGGCAATTTAATGGCTAAAGGCAGCTCATTAAAAATGTCTATTGGCTGTATCCGTATACCTGAGGTAAACATACTGATGTGTATAAATGGTGCTTAGGATGTGTATATATATTTATATATAATATAGGACATGTCTGCTCTTTCTATGTCACATTATACACGCATACAAACACATCACTTCCCACTGGTCCTGTATGAGATTAGAGTCTCTACAGCCCCTTCACTGTCACTCAAACACAGACAACTGATGTGGGCGGGGCTGTGACAACTCTCAAATCTGGCAAGTCAAATGTTTTTATTTGCAGGGAAAGCGAGTGCTTGTATGTGTATGTGTGTGTGTGCACGCATGTGTGTGTCTGTTTGGGTTTGTGTGCCATATGCAGTGCGCCAGGGAGGGCTCTCTGGAACATATTGGTGTGCGCACATAGTGGTTAATAATAGTACCAAACGCATACAGCGATGGCAGCTCTGATGTGTGTGACAGTTTTACAGCCGCACACGCCAAGACACTGTCACACACGTATATACACGCACACACACACACACACACACACACACACACACACACACACACACACACACATAGTAGAGACAGAGACCTCCTCTGCCACCGAGCCCTCTGTCTTTGTTGAGTTCTCAATTTTATCACAGATCCTGATAAGTAAAAACAACCACTTCCCACCCACCCCACCTCGCCTTCCCCGCCCCTCCTGTATGCTCCATATGTGGGCACATGCACACACACATAAACATATAGCCGAGTCAAACTCGGCCACCCACCCACACACACTTACACACACAAACACATACAAATGTACATGCTTAACCACCCTCTCACATTGAATGCAAAGTCCTTGAAGCAGGCACTCACAAACATCATACACTCAAATGCACAAATACACATCACACACACACATCCTCATTCCCCCTTCTGTCATAACTCATTGTTGCTGTTGCTTGCTTGTCTGTGGCGATGGTTGTGTTGTGCAGGGGTGGCAGCTTTAAGTTTTGATAAGGAGGGGCGGGGGCATCAGTGACGGCTCCCCGCTGCGAGGTCTTAGCAACAGTAGGCAGCAGCAGCAGAAGACACCCAACCTGTCGTCGGGATCAGTCTCGGGGTAGGTGGGGGGAGGCAGAGAGAGAGAGAGAAGAGCGACAGCATCACTCTCAGCTCGGACATCTCCAATCAGAAAGAAGAGACAGACCTTGGGATCAGTGGCCAAGCTTGGCAGGCAAACCAAGAGAAAGGGAGAGACAGTGAGAGAGAGGCCAGAGCAGAGCAGACAGCCACCCAGTCCCCAGGATTAGTCTGTGAGGTTGGCAGAGCCTGACCAAAACTGAGAGCGAGGTAGCTGAAAGACAGACGGCAAAAAGGACCCGGTGCCTGGCGCCTACTTTGGACCAGGTTAGCAGCCAGAGAGACGAGGAGACAGAGAGACAGACAGAGCGGGGACCTGGTACTCAGTGGCTGTGTGGCTGGTCTGGAGTGGCTCACCCATATGGTGCTCCGCTCTGTTCCTGCTCCCTGTCTAAATCCATATGCTGCTGGTGGAAAGGTGCCCCCCACCTCCCTTCCCCTCCCACCTCGCTTCAAGAGCATGCAGACCCTCACCCTCCCCACACTCCCCCAACCCACAAGGGAGGTGTTGGGAGGTAAAGCCCTGAAGGCTTGTACCCCCCTCCTACCTCTTAACCCCTCAGAGCTGCTTAGCCCATTGTCACTACAATCTGCCACCATAGCCTTGGTGTTGTGTGTCCCCTCTCTCCTTCTCTCTCTTTCTCCTTTTCTTTCACTCTCTACCTTCATCTTTTCATCTCCCTTTGGCACCCAATAATCGATGAACTTATTAACTGCTAATTATTCAAGCTGTGGATCGAGGATCCCTCCCCATCCTTGGAAAAAAAGGGAACCTTTCCACTCTGTTCTGCCAAATGAAGTGGTTTATATTGCCCATTCATTTGGATTAAGTGCATTTAGGCTGCAGTGTTTGGGATGTGAAGACTCTGTCAGATTGCTATCAGCAGCATTTAACATTAATCCTCATTTTGTTCAGCCAGTTGATAGCACCCACTTAGTGGAAGCCCAAGAGATTTTTATATTGAAATACACAGTTCGTATTTGTTTTCCCTGTGATGTGTGTTTCTCTAAAAGGGTGTGTGTCTCTCTCTCTGTTCTGGTTTCTCAGGAGGTCCTTCAGACGATACCAAAGTTCTGCTTTCCCTTTGACGTGGAAAGGTACGATTCCTCTCCCTCTCTGCTTCCCTGTTTTTTAGCATTGCAGCTCACTTTCACCTCCTCACATAACACATGCATGCACACACGCACGCACACACACATACACACAAATAAATATGTACACTTTCACCTACAGAGACACATGCATTTAAAAAAAGGAAATGAGATGATGTGCATTTCGTGCATTACACAGTCGGTGAAATTACCATCATTCCTAGGTAAAGTCACATGATGACTTGCTAACTGTCAGAGTGTAATGATGAGTGTATTTGTGGGTGTGATTGCAAGTAGCCGCACCGGTCTAAAACCCCAATAAATCTGACATCTTCCTGCATGCAATCTGTACTGACTGTACCTGCAAAGAACACTGCTGCAAAATATTCCCAAAAATGTAAATGCTGTGATGGTGAGGACACACGATAATGATGATGATAATGAAAACAACAACTTCCATTAAGGATGATGCTGATGAGGTCATCCGTGACGTGCCCACTTGATGTGTCGTGCACAGTGCACATGTTTATGAGTGCATGTGTGTGAAAGAGTACAGAGACTAAGAAAGTGTTGTATATTATTCTACATAATATATAGGTCCGATCAGAGCAGCAGCTCTCTGAAAAGTACTGGTTTCTTATTTTCAGCATGGAAAATGACATATTAAAATTCCCATTGTAAAGACATAGAGAGAGAGTGAAGATGAAGGGGGGGGTTGTACAGTGTTTTACTGAAGCTGAGCTGCTGCCATCTAGTGGTGAAGGGATGTTTCTGAAATTTACCTTGGGGTTAGAAAAGCCTTTTACAGTTTTTCAAGCCGCCATAGTGGAAATATATGAGATCAGATTTGGACCTTGACTGCAGATTTAGCTCATGGTGAGATTTTGTCTGAAAATTGGCTTGTTTCTGGTCCAGCTAGACCAAATAGTGTTTTGTTACACTGTATTTTTATTCTATTTCCAAGAATGTATAGATTTACCGCACCCTGTTGTATTCAGTTGATTGTTAAGTTGTTATGTGGTTTTCGGCCATTTGTGAGTGTGTGTCCCTTGTGTCCGACCCCAGGGTTTCACAGAGTCAGGTGGGGCAGAATTTCACCTTTGTGCTGACGGACATTGACAGCAAACAGAGGTTTGGGTTCTGTCGACTCACTCAAGGCTGCCGGGTCTGCATATGTCTGCTCAGGTAACACACACACACACACACACACACACACACACACACACACACACACACACACACACACACACACACACACACACACAGCTTACTAAATGTTATTAGGCTTTTTTGTTAAATGAATACTCTGAGGTACGTATACTTCTTTTGTATTCTTCATTCAAAATCATGTTGTTCTAATGAACTGAATCTTAGTGCAGTCTTTAACACTGGGTATCATACACTTTATAATTTTCTAAAAGAATAAACATATCCAACCTTCATAAATTAAACAAATGTCAAAAAAGAGACATGTGCTAAAAGTTATGCTGCACTTCACAAATTCAAACATATAAAAGTCAGCCTTTCACAAGACTTGTTCAAACACCAGTGTCTTTATTTACTCGTTCAAATAGGCAAGATTTGGTCTGTTCTGCCCTTTTTCAAATTATCTATGGATCAGTCTCAGAACTGTTTTTTTTTTTTTATATCTGAATTTATTTCTCAAGTGTGATGAAAAAAATTAATTTACCAGATCTTAGAAGTGAACACATATTTTTGAGACAGCATTTCCATTCATTCTCACACTTCACACTGAACTGCACTATGCCAGAATAACAAATTTATATTCTCATCTGCCCACACAAATATGTTAGTGATGTGCCTATAATTATCCAAAAGTTTAGCAGTTTTTGATATTTCATAGGTGGATTTATCCTATCACCGCGTACATAAATGAGGACACCAAACTCAAGAAAATTGCATTTTCAACGCATAATTACTTTCCAACAAAGGCTATTATCATTTAATTCCCATGTAATTGCATGTTGACACAATGTTTTTACAGATGTAATTACCTTACCATTACAAAGACGGAGCACTCCAGTGCTAATCTCAGTGGACAAGCTTATGCACTTTAGAATAAACTGAGGAAAATGTACTAAATAAATCCATTTTTAATTAATGTATTAAGCAGTTTAACAAACAACAAACTGGTAAAGGAGCACAAAGCCTTTTCTTTTTCTCTGTTAGTGTGAAGCAGAACTCCTGTAAGTGCTACCCTCGCCTCTGTACGTGTACGTGTGTGTGTGTGTGTGTGTGTGTGTGTGTGTGTGTGTGTCTGTTGATGGACAGTCGTGGGTTTGTCGCTGCCCTGATGAGCTGCTGTGAAGAACAGTGTCCCTCCTCCCCACACCACCCACCCTTCCCGGCCAGCTTCCATGGCCTTTGTTTTTCTTTTCTCTCTGTCTCTCTCTTTCTCTCTCCCTCTCTCACTCTCACTCTCCCTCTCTCGCTCTCTTTCTCCCTCTCTCCCTCCCTCTCTCTTTCTCTCTCTTTTCTCCTCGTTATTCGGCTACTGCCACAGTGCGACAGCAAAGACGCTTGGCCCATAATTATGCATGAAGCTTCACTGCCAATTAGCAGAGGTTCCCCTGTCCCTCTCGCTGAGTTAGACATGCTAATTCATTTGACATATGATGTATAAAATTCATTATGCATTCTGAGTAGTTTGCATGGCTTGCTTCATTTATAATAAAATAATGTATAGAAAGTTTTTTTTTGTTAATTTGAAATTGTTTGTGTGCTCCCCAGTTATGATGTTCTTTATTTATTTTTTTTAATCTTTTTCGTCTTCTCAAGATCGGATAAGTAAAAACATTCTAAAACATGAAAACATTTTTGATATTTCGTCGAGGAAATGTCCTAATTTAGTTCCTGCGTACAAGGTCCGTGGTCAAGTGTTTATTTTCTTTGTTTATTATTCTTTAAACTGTTTTTCATTGTACTATATTAGTTATGCAAGACAGTATTAAGGACATGACAGCAGATTGCTTATGTTAATAAAAAAAAAGATAACCAAAGAAAACCGGAAAAATAAAGATAATGGTAGTTTTATTTTAAATAATTATTAGTTCAAATGTGTCTTGTTAAAATCTAAAGCAGGAGCAGCACTAGTTTATTTTTGTTTAATCTCCAATTTCCAATGGATATAAAATAAAAGTAATTAAAACAGTTTGCGTCTCTGTGATTGTTGAAGTGCTGGGACCGTAAAATTGTCACCTCTGCTTACAGGAGGAAGTGCCATAATGAGCAGGACAGTTTTATGTGGACAGCCCTTTGTAGTCTCATTGCTAAAGCCGTGGCCGAAAGGGCAATGCTCCATTCAGGCATAACCTCAAGAGAGAGAGAGAGAGAAAAAACAACACAAAAAAAGAAAATATAACCTGATCTATTTTATACTGTTATTCCCCGTCTTCTCACGTTCTTTGTCTCTCACATTTAAAGGATTTTCAGTTGAACACGTGAGTAATTTGGAGATGAAAAACGTGGATTTCCTCAGTTTCATTTAATGGCTGCGGCTTAGGGATACATTTTAGGGACTGCATTGCTCCAGTTAGTGGTCACTTAGTGGGTCGCCGGAGGACACTTCCTTCCCTGTACTTAACCCCTAACCCGAGAAAGTAAAGGTGTAATGAAATCTTCCACTGAGCCGTCTACAAAGTGTAAGATGACTTACGATTACAGGTGCCTGTGCATTAAAGGAGATTTAAGACTCATCTACGAAACAGGAATAAGTGTCATGCTTTGCACCCAACAGGTAGTTTATGGCAGCAAAAAAGGGCTGATATAAGTGCTCCACACACCTTCACCCCTGAGGTGCATAGATAAAATGTAGGAGTCCAAGATATTTGCAGATTTTGTAAATGGTTTGTTTTATTTCACTCTAGATTTTTTTCTTGATATTTCAGCCACATTTGTTTTCGTCTGTGATCCTATCCATAATAGCATAATTGTAAGTTCCAGAGGCACTTCCATGGCCCTGTCTTCTGTTACATATTTCCGTTCTGTGAGGTGGTCTGAGCCTGGGATGGAGAGCACGACGGGCTGTGAGTGGGCCGCAGATTAACTGGTTCATTCTTTGAGTACATGGCACTTTGAGAAGACATGTGTTTAAAATGGCAGGAGAGATTGCGGGGGCCCCCACGCACTGAGCACTCTGGTGATGGATGCCTCTCTCTCTATCGGAGGATTTGCGAAGCACAAACAGATCTGAGCAATGAACTGTGACGAGTAGGAGTATCTCTCTAAGCTTTCCAAACTTTAACTTTACATCAACAGAGAGAGCAGAGTGGCGGAGGGGAGGGCGATAAGTAGAACAAAACAATGTATCTTTAAGTTATATTCATTCTATTGCATTAGAATAAAGCATAAAAACCCATTACCTATTGTTGGAGGATGTTAGAAGAATATTGATAATTTGTGGTTGGCTGCCTTTGCCAGTGATCATGCGTTTTCCTCTTAAACAAAGGATTTACAGCACCTTGGTGTAGGAGTGTAATGACTGTGAGATCTGTGAGGCCTGACGGCTGCTCTGACAGCGAGACTCCTATTTACATCCCCTTCAACTGTGAAAAATGAAGGATTAATGTCCAGAAGCCTGGCTTTTTAAACAGGAGGCATACAAGAGGCAGATAATACAAAGGCTTTGTTCTCCCCCTTAGTCATTATATCAGACTGAACTTTTTGTATAATGCTCTAATGTAAACTGACCCCATATGCAGATATTTGGGTTGTATGCTGTTTGACTTGGCAGAAATAGGTCTTCAGGTTGATATCCGGTCAGCATGTGAATTAACATATGCGTGTTTGATTTAGCTTCTCCTGCGAGTGTGACCTGATTGCGGTAAATCTTCACACAGACGTCAAAATATTGGCATGTTAAGAAGCTGATTGTTTCAGACTAATGGTCACTCAACCTCTCTGATTGGTGCGCTTGGCTGCACTTCTCCGGGAAGGCGGCCTGTCATTGGCCCCTTGCGGATTTAGCGATATGAAAATTTGCATTAGGTTCACTTTATTGTTTTCTTGTTGTCTGTTAATTCCAGTCTACAGAGCAGCCAGTGACCCATGCCCTGGAAGCTCCTCAGTCTCCAGCCAACTGCCTGAGCAGGACTTCACTGCCTTATAAACTCACACACTATGAAAGCTTCACTTATTTATTCATTCATTTATTATTATGTAACTAAAAATCTGCAAGCTCTTTGTCAGATTTTTTATTTGAATTAGACTATTATCTTAATGATTTATATTTAACCCTGTTAAATACATGAATTTGGTGAGCAAATAAGAACCCACTTTTGATTCATTGGCTCATTTGGCCACTAATTTATTTTTCAACCCCTGCGTCCAGGCAAGTTAATGAAGCATTAATGGGAGGTTCTGTTTATTTCATTGCAATGCTAAGAAGTCCTTATCTAGAATCATTATTCATGCAGTGTTCAAAACTGCATGTTAAAACCGCAAACTAAATAAAAATTCAATACCTTGATAGGACACCATGTTTTTATTATTTGATTGCATAACATTAAATGAACTGAGTCCTCACAGCTTTTATGCCAAAAGAAAATGTTGGCCATCTTCCACTTAGAAAGCAAGTCGACTTGGCCAAGAAAATGTCAACTTTGTAAAGAAAGCCATGCTGCAGATGCTTTTAGCTTATGGTGGGTGTACTTAGTGATTAGCTTTAACACAAACACTGCAGTATAAATTATTGTGAGCTTGTTAATGAATTTATTTATTTTACAGTAATTGCATAAGGCAAAGATTTTTTTTTTTTTTTTTTTATACATGTGAAGGGCATAAAAAGAAGCACAGAGAGGGGCAGAAGAAGGAGGAGGTGGAAAAGGGGGGAGCCAGGAGGCATCTTGGGCTGCATTTTTGTTAAGCCTGTGCATCTGTGAGCAGCATGCTTGTAAACCATAGCATCCCTCCGCATCACATGAAAGCTATGGTGGTTCTTTGTTAAAGAATCTAAAATCCATTGTTTTTTTCTTCTTCTACCTTCCCCTCATATTGGCTTAAAGAGCAGACATGACAGGAATTCTTAGCATGCGGAGGGCCCTGGGTACGAAGAATGTCATAATAGGGACTAGATAGCATTTACTTTCTTTTTCAGTACAACAATGACTCTGCGCTCTGGAGTAGCTGTAACTGGGAACACAACCCGTTATCAATGTCCTGTATGCATATGATCTTTAAGCAATAGGTCACTGGCAGTAGCCTGTGTACACAAACACACACACAATAATACTGCAATGCTATTCATAAGAAACTCAGCACTGTTTAAATTTATACGGTCCAGCAGATTGTGAAATTATTTATAGACATTGTGACAGGCAAAGACAGAGTCACATCACATAAAAAACTTTATAGGAGACTGTATTTCTCGACATTTGTCATTCTTTTAAATACCGCAATAATGCAGACCCTGTGATGATAAATACTGATCTGCTTTGATTCAGCACACCCTGTTTGTTTATTGTAGAATATGATAAAATGAATTAAAACATGTCTATTAATACACTGTCTCTCTTACCCTTTCAGTTATCTACCATGGTTTGAAATCTACTACAAGTTGCTGAATACTCTGGCAGACTACCTAACGAAACAACAGGTAATCACCTCTTTCTGATGTATCAGCTATTTCAGATTTTTACGTATACGATACAAGGTGCCTTGCACGTAAGTACTTTGCATGAAAAATAAGACATGGTGGTTTGATTTGACTGAGAAACAAGCACACAGTTTATTGTTTTTGAAACTGTAACTGTGGTAAGATATTTTCCTCCATTCTGTTCTTGTGCATGCTGCATGTTGTCTTTTGTGTGCAAGTTTTGTTCGCCGTCTTGGGTTCGACTTGGCTCCTGTTGTTAGCAGCAACAATGTTGACATTTCACAGACCAAACGCTGATCTGACACTAGAAGTTATTCCTGATGATTTACTGGAAAACAAATCGTTAAGAAAAAAAAAAAAAAAACCACACACACACACACACACACACACACACACACACACACACACACACACACACACACACACACACACACACACACACACATCCAAACATACACACAAATGTTCACACTTCACAAAAGTCTTTTCCCCTGACTATTCACTGCATTGTACTAGCAAAGGGAGGGAAATGTAAAATATGCAACAAAACTGTGGAGATGTGCAGCGTCTAGCACAGAGGGTGTAGGTGATGTTCCCATGTTTTGACTGAAGAGAGAGGAAGAAGGAGGGAGGAAGGCACAGCAAGGGAGAGATGCAGAGCTTTGGGACCGCTTTCAGTTGTCATGTAGTCACTACTCCTTCCACGACCCTTAGAGAGCAATGATCAGGACAGAGAGCCTTGCTTAAAGTAGACAATTACAAATGCGTCACATAAACAGTCAAAACACACACACACACACACACACACACACACACACACACACACACACACACACACACACACACACACACACACTTCTGTGATTGAAAGGAATTCAGCAGGATCGTCTTATATAGGGAGAGGCAGACAAGTAAGATAGGACAGTTTTGAGTGTGAGGAAGAGAGAGACAGAAAGATTGCTGGAAATCCTGGGTGACTGAAGTGTTAGTGTGCATGATTTGGTTTCTATTTACCCCGCTGTCCGTTCCAGGCGAGAGGGAGATGTTGACAGACGAGGGAAGACAGAAGAGCGATGAGGGTTTAAGGCGAGGGGTAAATGAACTGTTTCCCCAGGCCGTGTTGCTGACCATGCGTGTGAGCATTGAGCCTCTCATGACAGGAGGCTGTTCGATTGCACACACCCTAACACCCCTCCCTCCCACCCTTCCCCTTCTCTTACTGTATACTGCCGCCCATTCCTCTCGAGTTTCTATTTCTCTCTGGCTTGCCCATGCATACACGCACACACGTGCACATTTCCTCAAACAAGCAACGGCTCGTGGCCAAAACCAAAACAAAGTTCCTTGAGAGGACGAGCATAAAAAGAATGAAAAACAAACAATACCCAACCTCTGTGTTCACATCAGTTCACATAAATAAGTTCACATAAGAACAAGTTGCAAACTGTCCCCATCAGTTCTCCAGCGAGAGGCCCGAGAGTGTAAATAGCAGTCTTGTCCTGGAGCTCATAAATGCTGGAAGAGTAATCTCGGGGCCTGTTCTGTGGTCGAGCTAGCTCTCCGACGGCTTCTTAAAGCCCCTGTCTTTGGAGCGGGGACCCCTGCTTAATTACTGACAGCCCGCTCTCGGCCGTAAATCAGCACTGCAGGATAATAAGCGTCTGCAGCCCTACACTCAGCCGTCTTTTAACCTCACCAATGCTCGTTAAACATATGTCAGTCGGATGTTTTGGAGCCCTTCAGGCCTCGCTGCAGGATTGCCCTCTGGTCTGCAGCAGCGCCTGTCCCAGCACTGTTGTTAAGATTGACACATAACTCGTGACATCAACAAAACTAGTAAATAAAATTCATGTGTCCTATGTTTTTTTATGTCTTCTTCTTTTGTTGTTTGTTTCTCTCCCTCAGGAAAATGACTTGAATGACATGCTGAATTCTCTCTATGATCTGCCTGTGCCAAAGCCCTTCACGCCAGTCAACCTGAGTGTGGTAGGTATAGATCTCATATTCCCCCTTATCAGAGGCAAGACAGCTGAGAGTAGAGGTAGAAAGAGGGAGAGAGGGACAGGTAGGTTACTGTAGTACTGTGTTGCATCAGGAAGGAGACTGCAGAAAAGAAGATAAGAGCTGGACCAAGTAGTTAAAAGTAGAGCAAGAGACATTAAGGGCAAAATGTATAATAGAAAGAAGTGGAGACATGGAGGGAGGGATAATGAGAACTAAATTGAAATTGACGCAAAGGCAATGGGAGTAGACAAAGATGGCATAAAAACAGACAGAAAGAAAAAGGGCAGACAGGCAGAAACGGGGAGAGATTGACAAAGTCTAGAGGTTGAAATGAACGAGATAAACGAGAGAACGACAGAGCCGACTGAAAGCGGATAGCAAGAGGGAGGTTAAGATACACTAGGTAGGAACAGAGAGACACAGAGAGCCGTGGACTGACACTCTGTTTGGAGACAAGAAGTGGCGCTAACAGGTTTTATGTGTGATAAGCCCGAGCTGGACATGTTTAAACTTGAAGGGTCCTTTCACAACTCGTCATGTCTCCTGCTTATCAAAAACTGAAATGGCTTAACGAGCCCAGGTCGTTCAAAGTTGGCCTGTGTTTGTGTTAACTCTGACACAATCTCTCCCTGTGTGTTTCCAGCTCCTACATAAAACACTTGCTCTTAAACAGTTTTTGCTCCCATAAGCCTGGCCGATATAAGCAGAATGTAATGGTTTTCAGTGGGATAATGTTTTGTTCACTAATATCTCTATTTTTGAGTTGTTTAGACTCCACACCGTAATGGGATCAAAAGAGTTTCAGCCTTTGTCCTTGAAGACTCCTTTTTTTGGACCAATTAAACAAGCAACTCTGGGTCTTTTCTGCGGCATTGGTCTCAGAAGGATACACATCTAATTATACAGATGAATTTAAAATATAACAAGACTAATACGAAGTAATCAATATATATATATATGAAGGTAACCAGGTCAATTAAGATTCCTTGTGATTTACTTTTTCTTTGTGTGAGTTTTTTTTTCTTTTTTTTTAACACCAGCCGAATAAAATCTTTTCATCTGAACCTCAGAGCTTTATTGGAAAAGAAGCCCCGGAGAACAGAGGTGATAGCTTCATCTCTTTTCTGGAGAAGCCACTAGTTTGATATTTAATTGATGAAGCAGAATTATTCCCTAAAAGAGTGGTTTTTGTTTTATCATGGCAGCCAAGAAGAAGGATCATTGTCCCCTTTCATGTGTGAACCCTGTTTTGTTCTCTCTCCCTCTCTCATTGTGCAAGAATGAGCAGTTGTATATTGCCACTGGGCAAGTACTGAGAGATCGGCGAAGCACGGAGCCGGTGAGTGGAGGGGAATGAGTGAACGGCAGAAACGGGAGGAGGGAAGGAGGCTGCTGTGAAATATGAAACCGCTGCTGCACTAATCGCATGGGAGCCACGGCTTTCCAATTTGGCCAAATAAGCTGCGCTATCTTTTTAAATATAACAAAAACAAACTATCCTGGGCCTTGGTGTATGTTTCTTCTCCTCTGGAAAACAATCAAACTTTGTAAATGATTAATGCCATTCCACCCTGCTATATTCTCTCTCTGAATATCAAAAGTTTTGTTTTCCCTCTCTATGTTTAAAGCAAAGGCAATTGTGCTCAAAAAATCTCCTTGATGCCTTTCCAGTTAACCCACTTTCAATGTTTTTATATAAACATGTCTTCGAAAGAACAAGAAAAAAGCAGATAAGCAAGCAAACAGCCAATGAAAGCCTGGGTTGAGTTGAGGAGCATGGCTTGTGATTATCACAATGACATGAATTTGTAGACCATCGGGGAAACATTATTTAGCACACAGAGCACAGGAAAAGAAAGAGAGAGATCTGCAGTATACTGTAGTTGATGTATGTGTGGTGATGGGGGTTGTCCTGTGCCTTAGAGGTATTGCCTCAAGCACCTGATCTTAGATTACAACTTATTTGTTTAGTTACAATTGCTCTTTCATTTTGTTTCAGTTATTCTATAACTACTCTTTTTTTTTTTTTTTAGACGACAATGAATAGGCTTCCCTTCCCACAGTATTGTTTACACAGATAACTAGGGAGGAAAGATTTTTTAAATCCACTTGCGCAGCAGCTGAGAGATTATAGGCAATTTAGCATTAAGCTTAATGTAAAGAGAAAAAAACAGGTCAGAAATACAGTGGAAACAGAATTTAGCTCAGAATTCAACCTCATTGCATACCAGTGTGAGAGTTACCCAGGTATATCATATAAACCGTTAACTTTTTGAATAATTTTACAACACTGTAAAACTGAAAAGCCCCTTTTAAATTGAGCTTATTAAAAATATGTAGCTCAGTTTTAGGAAAGAGCTCCTTTCCACAAAAGAGACAAAGATAAGTGAGGTGTGTGATGATTTTAGTAATCACTTGTATAGCAGCAGTAATTGTTTCACAGTAAACCATTAGCTGTAATGCTAACTAGCCTACCTCTGCTTCTCAGCGACAGTATAACCAGGCAGTTTTCTTCCCTTTTACTTACTGGCAAAAAGCACACAGTAAATAAAATAACTGGTTTCTCATATTTTTAATATAAAAGTTACTTCTATAAAAAAGTAACAAAGTTTCGTTATTGCAAAGACCTTTAACTGCCATGTCAAAAAATATATTTTGGTCTGCTGTATTTCAAAATAATCTTTTGTTATATTTGTTGAAATTCTCTTTACATCACAACAGAAAACAATAAATTAAATGCTCTGGGGGAAAAAAATCTATGGCTGTCGCATCCCTGTTCTCAGCCTACCTGCGTGCACTTATTGGGCATGAAAATGCGTTTTGGGCGGATAGGCTTCAGAATTGGCTTCAGAATTTTTTTCTGTTGGATACTTCCAAACTCTGCTTCTTACTAGTTTCTCCAATGTTACGTACCCTAGTTTTTTGGGGGGATGGTGGGGTGGTGGGGTGGGGTGCTTTTCTTAGTTAGGACAAGTCAAAATTGTCAGAAAAGAGGGAGAAAGAGGGGATGATGGGTACAAGCTCTCAGCCTTGGTACCTGGGGTGCCAGCTCTACCAGGTGAGCTACCAGGGTGCCCCACATACTCTTTAAGGTGTAATGATAATTACTGTAATGCAAAATGTGCATAAAAATATGTCTGTAGTAATTCAAACATTAAACATTAAAACAAATTCACTTAACATAAAGAAGAGGGCGTAGGAGTTGACTAATGGTCTGCTAATGCTCAGATACTGTATCTTTTGCCCATAAAAAAAAAAAAAAACCACAAAAGGCAAAGCCTTGGATGTTGGTTCCAGTTTATTTGTTGTGCTGTATATTCATCTCCTCTAAGCTTCGCTCGACTACAACAATGACCCTCCTCTGGGAATATGACAATTGTTTACTCATGACAATTGTTTTCACATTTTTCACAGTTAATACACGAGCACTTAGGGAGTGAAATATTTTAGTTTGTTTTACATTAAACTAAATGTTCCAGTGTCAACCACGAAAAAAAAAACCGAAGTGGGTCTGTGTTGCCCTTGCTTTGTCTTCATCATTACACTCTGTTAATGTTTTATTTGCTCAAATGCTGTCACTTAAGACTAATTAGCATCCGTCTTTTTACGGGTGGTAATGGAATTTTTTGCAGTTGATAGAAATTTCCCACTGCTCAATGAATATAACATTTAGGGAAATTTTCGTGTCAGGCGCCAGAACAATAATGACCAGCAGGACTTTATGTAGTGAAATGTGCTCACAGCTAAATTTTGTAGTTTTTGGACAAAGTTGAACCAGTGGTTAACCCAGCATCGTTCAAAATGGTACAAAATTAAGTCAAATTGTTTAGTCTTCATGACACGTAAAGCTGATCTTTTTCCATTGTTGTGCAATATTTTTAGTGTCTGGTTGTGATGGGCTTTCTCTCTTCTCTTGTTTTCTCATGTCTCTATAATTGGAGTCGTTTTTCTTTCTTGGTGGTGACTTTTGCCTGGGTTGCTGATTTTGAATGGCTCCTCTAATGTTGGCATACTCTCAGTCGTGTTGTTTGTTATGTAATATATTACTGGTCTTGAATGTTTTGCATTTCATTGCATTGCTCAGGTGCTGGACGTCATTCTTCCTGCCACAGACGCTACAAATTCAATAATTTCTGACACTGACTGTTTAGCCTGACATTATTTGTTAGATGATTTGTAAAAACACGTAAACAGCAGGCATGTTTAAACACTGTGAAGTCTTAAAACTTTAATATTACACGCGTTCACAGTGTGAGAGAGTCTACTGCCACAGTAAATTTAAGCAAAGACCTGCAACAGATGGTCATGTTAGGCCTAGAGAAATGAAGGTGCACTAAAGATACTGTGTGTGTGTGTGTGTGTGTGTGTGTGTGTGTGTGTGTGTGTGTGTGTGTGTGTGTGTGTGTGTGTGTGTGTGTGTGTGTGTGTGTGTGTGTGTGTGTGTGTGTGTGTGTGTGTGTGTGTGTGTGTGTCACAGTAGTGTTTCAGTTGGTGGTTTGTCTACCTGTCTCCAAACAGCACCTCTCTCAGGCCCCTTTGATCTGAACACTGAACCTGCCCTGCTCTCCCAAAGTGAGACAGGCAGCCTTGTGATCCTTTAAACAACCTGTGTGTGTGTGTGTCTGTGTGGATGCACACGTGCGTTCATGTGCACGTATACTTTTGTCTGTGTGTTGGTGCTCCGCAGGCCTATTTAATGCTTAAATAAAGACTCAGTTTTCCACCGAAGACATCACCCCAGTCTGTGTCTATGGGGAGCTGAGCTGCTACTGAGCTTTCTCTGTTCTGTAGGCCTGATAAAAGCATTGCCACAGTTCAGACACCAGCTCAGCAATTCATATAGACAGAGCTGAAGATGAGCCATAAATCATAGAACAAAGTGAACGGCCTTTCCCCCCCTTCTTCCCCTCATTCTCTTCTGTGTGAGTGGTATGCTTCACTTGTGACCTTCTCTCTTCTTTCTCCCGCATGTTTGTGTTTTTCGCAGCACTCCTACTTCATCGCCCCGGATATCAATGGACTGCCAACGATCCCTGAAAGTGTAAGTATTCATGGAAAAAGAAAAGAAAAGAGACAAGAGGAGATAAAGAGAGATCCCTCTCTTCTGGAAACATGTCTGTCTCTAATCGTTTTTAATCAGATACACTTGTCACCTTTTGAAATTATTGCATCATCCTCTTGTTTTAGTTTTATCTCCTGTGGTGCTTGTACTTTTAATGCTGAAGTTCAGTGATTGCCATGGGTATTAGAGGATTCAAACTGAACACATGTTCTTTGTTGATTTTGTATTCGAATTGTAGCTCAAGTAGAGCATCCCAAGTCTCTATTGCAGGCTACATCGGATGAAAACAGTAATCAATCTGACGTATTTAAGCATCATTAATTGATATGTTAACTATTTTCCAGACATGACTACATCAGATGGATCAAAGGCACAAATGTCATTTGAATCTGTATTTCTTATGAATTTACTTTTGCTGCAAAACAATATGCACAGAGATGGGGAGTCCAAGTCATTTTTCAGCCTGTATAGCATGTCTCTCTTCGTGGCACACTCTGGCACTCTCACAGTCTGTAGCATTGACACTTTCTACTGTAAGCAAGTTGTGCAAGGACAGTTTGTTATGTACCTGCATATCCTTCTGTTCCTGTCTATCTCCAGAGGAACCTGACAGAGTACTTTGTGGCTGTGGACGTCAACAACATGCTCCAGCTCTACGCCAGTATGCTGCATGAGCGGCGCATCATCATTACCTCAAGCAAGCTTAGCACTGTGAGTCCATTCCCTCCAAGTCAGTCTCTCAGCTGCAGTCAGTTATCAGCTCTGTCCTGTCAGGCACAAGGGGAAAATAGGTTAGAAAACAGTTGAAGTACTGCAACCACTTGAAGGACGAGTTTCCTAGATATATATTTCAAGTTAAGGGGAAGCTTTTAGTTGTAAATGTTAAGCTTTATGTTTTATTACGTCATGTTAGATAATGTGTTATCTATTCTTTGATTCTTGTAGGCTATCTGACTTTAATCTGAAAAATTATATCATGATCTGAGAAAGTGCTACTTTAATTTAGAGTCATAGAGAGTTACTGTTGCTATTTTTGGCTTCATATCAAGACACAGATTTTCCTTCTTAAAAAAGTATATAGCTCAAATATTAGGACTGTTTCTTAGATTGAACATGATTCTCTTCATCAATATTCCAGCAGGATATCAAACCCTAAATAGGGAGATGAGAATATTTATCTGACATGGCTACGCTACTTATACAGAGAGAGTTGGACTGATCTCTCTGAACCCCCCCACCCTTCTTTGCCCGGGCGTCCTGCAGTCAGACAGCCGCACTATCACCACGCTCTGACAAGCTGTGAAATCCACACTAAAGCTGGATTATATTTGACTGTTTGTCTTATAACTGCAGCATATTAATGGCCCAAAAGCCTTAAATTATCTCTTATTACATGTTGTAACTCTCTCACATAATTTAAAGTCCCCTCTGTCTGTCTTTATGAGGGAGGAAATCTCTCTATGTCTTTCTCCCCCTCTTCCTCCCTCTGTTCCTCATTCCATCCCCCCCCCGTTATCTTCGTGGCTGCTGAGGCAGAGCCAAATGTTTATGACAGATGAGATGGGAGAGGGAAGTGATGTCATCCAAGTCCTATCTGTATCTGTAGTGTAGCTGGTCCTGCCTTGGTATCTACAAGGCTGCAGAACACTGAACAGCCGGAGGGGCCTGTGGTGGTGATGGGTGCTGGAGGGAATGGTTCCCAAGGTCTCCCATAGGAGCTATAATCAGGAAGAGCTGTAAAAATTACCCAGCCCTCAGAGAATTTCACCTGTCTCCCCTCAGCTCCTCAGACCAGCAGCACCTCCGCTCAGGGTTTAGGCTGCACACGGTGCTGTGACACAAGAGTTACACGATGTAAATTATCAGACTCAAGGGTGAAGGTGTTTTTCTTTTTAGCAGGAAGAGGGGGGTGAAGGTGATTTTTGTCTGTGATTTACAGTTTTCTGCAGCCTGGAGACTAATCTTGGCTTGTTTTTTTTGTTTTTTTTTTTCACAAATTTATGCCGACAGAATTTTTTAAGAGCCTCCACATCAGACCTTTACCTCTGTAAGCCTTTTATCCTCTGCAATCCTTCATCCACTCATCTGTCTATCTATCCATCCATCTTCCTCAGGGAGAGGTTTGGTAGCGATGTATGTCAGGCACTGTAGTACAAAGGTATTTTTCACATCTCCACTGGGATTACTAGCTGGCCTGATGTTATTACTGCTCCTGTGATGCGTTATTTTTTGCTGTTGCGTAGCTTGACCTCCTAGTTCAAGTGGGAATGGCTGCCATGATTCTTGAAGCCAGCTATCTACGTGTATATACTTAACTGCAAAGAGCCCAGCTCATTATCCACACCACTGTCTCATGATCAAATATCTTAAAGGATGGGAAATATATAATTAATGTCAGAGTTTGTCAAAATGTTTGTTTAAGTGAGTGTTAGCAGTCACTGGATGGACAGGTAATATTTCTATAGTCTGCTTGCCACAGATAGACAATGTACGAGAGAAGGTATTGTTAGTAACATCGTTAGTACCATCCAGCTGCTTTTCACCACCTCCGCCTGTCCAGCCTCTCAGCCAAGCAAAGAGAAACAGGGAATAGAAAGTGAAAAGAGAGAGAGAAAGACACACACACACTTACACACATATATACTACATTTATTCTGCCTGCTCTAGGTGCTGCCTCTGTTAAAGCCCCCGGTGAACCCAGTGTGTCAGTCTGCCGGTACATGGCCAGCGCGTCTCGCAAGCAGCCAACAGCAAAGGAATAAATCATGATCTTACAACAATGCGTCAGTTGACTTATTGCTGTTTCGTGACCGGAGGTGAATGGTACCACTGTTTTAAAAGGCCGTTCGGCGGTGGCGCAGGGGCGGGAGCCAGCCGAGCGTGCAGCCTTGTCATAGGGCCGTATAATAGGGCTGCATCGGCCCTTCCTCTAACTAGTCAGTTGGGAGGACCCCCACCACCATCGCCCCACCACCCTCCGTGTCTTTCATCTGCCGAGGCCCCCCAGCTCTCGAGCCCAGCCTCTGCCCTGCCTATCGCCCAAACTCACACAGCCCGGCCCCAGCACCGGCTGACAGCAGCCCTCTCATCAGCCTGTCAGGCCTATGCTAACAAGGAGCTATCCATCCACCATGCCCTAGAGTGCCAGCTGTCTCTCTGTTTCCTGCCTTTTCTTCTGTTGTTCTTCTCTCTTTCCCTGACTTCTCTCTGTCTCTCTACTTTTCTCTCTATCTTAGTTATTCTTCCTCACTGACATATTATTTTCTGTCCATCTGTCTCTCACTCACCCTGGCTACACCTCTCTTTCTCTCTGACTTTGCCTCCCTGTTCCAGGGTGTCTTAATGCGTCTCTCTGTTGTTGGGCATCTGCAGAACATCGGGACATCCTCCCCCTTCCTTCCCCTCCTTCCCCTCAATAGACTTATCTCAGCCCCATGCCATGTGTCTGACTTAACGTGTGTGTTGTGCCGCTGTGACCACATATGTGCATGTTGTGGGTGTTTGTGTCTCTTTTGCATGCATCTGTTTGTGTGTCTTCTGCACTAACAGGTGTTTGTACCTTATGTCTTATGTCTTTCTGTGAGAGAGTCAGTGACTGTGTGCATGTGTGGGAGGCCTGGCGTTAGCTGTTACCTGTGTCGTCCCGCGTGCCCTCTCTCTCTCTCCCTGTGCCACCTACTTGTTTGTGGCACACCTGCGTTGTGCCGGGCCTGACACCGGCGTTTGTCAACAGAGGGAGAAGCGGAGCGCGGGTAATTGGTGACTTACTCTATGCAGGGGAGGGAGGAGGGAAAGGCTAAAACAGCGATAAGTCAACAAGAGAAACGAGGGAGAGGTGGCAATGGACAGAAGGACAGCAGGAGGAGAGATGGAAAACAGAATAAGAAATGAGGAATTGGGATGAAAATGAGGCGGTGAAAGAAGAAGAGAGGGTTGAATTTGGAGAGTGCGTAGGGACAGAGTTGGAAGGGAAGGCTGGTGGAGGGGAAATGAGTGTTTGAGGCTGGTGTGAAGAGGTCAAGAGCGACTCTGTTGATACCATTCCTCCTGTCAAATTGAATCACATTGCCTGCAGCAGCAGCTATTTGTCTCATACTCCGCTCTCACTGCAATTTAACATGTACGATAGGTTCCCTCATCCAAGAGTATGTAAGCAGAGGGAATAAGTGTTATGAGGCCAGTAAAATGGCTAATTCTCCATTACACTGCCCCACACTGCACTGCATGTAGGCCCCCACAGTAGCAGTGTCTCCATTTTCTGTCTGTGTTTCACTTCAACGTGTCCAATTTCTCAGGTAAAGAGGAATGGTGTGGGTGGAAACACACTGCTTACTAACAGTCTGAGTTCCACTGTTGAGAAGATCTGGTGGGTCCTGCTCTTTAAGGAAACATCACTATCCAAGGGTTGCGCTGCTGTTCAGGCACATAGAGGGACGAGTTCATCTGAATATGATGATGTATGAATATGGAGAGATGCTTGATGGCTTGTGAGACGTAAGAAGAGTTTAGGTCACTGCCCAAATGTAAAAAAAAACAAAAAACATTTATTTTTTGTTTTGAGTGAGTCTAAAAAAAAAAAAAATTCCTGCAGAAAAAAACATTAGCTGTATCCCTATTCCATACTACATACTAATTCTAAGCAGGTTTAACAGGGACACAATTAAGTATATCAAACAAGTGTGCATACAACAAAACCCCACATGTTTTTTGAGTGGGCTGTTGATGGACATTATTGTCCCACAATGCAATGCACAAAGGAAATGGAGGAGCTGCTGACAGCTGGAAAATATTAAAACAAATTGTAGACGGTGGTAAAACAGCTCTGTGAACACAACAGAAAACAAAAAATAACTATTAAATCTTTGAAAAACATTTTATGAAGTTTAATTGGCAGTGACATTCCAAAGTTGCAGCTTGATTGACATCAGTGGCACAAACATTGTTTAATCTCCTGTTAGTGTAAAATTATTATGTTGATATGTTTGTATATTAACTGCAAAAACAGTATGCAGACATTTAGTGTGTTCTACTTACTGTATACTGGCAGTATATAGTATGAGAATGGGACACAGTAATTGACTCAGACTCCATTATTGACAAAACTGGTGTGTGACCTCTTAGCTTAGGTTTGTTACTACCTACCTCAAGGTTGCAATGCAGAGTATCTCGCTTTATCTCTTCACTCCACTCTGCCTTCTTCTCCCACTTTCACTTCCTCCTCTTCGTCTCTTTATGTGTCTCTGTCTCTCTCTTTCTGTCTCTGCTTCCTTAAGTCCCATTGAATGGATCTGGGAAAACCACTGTTAGTGTGGGACACTCTCTGTCTCAGCTACGGCGCACTAAGAAAGCTCTCAGGGCAGAACCAAAGACCTTGACTGCTTTTTGAAGCAGGCTGTCGCTGTATAATCGGTTAGCTTCTCTCAGAGGAAGGGGCAACACACACACACGCACACACGCACAGTATGAGAGGCAGGCAGCCCCTCATTACCGGGCAGAGCCTTGGTCCCTGAGGACTGGACCCAGCACCTAATCCTGTATTTGTTCTTGGGGACTGTATCTGTGATTCTCCATTGAATGGAATATTAAGCACCCAGGTCTTTTGTGGAGCGTGTAAGCCATTTGGCTCCACTCATCTATTATTTATCAGCCTGGCAAATATTTTATCAGCCTTAGCCTCTCATGACCCACTCTCATGTGAAAGCCCCCCCTCCCCCCCCGTAAATGAAGTGTAAAAAAAAAAAAAAAAAAAAAAAGAGTGGTACGATTTCTCTTTTTTCCACTTATCTTCCTTTTACTTTTTGCCTCATTCGTTCTAAAACCAGAACAAGGACACAGGGATTTGTATTCAGCTGAATTAGAGAAGCAAATATGTGAACTATTCCTCTGGAGTTCCCTCCAATTTGCCTTATCTCAGGCACACTGCCACCTCCATCGCTTTGGAGATAGCAAATAAAAGAAAACAGAGATCTAGATTTGCTTTATAAATCATTATCTTAGTTTCAGTAACCCTCTCTCCCCTCTCAGCCAACTCCCCCAAGCCAGCCACCCAGCCTGAGAAGAAGAGAGGCAGAGAGAGAGAGACTCCTGTTTTCCCTTTCAACCTGAGAGTAAATCATGCCAGTTGGGGGGCTCACCTTGAGGCCTGGTGGAGATAATTGGAGTTGGTTAGCGAGGTGTTCTGTGCCATTACCTCCTGGTACCAGCGAATGGCTGGGGCTTGTCTCGCTCTCCCAGAGGAGGAATACACTCGCCTGTTGGCTCTCCACTTAGTGTGTGTGTGTGTGTGTGTGTGTGTGTGTGTGTGTGTGTGTGTGTGTGTGTGTGTGTGTGTGTGTGTGTGTGTGTGTGTGTGTGTGTGTGTGTGTGTGTGTGTGTGTGTGTGTGTGTGTGTGTGTGTGTGTGTGTGTGTGTGTGTGTGTGTGAGACACATGCACGTATGTGTGTATGTATATCCGCAGCCGGATTGCTGACCTCTCTTCATCACAATTTAATGGCCCCTTGCCGTCATCGTTTTAGAAAAGAGGGAAGGGCGTGATGATTTTGATAGTAGCTCTTCCACCAAGTGCTTCACTTTCACACATTAATATTCATAACATTGATTTATTTTCAGAATTAACAAAAAAACAAACAGTTTGCCAGGGAATTAATCCTGACAGGAGCGTGGCATTGTTGTGTTTTATTTGAAGACGGCAGGCAGCGGAAATATGCATATGCAGATACACAGAGCAAGACACCAATTAAATGTTGATTAAGTCCTAACTATTGTGGGACTGCGTGTATGAGAGACTGCACAGAGACAATAAAAAAAGATCATTGCTTCTTTCCAGCAGATATGAAAAATGAATGCAGTTAAAACAAACATGCGGGGGAGGGAGGCACATGGCAAACACACACACACACACTTTTTGTTGTAAGCTTTTCAGATGTCCGGGCTTGATGTTTGGGTGGATTCGGAGGGTGGGGCCCTCTTTTTCTTTCTCTGGCAGCGGTGGTTTTCAGCCGCCAAGCTCCCCCGCTTTTGGCCGGTCAATTGTGACACTGTGTGTGTCAGTGAGCAGGGGGTCTCCTGATAGTTGTGCGTGTGTGTGTGATAGTGTGTGTCCGCTTCACACATTGACTGTGAAGCTGCAGCAGTATAACAGCGGCTGCTGCTCCGGGGTCCCGGTGGTATTGGCCTAGCCCGCAGTCTCTCTTGGCTAACTCATGTTTCATTCTTTGGCAATTTGCCCTAATGAAGTCCCGCAGGAGCCCCTCAGACCTCTGTTCTCTTTCCATATTTAATCATGTTATTTTAATCTGGGGGATGAGCTAACGCCTCTTTCTCCTGCCGTGTCTGTGTGTGTGGGTGTGTGTGTGTGTGTGTGTGTTGCAGGTCATTACTATAGCTGGGTTTTCATGAGATGGGATGTCAAGAGGGGGATGCTGGCTTTAAGACAATGGGAGACAATGACTTTAATTTTATGTGTAATGCTGGTTTGACAATGTAGAGAGCCCCTTTGAAAAAGACTGTCATCTTCATGGGATTGCTTCTCATTATTTGTTAAAAAAAGAGATTATTTTCTCTTTAATTTCTAGGTCATAGTAGTTGGTGTAATTTAGATTTTTATGGTTACTGTCAGCACTGTTTTGGGCTCCTTTTTGTTGCTTTTGTGGAGGTCGCAGCACAATTCTCACTTTGACATTGAGTTGATAAGCAGTTAATTATGAATACTAGGCTTGTGCTTTACCATTCATTTGTGTATAAAGCAGGTTAGGATATAAGCTTTAAATTATTTTCTAATATAAATTTCTTATAGCCAATAGTAATATCACCGCAGCGATGACCCACCACAAATGAATCAATATGGAGGAAACATTGGTTTCATGTTCTCTGTGTGTAAAGCAATATGCCTTTCTTTATGTCGGTCTTTTCAGTACTTTTCTTTTCACCTCCTCATCAATCTCCTCTGCTGTGTTTCTGTCATGGGTTTAAGACAAGTAGTTGATCTCTAGCTTTCAGTCTGTTCTTCTCTTCCTCCAACGATAGCTTGCAGGTCGTGTGTTCATCACAACAACACTAGACATGTCAGTGTACCATGTTCTTTCTGAGGGCTTTTGTTAGTGAGCAAGATTAAAGTCTAACTCAGTGAAATCAAACATACAGTACATTGACACATCACCACAAAGCATCACCACCTTGATCAGACTTCTAGATTTTAAAAACAGGATATTAACACGATGTTGTTTTGAAGGAAATGGAGCTGTGGTTCTCTAGACGTCTTCTATAGACTCTAGCAGTGCAGAAACTTAGTGGAATAAGTTGTAGAAATGCATTGTAAAGAAAAAAAAGACAAGCAGTTTATTTAGCTCAAAGTTATTTTACTGTTTTTTGACTTTTTCTTGAGACTGAAATCACACAAACCTTTGGTTAAAAAAATTTAAACTACCAGTAAACATACAGCATGAATGGGTATTTTTGTCTTTCCTTTACTCAGTTTTTGTGCTGCCTTGGAAAGTTGTGTTGAGATTGTCCTCTTGCTTCTTTCTCTCTCTGTAGTTAACTGCATGTGTCCACGGTGCGGCTGCTCTGCTCTTTCCTATGTACTGGCAGCACATCTTCATCCCTGTGCTGCCCCCGCATCTTCTGGACTACTGCTGGTAAGACTGACCACCTCTGAAACCCACATACAGATACGAACACCATCAGGATCATCATCATAAATGTTTACACCCCCTCTTTTTTTCTCTCCCTCTTTCTCTCATTTTTTAGCCACCTTCCGACACACGCACAGTCACACACACCTGACACGTAAACACACACCACACCATGTGTGCTGGTCACGCACCGAGCTCCGCTGCTAAAACCTCGGTGTGAAAGTGCAGACACACATGTTCACACTTTCTCCCACCCGTTCTTTGAGTTGCTCTCACGATTTCTCTCGTGGCGTGCCTTCTCCTGTGTGGCCCCTCAACATAATGAACGGCCCGGATCACCTTGCTCCATATTTCATGCCAGTGCTAGCACCACGCTCTCATCATGTTAGCCCTCTCAGGGGTTCATTACCACCCGTCCAACGCATATCCAACAAATCTGAATGGACTTGATTGAAACTGAATGGAGAGTAGAAGTAACAGCTCATCTACAAATCTACACGCGTTCAGGTTAACTTCAGATCTGAACATATAAAAAAAACAAAAAACGGCAGAGTGGGAGAGTCAGCTTATGTAAAAGGACCTGTTTCTTGCCGAATCATTGGTGATAGCTCATACAGTACAGTGCTTTACCATAAGGGACACATCAGCTTCTAAAAGCTATTCATCACTGACAGTAAAATGTGATTTTCAACACTCTGTGAAGACTCATCATTATCTTATTTAATCACAGGGGTGTCCTCCATGCGCTGATTAGATAACTAAGTTATATGAGATGCTCTGTGTGCATGTATCTGAGTAAATGTTGATGACCGTCAGTGCTGTATATTCATGAAACGGACAAGATGGTGGCTAAAGTGCAGAGCTACAGGCCTGCTGTTTGTTTTGCTGTTGCTTTAAGTCGATTACAAGCCTGTGGCTTCTGAATCATTCTGGCCAGGAATATACTGACCCAAAGCTATCCGATTATTGCTGCCTCTGTAAACCTCATCATAAAAATGGTTTCTATTATTTGACTGTTTTTGTTGATTCTGTTCATCTTGGTGGATGGGAAACGTACTCTATGATTCAACCTTTCCTTGCCACTAACTTTCAATATGAAGATAAATATCACATAAAATAAGACTGGCATTATAATAACTGTGCAAAGCATATGTTTGTAGGGAAAAAGAAAACATTTGACACTTATAGCCTTTAGCTTTCTAGGAAGTGTTCCAAGTCTTTATATACTTTCTGAATCTACTGTCGTGTTAGAGGAAATTTTAATATTATTACAGTTGTCACATTAGTGTTGTCAGTGTTCTTCTGTAATATTTTCCAGAGTGTGGCAGTATTAGACAAAGTGTACAAAACAACTTTAAATCACATTTTAAATCTTTTAGCCACAAGTCGCTGACTAAAAATCAAAACAACTCAGAGGCAGAATGAAGGAGAAACTTTTCTCTTTTTTACCTGGTAACTTTTTAAAAGCCAGTCCACTGGCACCAGATCAATTTACCTGCCCTACTACACACACCAGTTAATCTAATGTTTCCCATTGTGAGAGATGGTGAAATAATTTATTTTCTCTGATTTTCAGTCAGCAGCTGTGTCCTACATGTAATATGATTGGGATAAAGAACAACATATGGATGATAATCAGTTTTGCTGCCTATGTCACAGTTATGTTATGTCATGGGAATTAAAATATACATTTCCCATTAGCTTCAATGCAGCCAATCTGTTGCATTACAGTAGTTTTTACATAAACTCTAGCAGTTGATGAAAAAGGTTTTACTTTAAAAAAAAGTCTATGCTTTTATTCTTAGCTTTTATCATTTAGGGAATTTATTACATATTTTTGAATGATCTATTGAATTTGTGTTTTTAAAAATTAATAATTTATTCTATAAGATGTGATGGCATTTTTGATTATTTAATTAAGTTCTATTGCAGTCAGCTCTTATCTACAGATTGCTGTAGTCTGACCAACTGTCAGACACCCAAACAGCATTCAGAGTACAATTATTTAAGAATAAGCAACAAATCCTCACATTAAAAAAGCTGTGATTTATGCTAGATATAGCTTGATAAATAACTAAAGATGAATCAAATATCAAAATAGTAACTGAATGTAGATTCTTTAGATGTAGATAATCTGTTAATCAAAGAATACTCTCAACATGAAGTTTTTTTTACTTTTTCAGATGGGTGTGTGAAATGTGCTGTGCTAGTGTAGCCTCCAGATATATTTCGTTACTGCATGTAAACATCTGATATTGATATTGCTCACAGCTTTGTTTTCCTCTCTCCATCCACAGTGCCCCCATGCCATACTTTGTGGGAGTTCATCTTAGTCTGCTGGAGGTATGTTAGTTAATCTCTGTATTCATATGAATGTGAATGTATATAAATGTACATCATTATACTGTATGTGCATAAATTTACATGCTGCTGCAAATTGATGTATATATATGTGCAAACTCTGTAATGTATATCAAATGTCAAAAGTTGATGTTTCCTAATTTGCATCAGATATATACTGAATGAATTTCAGGGTGTTTGTCAGTGGATTTTCTCAAAAAGAATAATAAACTTACATTTAGGGAGGATGCTGTAAATTTATATAGTCAATTCCTAGTTTTAATTCTTTGTATATATGGTCAACTAATGCCCCACCTGGTTTGGTGAATTGTGCTCTCAATTTTGGTGTATTTGAAATTTCAGTAAGGCAACTTTTGGCACCTCCCAGACATTGAATCAAAAAAATTGACAGAATGTTTTTTCCTCTTTATCTCCCTGTCTTGCTTGTGTGCATTCTTAAGCAGAAGTACAAAAGACAGAGGGAGAAAGGCAGAAAAAGTATCTGCAAACAAAGAGCTTTTCTACTTCATTGTTAAACCCTGCGTGTTGGTTGGGGGACAAACCGTCACCAGCACTGCTGTTGTGTGTGAATACATGTTGCAAGCACGTGCACATTTGCACTTGTGTGTAAGTGTTAGTATGTAAGTGTTTGTCTGTGTGCGTGTGTAATTGTGCCAATGCATATGTTGTAATGCACATGTGTGTTTGTGTGTGTGTTTGCGTGTGATATTTGTCTGACAGTTGCGGCAGTGGCAGTATTTATCACACTCTGCATCCGTGACAGACCCCCTTTCCGCCACTACATAATTAGTCCAGATCAGCATGTGAGCCTCCACTGCACAGGCTGTCACAAAAGTGACAAACTAGAAATTCACACACTATGCTGCCTCCCCCCCACACCTGCCTGCATCCTGCACCACACTGAAATAATTGTTGAATTTGTCGCCATCAGGATGCACACAGCACAGCACAGCATCACTGTGTTGTTGTTGATGCATGAGGTTTTGGTGCTCTGGAAAATCTTTGCACAATCCGAATGTTCTTCTCAGTGCCATTTTTCATTTTGTGAGAGTGTGTGTGTTATAGTAAAGATGTTCTAATATATTTTTTACTACATGCCATTTTTCACCGTTAATTGTAAAGGAGTGTGATGACAGTGTGGTTTTAAATGTGACCTCTGTTTTTTTTTTCTTCCTGGGGCTTCAGTACTGAAATGACTTTGTCTGCTGGGAAACACACCTGGCTCACGCACAAAATTTCAAACATTAACTTAATTAGCTATATTCTCTTTATTATTTAAAATATGTAAAACATACCTGATTCTGTCAGTGTTCAAAAGTAAACACAATTCATTGCTATATGATAGCAAAACACTAATATGTACACTTATAATAATAATAATAATAATAATAATAATAATAATAATGCTTCAGCTCCGTTATGTAAAAGAAGAAAATATTTTTTTAATTGTTAATATTACAAGAACTCCTGCATGCAAAACTTGACATGTTTTAATGATATTTATAGGTGGGGATTTAATCAATATTTTGGATCAATTTTTTTTAAATTACTGTGGCAGTGTGTGCACTGTAGCTAATAACACTGAACATTTCCTCCTTTAGAGAGTACGCGGTCGATCACTGGAGGATGTGGTCATTCTGAATGTGGACACCAACACCCTTGAGAGTCCCTTTGACGACCTGCACAACCTGCCCGGTGACGTGGTGAGACAGACAGACAGACAGACAGACACACACACACACACACACACACACACACACACACACACACACACACACACACACACACACACACACACACACAGATACACACCTGCACCTTCCAGAGTTTCTCAACTTTATTGTCTCATTACAGATGACACACAGAAGGTTCATTTTTCCTCTTTCACATCTCACTTGCACAAATGCACATTTCTTGTCCTCCAATGTACTGTCATACTCAGATACTCACGCCCACGTGCACACGTGAAAAACACACACAGACAAACACATACACATGCAGAAACTTGTCAAAGTATAGCTCTGTCCCCTCCCCACATCATTAATGACTGCAGTACTGGCTCCTCAGATTGTGGCTGTCTAAAGTAAACTCCCGTCGCGTCGTATGACGCTTGAAGGCGAACAGCATTCCCCGACCATCAGAGGCTTGTGGGAAAATGTGCAACTCCCTTCCCTTCATCTCCATCCATTTTAATCATTATTTCACAAAGTCTTGCATTTCTGCCTGCCCACTGGCACGTTTCTGAGAACGAGAGATAGGAGGAGGGAACAAGGCAGAGAAAAGAAAAGAAAAGGCAGAGATGGGTGATTTTCTAGGGGGAGCGAGTGGGAAGAAGGGGGCCAATTACCAGTGTGGGCAGTGAAGCCACCTGCCAGTGCATCGTCTCTTTAATTAATGGAGCACTGACGCTGGTCAGTGCTACAGGAAGCATCACCACAGCGTCAGGGTCACTCGCACATTTACACACACACACACACACACACACACACTCTCTCTCCTATATATTCACACACAAACCCAGAGAACAACACACGTGATTGTCTTCCCTGTCTTTGTCGAATAGGAATCTGTTTGTTTAGCTGTTTTTCAGGGTGTGTGTATTAAAGCTCCTCTGTGAGGTACTGAGATCCTGCTGAGGCGGCGGACGCACGATTACCCACACTGCTAACAGTATATTCTCAGGTTCCACCGCCTACCAGACTCCTGCCCTACCGACAGTATATAATTCAATCCAGTGCCCAGCAGACTCCAGACCTTCTCACACTCCCACATTTCTCTGGTTCACCTGACTTAGCACTGCTCAGCCTACTACGACTGCTAGCGTGCGTTAATGCCTCCTTACTACATGCAATGGTGGAATCTTTCCTACATTTTATACAATTACCTGCCTACTTTTTAACCTGTTTGCCTGTCTGCCTTATCGCCTGCCTTACTGCCTGGCTGCTTGAGTTTCATGACACCTGTCTGCCTTCTTGTCTCTCTCTCTCTCTCTCCTCGCAGTACTTACCGCCAGCCTGGACGTTTCTTGCACCCGCTGTTTGCTTCTCATGCTTCTTTGCCTGTGTGCCTGTCTGGCTACAGTACCTTCTTCTCACTTCCTGCCTGCTTGCTTTTCTGCACCCAGGGACTCGAGTCCTAAATTAAATTGCAAACTGAGTTTGTCATAAAAAGGAGTCAGGGCTTTTGAAAAGCGACAGAAGCAGAGAGAAAAGCCTTTGTCTTTGCCGTGTGATAAATTAAGTGGCAGCCTCAGAGCCTTTTTGCTTTGATCCCCTACTCACCATTTTTCCTGACTAATGACAGAACATAGCCCACATATCATGTCAAATTACACCACCTGAAACGGAAACTTCACTGGCATTAATATATTTATTGCAACAAATTGTTGTTGTTTTTATTCCCATTCATTTTTTTTTTCCCTGTCTCCTCTCATCTTTTCACCGGGGCTAGTAGATTAATAAGGAAGCGAGCAGGTACTAATTGAGTGGAATTCCAGGTCTCTTGTTAGTTTGCTTGTTAGTGATGAGGACATGCCACATGGCATTTGATGTTTGTGTTTACACACAAGGAGATGTTTGAGGCATTGTGCAGTTTGTCAAACAGAGGCCTGAAATCTTGATTAATGCTGAGAGATTCTCTGCCTGGGCTGAGCTGCCGTGCGTTGTTTCTGAGCTATTAAAACCACTCTTCGTTTCTCTCTAATTCTCACTGTAACACTGGCTACTTAACACTGGCTTTATTCAGCGTGAAACCGAAGCCTTGAGACCTATGAAGTAATGATTATTCTCACTTTAAAAGCCCAGTATCACTTTGTATGAATATATAAAGCATGAAATGGATTCAAAGGTAAAGGCCACAGGCAATTTTTGGGCGTATTTTAAGTCTAACTAAGAGGGAAAACAAAGCACTCTGATGTTGATTTAAGCAAACCTTTAGAGATCCGTCTAATTATGGCAATGCAGGCTGTGAGCACATGTGGACTCTATTAGGTGGCTCGGCTGACCAGTGGCCGTGCTTTTAGCAGGTTCAGAGTTCACAGTTGTCCCGAATTAGCCGCCCTCTTTCAGACAGGATCCCTACACCGGCTCCACTAGTGCCCGCCCCTTAATGGTCTTTTCCCGCAACTTCACACATAATATTTTAGATTTATTGACTATTACAAATGCTACCATGCCAGTAGCGGTTCCGTTTTGCAGAAAAGGAAAGATCTGAATAAGAGAGTAATTGGTAGCAGGTCAAAAAAGGATGCAACAATCTTTTGAGAATAACTTCAGGCATTTTTTTAATTGGAAACATCATATGAATCAAAAGTCTAATATTAATTGTACTTTTGTTCTGGATTTGTTCTTGTATTTTTAAATGCACATGGCAAATAAATGTAAAGTCTCTTTAATTTTTTGTTTTCCCTTTTAAGTTGTAACATGCTCTTATATTATATATGAAAATCCATCTAAATGTTTCCTATTTAAACTAATATATTTTGGTATCTTTGTATATAAAATAATGCAGCTCAAGGAACTATTTAGTGTCTTTCTTTGAGTTTGTGCTTTTCTTTTGTTTTCTGTTTGAGATAAACATTGAGATATTATTAGAAAAATAGATATTTTTTAAATTTTACGTGTGTATTTTTAGCAGGATTTTGCATATTTTGAGGTTGCCTAAGCTGAACTGAAAGTTTCAATAGTTTTTACACATTAATAAGTCATACTAATCTCAGAGAGACTGTGCTTGTGTCAGTAAAATCAATATGTTGACAAGCACAGTGAAAAGAAATACTCAATAAAAAAAACTGTAGTTATTCCCTGGAAGATCAAGGTATTTTTGTTTCTTTTTCTGAGATCCATGGTTCCCCTTCCACACAGAGATTGTGCTGATAAAGTTATAATTGGCTTTTGGTTGGTGGAGCTGTTTACCGCGCTAGTCATTAAAAGTATCCAAGAATAGCAAATTAGGAGTCTGTTAATTCTGAAAACAAACAGTGTGTGACTGAATCAGATTTTTATTTGATCCTGGCAATTGATCTCAAACCAATGACGGAAGGATTTTTTCATGTATTATTCTTTCTGTGCCACATATTCAAGGTGAGGTGCTACAATGCAGCTTACATCTTTATTTTCAGATGCTCTCTCACATCACAGCCTAATTCCTTCTATTCTCCTCCTCTCTGCCTCTCGCTACTTTGCTGACACCGTGTACCCATACATTCCTAGCCTTCATACATTTGATCATTTGTATTCCCAATAAAGGGGGAAATTTACAGCGTACACTCCTACTTCCTGTATTTCAAGCCTGCATTTGGAGGTTTACAAATGAATGAGGGGGTTGCGGTTGTGTCTGCGCGCCTCTCCTGAGATCACCTGGCACACTTAATCAAACATCGCGGCTTTAATTTGGTGTTCAGTTTCCGATGCTCCCAGAAAACAACATCTACATCATCGTCTACAACAGAGTACAGCCGACAGCAGGCAAACACTCACACATGCAGATGCACAGACGCACACGGAGACACCTACATGTTGTCGGCCAGGAATGTTCATCAATGACATTCAGATCTAGTTCAGGAGTAAACTTCTGCTACTCACAGATTTTTGGTTTGTCCACCAGATTCCCCCATTTTTCAGTTTAGATACAGCCAAGTGTGTTTCATTTCACTGTTGTCTTCCCAGTATAGCGGAGCCACCTACAGTAAAGCCCCTCACATGCTGTACTAACTAGATGGTAGCTCAGTGCTGGGAATGTGGTTGCTCCACCTCAGTTACATACTGTACTTTACCAGAAACAGTCTCGGCGTCTGCAACATATAATAACCATCTCTGAAGTATTTGTTTTGGTTATTGTTCTTGTGTCTGTACTTTTACCAACTGCTCATTTAAAACATAATTTTACAGGTTACGATTGTTTTAAATAGCGCTGAACTGTGCCTACACTCTCTCTGCAGTGTTAGCAGCCCTTCATTTACTCATGTGGAGTTTAAAAGCTGCACTTCATTTTCACATACTCGTTCTGCCGGCGGTTCACTCTGGATTAGAAGTCAAAAAGGGAGAGCAGCATCACCCACTGCGTTAGTTATTGAAGTGAGAGATGACATTTAGCTGTAGTTAATTATGTATGCAAAACTCAGCCGCTCAGCTGCTATAAGAGGTCAGCTTGACAAAGTAACCCCACACCGGGGAGAGTCTCATGGCAATGAGATAGCCCTATTAAAACACACACACATTCTCTCTCTCTCTCACACACACACACACACACACACACACACACACACACACACACACACACACACACACACACACAGACCAGACTTTTTCTCCCCCCTTGCTTTCTCACTCTTTTTTTATTTCGCTTGACTGATGTGTTGTATTGCATGTGCTTAACAGCAGATCAACATACTTAAAAACTAAATTATATTTCTCAGTACATGCCTTAAGAGTTTTTTTCTATATTCTAGTCTTTCTCAATTGTTCATATTTATTTCATCACATCACTTTGCTAATTTAATAATCACCAGAGTTCATTTTGCTAGAAAAGACTAGAAGTTAATGATCTTATGTGGTTAGTTATGAGAGATTGTAGTTGACTCCCCCATCAGCTTAAGTAATATCCCCATTATTGTGCCGTTTTACCGTAAGACTGAAAATAGAGGTTAATTTGAAAGAAATCATAAAACTATTTGTTTTAAATTGAACGAATGAATGAATTTCAGAGATTCCAGCTTGCATGCTCATTGTGTACATGTATGTGTGTGCATTTGTGAGAGTATATGCCGGTTCTCTGTGTGTCTTTGTTCAGATTTGTGTGTGTGTGTTTGTGTGTACGTGTGTGTACAGTTCAGACTGCAGCACATCAAAAGAAAGTGGGAGATTTTCATAACTATTTTTTTTCTTTGTAGTTCTTTAATTGCGTCCCCATGGCTTTCTTTCCCTGGACAGAATCTTAAACAAAACATTCTTTTTTTGTGAGAAGAAAACCCAACTTTTTATTTATTTATTTTTTTTAACAACAGACAAGTGTCAGGGTCGTTATTTAGGAGGGTTTTTTTATGCTCTGGTGAAAATTTAGAGGAAAATTCTAAATATATATTCAGTTTTGTGTGTAACTTTTCTATACCCTTTTATTTAATTTACTCAATAATAAATATAAAAACTGTCAGCCAGCCTTTTGTCATGTTTTTTGTTTTTGTTGTGGAAGATAATGTCCAACAGTTAATAAATAACCAGATCAATGACCAGGTTTCATATTTAGTGTGGTCTTTCTGATTATATCGGCTCTTTGTATAGAAGTAGATCTTGCTGTCATGCACAGCATAAAGTGATAAAACCATGATTATTTTATCAGGTTGAGTTTTAGAGTATAGCAATAGCTGTTACAAAGACAGTGAGAGGTTTTTGTCAAGCTCACCATCAGAGTAAGTTAATTTGAAATTCTCCAAAAGCTGGTGTAGGTGTAAATGTACTATACATACACTCTACATACAGTACCTGCGTATTGTGTTTTCACATGCATGTGAGTATGATACGAGTTGGGATATTTGTAGCAATACGCTAAGGAATCGTTTTCGTGCGTGTGTACACATGCATGGGCACATACACACAAATTCGCACAGATGCATGGTGTCACCTACAGTGGTATCATCCCTTACAGTCAGGCAGGGATCATCATTGCACCTGCTAATTACCATCTCCAGCTGGAGAGTTAAATGGAGATCTGTTCTATGTCTGACCTTTGACCCCATGCTCTTTATGTGACGCACTTCAAACCCTGTTTGGGCCTGGCTGGGCTGGGCCTTAATGAGGCCCCATGTCTGCCCTCTGTGGGCTGTGCGCTTTGGATGCCCCGCTTTCATCCCCGACCATCTTCCCTTGATGTAAATTGAAAAGATCACAGCTATGGGGAGAAGACCTGTACTGGAAAGGCCCCTCTGCATAGATTATGAATATCATAACTCAACAGTTTTTTTTTTCTCCCTCTCCCCCAACCACCCACTCCCCTCTCTCCTCCTGCCACCCCTTCCCTGTACAATGCTATAGTTCTAATTGGACCCAATGGGGGACTCTCTGCCTTTGATCTCATCACCGCCACTGTGACTTTACACTAAAAAATGTCACTGCCAAATTGGGTTATCACCTGTAGAGCCTGGCCTTCCTCTGATGCCTGTACGCATCTCGTTAGCTTCACTCAAACTGTAGAAGTTAATTAGTTTGACAGAGCCATTACCGTGGAGGCATACCTGATGATTGTGGCGTAGGCGCCATTTTCAAAATCCAACTTCTAAACACACATTTATTTTTGTGTCGTGTATGTGAAGGAGCATGCGGTAGACTGTGTTTCATTTTATCTATTAGCAAAGACAAAATTCTGGGATTTGTCATGTACTAATACTATATTTGTTATATATGACAATTTAATTAATCACCACGTGTGACAAAAGAAGAATATTTTCATCGTGCTTAACCTTACTTGTGAATAAATGTGAAACTTTGAACTTATTGCTTTATCACCCATTTTTCTCTAACGCTAGGAAACAAAACACAAGTGAAGTGGTGTCCCCACCTCATTAAAAGTGTTTGCCACTGCAGTGCTCCCACCCTTTCAAAGCTGCTGTACAGAACTCTATGTGCAGAGTAAACTCCGTTATCCCAATCTTCACTGACAGTCTTTGGGGTATGCCTCCCCCACTTAGACTGACATTGTGTTCGCTTTGATTCTCCCCCCGAAAATAAGACAGTTTAATGATTTGCAAGGATGAAAAAAATCAGTGAAAACGCACATAAACATGAAATATTAATTCCAGAAAGGGCTTTACATAAACATAAAAGCATTTAGCACAATGAGTGAATATGGAGATGACACTTGTTAATTTATCCGTGATAAACTTCCTGTTTGATGCCTGGGAGCATTTGCAATGGCAGCACAGGGACGTTGTGGAGAGTGAGAAAGCCCAGGGGAGAGGAGTCGGCGCTGTTCGTTTTGTCTTTGTCCCAGTTTAAGACTGCCACTCTCTCTGTCTCGCTTTCTCTCCTTCTCTCCCTGCCTCTCTGTTTCTTTCTGCCTGTCCTTTGTATGAGCTGTGCTAACACTTTGCTTCTCCTCCCTGAAGTTTTTCATATAGGCTAATTGCAGACACCAGACCGCGATATCCCTCCAACGCTGCAGCTACACAGCATGATATATTTGGCCACCTCTGATTGAAATAGACCTGATCAAAATTTTATCACATTTTTTATCACATCACAGAAAAACTGTGGTCATTTAATGGTTGACACAACCTCAAATTTTCTCCTGCTTTCATTTCTTCTTCCTACTCTTTGTGCCCACAAATACTGCTACTACCAATTAAAACTAATAATATTGATATATAGAATTTGTTGTAAATGTTCTTTGTAGCTTTACAGAGGTGGACAAGCCAGACAATTAACACAGAAATATATGTGACACCACACACACCAAAAAATGTTGCACTGTATTAGGAGGTGATTGAATGGACTGGTGAAATATGCAGTGCAGTGTTAAATCTAATCGCAGACTGCTAACTAAAAATGTTAATTACTCTGTTCTGTTCTGTTCTGTTATTTACTTTATTAGTTATGCATGTGCAGTCAGTTTTCTCACCCCGTATTCAGACAGCAGAGTGGTGAAGGTCGAACCTTACCTGATGAGCATTGGCTTAATCTGCCTTGTTATTGTGCCCATGAGCAAGACAACAAATCCTTACCGGCCACAGCTCTGAAGGCAACACTTTTCTGAGTTCCATATACAGAGATTAAGCATTGATTTTAGACTTTTTAGCTTATTATATGTTGGTATGGAGTCTAGAATATAAGATAAAACAATGCAAAGTTATTCAGTGAGGAATTACAATTAATCAGTTTTTCCCTAATTGAGGTAGAAGGTTAAACTTATAGGTTTTTCTTTTAAAATGGTGATTCAAGCTCGTACTACTGCTAACAGCCCACACCAAACTGCATTACAGTAATCTAGACCTCCTGTGCAACCCAATCAAACGTTGTGCTTTTGTGCTAAGCTGGCACAGCCCACACAGAGAGCAGCAGTCCCTCGCTATCTCTGCCTCCTCCTCGCTCTGCCACCACACAGTCAGACTACTGCTGAGCAGGTGAGGAGAGCCTCTTGACAACTTCCTTCCCAGACTCCCCAGGGCCCGTTGGCCAGGGTGAATCTTTTGTCATCCTAAAACAAGCTCGGGCCTGCTGCTCCTCCACTCTCGCCTGGAGTCCTGGAGACAGAGCCAGGAGAGGGGAAAATAATTAAAGACATTTTATGTCAAGAGTCCCTTTCTAGAGGGAGTTCGGGAGAGCCAACAGGGGAGGGGAAAACAAGGAGGACTGGAAAGGAAAGAGGAGGAGAGTAAGAAATGGAGGGAGAAGCGAAAGAAGCAAGAAGTTGATGGGAGGAGAGCGGGGGTGGCAGCATGGAGAGAGAGGAAGAGCAAGGATGCGAGTTTCCATTTCCTCTCTGCTGTCCCCTCCCTCTCGCCGCCCCCCGTCCTCAGCTCAATTAGCAAAGCAGCAGGTGCTCTCAGCAGCACAACAGATAAGCTTGGAGGAAAGGCTGAGGCTTTTCCCTTTCTTTTCTTTCCTTTTTTGAGATGACCTGCAAATGTGATACTTCACACCCAGAATGGGCTAGCTGTTTCTTCCACCAATTTCAGAGGTGATAATTTAACTTTTACCCCTCCATCTTTCTATTTCCCCCCTCCCACCTCTCTCTCTCTCTCTCTCTCTCTCTCTCTCTCTCTCTCTCTCTCTCTCTCTCTCTTTCCCTTCCCCACATTCTCTCTTTATATTTTCTACCAGGTGTCCTCTCTGAAGAGCAAGCTGAAGAAGCAGTCAACAGCAACAGGAAGTGGTGTGGCGAGGGCTTTCATGAGAGCGCAGGCCGCTCTGTTTGGATCCTACCGAGATGCCCTCAGATATAAACCTGTAAGGATCCAGTCATTAATCACTACCAATCATCTCATAGCATTGTTGTATCATATCATAATAAAGCCTTATATACTTAAAGGGCCCTAAAAGAGTTAGTGACATCTAGTGGTGTAGTAGCATATTGCTCCTCCTCGCTTCACCCTCCCCGTCCAAGTGTGAAGGAGAAACTACGGTGGCCGTGAAAAGCTAAAAAAAAAAAAACATGCATCTAGTGTTTAAGCTGACCTTATTTTAAGGCTCAGTTCACCCAATTACAAAAAACATAATTGTAAACATAACATAACCGAAACAAACATCTCACTTTCTTTTAGTGGTACCAAGCCCTGCAGAGTTTTGGTTTTAATAGTTTTGAGATATCCATCTCTGAGATTTTTTCCTCCACTGCAATACAATGGATGTCTATGGAAAAAAAACATTTCAGAGGAAAAGGTCCCCCTTACTCTGGATTATCACAGACAACAGTTTTTTATTGAAACTACTCTTTTAAAATGATTTCCAGGTAAACTGTTCACAGTTAGGATTGTCCAAATAAATGTTTTTCCATGACTGTGAGGACCTTGAACAAAATTCAATTTGTATCCATTCCACTGATGTGGCAGCAGAAATCTCAGAGCCAGATAAAAACCTAAACGTGAGAAGAGTGTTTTCTTTCTGTAATTTGACCATTTAGAATAATCTGAGACTGATCTCTGTACTGGAAAACAAACAAAAACATTACAATTTACGGATTAGATATTGTGTATAAAGGCCATAGATTGTATTTTTATTCACAAGCAGAAATATTCACAGACATGAATATAATATATTTGCTCCTCCGACTGTGTAACACGCAGTAGTGATCTCAGTTTGGGTTAGGTGAGTCAAATTTCACTGGAGTCTGGTTGGACTGGGGCAGTTTTGACTGAAAGTAAAAGGTGTGTTTTCAGCTGGAGCGCAGAGCTAAGGTGGGCCTGTCTGAGGCAGTGAAATGTCAGAGGAGCTGAAAAGAGTCAGGACGTTCCCTTTGAAGATCCCTTTTAGCCACCTTTGGTGTTTTACTCTCCTTTACTAAGCCCCCCTAACATTTCTTTTCTGGATCTTTTCTGCTTATCAAGTCTGAGTCAGAGCACAGCAAACTACAGCATGTCCTGTTTGTCAAATAGCGAAGCCTTTGTTCCTTTGGCTTTGAGATTAATTGGACTTTGTGGACTCCCGGAGTCAAGATGCTACATTATTGATGCTGTCTCTCTTTTCTCTGTATATAGACAGTATACGAACAAACTGCCTCCCCTCTGACACAAGCAGTGAGACTCAGTGTATGTGTGTGTTTGTGTATGTGTGAGCACAACATGCAGTAATTTCTCAGTTCACACACTCACATCGTGTTATCTTTTTAGAATCTGAGAAACTGAATAAAAGCCATGGAGTTAACATACATGCGCACACATATGCACACGCAAAACTGTGCATCTGCCTTCACGGAGAGACTGATGATACTCCCTGTGTTCGGATATTTGTGGAATATCACTCTGCTAGTTATTGTTGTGAGCTGAGGAAAAAGATCTTCCTAGACAGAGCTGAGCCGAGCGCCGTGGTTCACAGGCCCATATGCCTCAACAGAAGGAGGGGTGTGGATGCTTGGTGGGAGTCTTGCTGAGTTGTAAATGAAACAATACTGGAAAATGATAATGAGTTGAAAAGCAATCAGCTGATTAGAGCAGCATTTCTTAGGTCATCAGTTTCAGCTCACATTGATGGTCCCCCAGGTGCTTCTCACCAGCAGAACACATGTGTCGGGCAAAAATAACCTGAAATAAGCAACTTATATTACCACCATTGATGAAGCCATTTCGGGTAGGTAGGTGTGCATATTCCATAGCTGTGGGTTCACAACTATTTAGAGGTAGAATTAGAAGTTTTACTCAAGAAGGCATGTCACCAGTTCACATCATCCAACTAGATGTGAACACACTTGGTAGGGGAGGTCGGGGTGCCATCACATGTTCAGAAGTATTGAAGATTATTTTAGACACAAAAGGTTACACATTGCATTGTCTCATGTATAACAGATCAATGTAATGTGTTAACATACAGTAGGAGTCCTGCACACGCACAGGTCTGTATCAAGGTGCAATTTGTTTTTTGGAAAAGGATCATTTTGAAATGTCTATTTCAAGAAAAGTGCCATATGTTCAAATGCACATTTCAAAACAGCTGTATAAATTAACGGCTCAGTTTGGTTTGGGTTTGTTCAACCATAAGACAACCTACACACACATAACACACTCAGTCCAAATATATTCATAGATTTCCACTTACTGCAACTTCAGTTCCTCCTAGATCACAACTTTCATCCACAGAGAACTGCCCACTTGTTCTGACATTTTGAACAAATCTGCTCAAAGATGAGTTTCTCTTTTTGTATAATTGTTTCTGTGTAATGGTTTACAATCTCTTACTAAATCATTTCATAATACCTTTTTTATATATAATGTGCATTCATGTTATACGTTGTTGTCAGGCTGAACATGAAACATAGTACATTTGTACATTCACACTTACTTGTATTGTTCCATACAAGCATACAAACAAATTTAGTCCCCCACTGGAGCTCCCCTCACCAATTCTAACAGGGCTTCATAAATATTCTTCTCTACATCATGGAGTTGCTTTGTTGTGTAGTTGTCTTCAGAGATTGTCTTTTTTTTAATGGCCAAATAATATTTGATCAATTCTTTTCATGTCTGTAAAGTAGGGGCTTCAGTTTTTTCAGTAATAGCAGCCTTGGAAGTTAACAAGTGCTGCTCACTGGTCACTCTGCATTTACTATAAAATGACCTTTACCCTAAGCGAGGCACTAAACCCTTACTATTACTAATATTAGTGCCACCAAACCCACATTTTGTTTCTAAAGATACATTTATACTAAATTAATTTTATTGGATACATACAATTAAGACTTACTGTAGTTGTCACAGTCTTTCTTTGTGCTGGCCATCCTTGGTGATACTCTCAGAATATATAAAATTAATGTTCCTCTAGTCTTTTTAAAGTCCTTAAGATACTAGTTTTAACTACTAGTTGGAGTCCAGCAGCAGTAGCAGTTGGCATTCTGTGCAGGCCTGTGTGAACTAAAAGATTTTGTCGGATACTGCTGTGTACACAGTGTGTGCAAAGTCTTAAAGTTGACTGTTTTTTTTTTAGCAGCAGTTAGTTGTGAGTCTCAGCAATGCTATTCAGTTTTGTTTGCTGCAGTATGGTCCAAGGCTGTAGCAGCCAGATGGAGACTGCAAAGCTGATTAACTACAACAAGCTACTTTCAACTTGGCTTTTTACGAGAGAATACGCCTTAAAAACTTTTAGTGATGTAAGTGGAGCAGTACTCCTGTGATGTAATTTGGGCCACTGGTATCATCCGCCCATCCTCGAAAAATGAGGTTAGTCTCCGGTGTTGTTAAGTTGTTTTTATGTGCCACACTGTGCTCACAGCCTCGAACAGACAAAGCGCATTGTTTTACACCAGAAGAATTTAGAGCATCATTGAAATATGTGAGAATTATGTTAATTATGAGAAAACATGAATTGAAAATGACTGTGGGGCTGTTTGTGATTGGCCTGCAGTGGTTCTGTTGTCATCCTCCGTGTCTATAGCTCACAGGCCAAGAGACATGATGTAAGAAATAGTAATAATGTGATAATGTGTTCATGTGGAGTACTGGGGAGTTTACTGGGACACTGTCTTCTGGTCCGGGGGAGATCGTGTGCGCTCTGCCAGCGGAACTGTTTTCTGTTTTTTTTTGTTGTTTTTATGTATTCTTTCGATAGTCTTCCTTCTCCTTCTTCCTCTTCCTTTCTCTTTCCTTCCTGTCCCTCTTTCAGACTCATTTTCTGTTTTCAGGCCCACTCCGCTCACTAATGAAGAAATCAGTTGAAATACTCCTTGGTTAGAGAAGACTTTTTTAACAGTGCATAATGAAAATAGACATGATGTGAGCGTCATAGTGCTGTGAATTATATTATAAACAACATTGTTTATTTTAGACCCCCTGCCTGTTAAGGCACCAAACGCATCTGCCTTCATTCCTCTGAACTAAGTAAACATGGTGAAAAACAGATTGGTACAAAGAAAAGTGAGCCAAAATGAATTAATCTTAATTGTTTATTTTAATTTTTGCCAATAATGTCTCTGTGGACTCCTCAGGGGGAGCCAATCACTTTCTGTGAGGAGAGCTTTGTGAACCATCGCTCAAGCACCATGAGAAACTTCCTGTCCATGGCTGTCAACCTGCAGCTCTTCAAACAGGTACAAACAGCTGTCTGCAAGTGTGTGTGTGTGTGTGTGTGTGTGTGTGTGTGTGTGTGTGTGTGTGTGTGTGTGTGTGTGTGTGTGTGTGTGTGTGTGTGTGTGTGTGTGTGTGTGTGTGTGTGTGTGTGTGTGTGTGTGTGTGTGTGTGTGTGTCAGAGATTCTGTGAACCAACATTAACTTTTGGTGAACTATAACCAGTAAAATTGATCCGACCCTAGAAAATGTTTCAGTTCTACACATATTTATCATTATGCGTACAAACTTTTACTCATCATGAGATCATAATTATGTATTAAAAAAAAATCTGCTGTCACTTACGTGGGCACACTGACGGATGCACAGCTCTATCTGTAAGCTATAGACAAGCACAAATAGAAAAAGATGACTGAGTGCTTATATGGTAGGTTACTCTGTCCTCTCCCATCAATGTCAGGTTATTTTTGAGCTGTTTATTTTTTGAGCTGATTTTTTATTTAGAAGGGTGAAAGTCTTCATTTTTACAGATGAAAGTTTTCTCTCAGCACCCCTTGTGCTCAGCAAACTGTCAACTGGGTAAAGTTAGCATTTAGTATCTTGACAGTTCAGTTGTTTAGAGTGAGGAGAAATGAAGAAGAGAGAGGCCTGGGATTATAGACGGTTATTGACCCCAAGAAACAGTTTACTGTGGTTATCTCCCAACACACATCTTAATGTCTCTCTGTAAGCTATATTTTGCCACGTGTATAAACAAAACTATAATAAGTTATAAATGCTTTTACTTTAGAAAAACATATCAAGGCTGTGTTCTGTCTTTAAGATCTATTCACAAGCCTGTAAAAGAAAAAGGTGGTATGGATTTTAACTTGGTCCTCTGAAAATTGAATTTGCAACTCCACTGTGGTCATATTTGTATTTATGTGCAGTGTTTGTAGAGGATATATGTGTGTGTTTGTGTTTGTGTGTATGTGTGTGTAGCAGGTATGCTTTATTCATGTGTGGTTACACGAGTTTCCCTTAAAATCACTCATGTTTACTTAATATGTTTTCCCCCCCAAATCCCTTCAGCAATACTAAACTTAGCCGAGCCAGCGTCGAGCAGAGAGACACCTCTGGCTCCGGAGAAAATTTCCTCTCACCCCTTGAATTTTTCTTTGTGCTCTCTGACCCGTGATAGTAGTGTGATTTACCCCCGAGAGTTACAGCACAGCGGCCCTCAATCAGCCTTTTGTTTCTCTGGACACTCTGCCCCGTCTATAATTTTCCCAGGCAGAGCAGATAGCAAGCAGCAGTTCAAAGCATCCTCCCGGCTGGCTCCTGCCTCAGCGGTAGCATTGGGAAACAGGCCCTTATCTCCTCCTCCTCCTCTCCAGCACGGGGGATGGGGTGAACTTATCTCCTCCACTCCTCTTTCGACTAAAGTGAGAGAGGCCAGCAGTCCGCCCGAGCTCTGCTCTGGCCATGACCCATATCCGCTCCCAAACAATACTCAACTTGCATGACCACACACATGCACTCATTCATTTTTATATACATAAGAATGCACTCTGGGACTGGAGATGTTTGGATTTTTTCCAGTACTTCTGCTGCTTGTTTTATTATTTATTGTTTTTATACCAAGTGTTATTATATTTTAAGCCTTTTGTCCTGGTATGCTTCTATAATCCAATATATTGTCTTCATTGTCAGTATATTGCACATTATTTATAGGCCTGTAAGTAGGACGGCTGTCTTATCTGTATTCCCCCTAATTAAATAACACAAATAGCATTTGGCCACATACAGTGAGTAATAAATGTTGGCTGCTATTTTATTTGTCATATATAAAAAAATGATTTAAAATTAAATTACGAATGTTGCATTGCTGATACTACAATAAATTAACTTTTTATTTTGTTAATTATGTTGCTAGTTTTTGTCCCTATTCTCCAGCTAAAGTGAACAGTTTGTGCTTTATGTCCCAATGGGATTGTTGACAGAGGGGAACCACAGGGCGTCATACAGTCGCTGCCATTTGTAAGCTTGGGTAGTGTAAACAGACAGGTTGGGTTGCTCAATTATCAAGCAAGCAATTATTAGTGCTAGTTAGTCTGAATCTGCGTCTCTAATACAATATATTCAATGGTGTATGTCCTTTATTCACTTCCACACAATTTCTTAAGTGTAGGATTTGTCACTGTCAGTTACATGTCAACAATACTAGGTCAAACCTGAGCCAAATTCAAACCATATTATTGGAATTGGTTGAGCACAACACACATTACACACACGGTGAAGCACACACGCAAAATATTGAGGTGTTACCTGAGTTTGAGGTGTCGCCATCTCGGCAGGAAATTGCTTTTCTACAGGTGATTTTGTTTTCATTCCTTGTAAAGCAGCTCTTTTGCTTCATGATCAGCCACAGCATGGAATTGATCATGTAAATTCAGGGAAACATTATTAATACTCCAGGAGCTGAATGACCTAGTGGACAGAGAGACTATTGTGTGCTGTCACGTGACATTGAAGGCCATCAATAATTTTCAGTACTCCTATTGAATCTATGTATTATTGTAAGAAGATACTTACTGTAAGTTGTTTTGGATAAGAACGCTTTCTAAATCACAAACGTAAATGTAAATGATTCTTATTTATATTTTTTCTCATTCACATATATCTAAGCTGTTGAGTATATTTGAGTCCTATTATATTGTACCTCTGTGAAATACAGACACTAAGCCTACCATAAAATAATTATATACACATACACGCCTCTGAAAAATGTCAGTTTCACCTTTTAACACACTTCTCTTCTGTTCCTGGACGTTGTCCTCTCTGCTCGGTCCAACAACCCATCCTGTGTTCACAACAAGTGGGAGAAGTCTTCCAAAAGAATGCGGGGGAAAGCCTGTCGACATTAACCTGCTTCCTATCAACCATCCTCAGCTCCTACACACTTAAATTCTGTGCTAGAAGAGAAGATTCAATGAAGTCTCTTCCTCTTATTGACAAAACTAAGGCATACACAGTTTTATTGAGTCTGTAGGGGGACTTGTGCTGTGATGATTTACTGCCAGGAGCCTTTGTAGACAGTGTGCGTCCCATCAATCAATAATCATCTGTCATTCTCAGTGTATATGAATGCAGTAGCTGAGCTGTTGTCGAAAGGTGTGTCCTTGCAAAACCAAGTTATCTGATTTAAAATCTGAACTCGTGGTTGCTCTGTCCGCTACATGGGGTTCATAAGACTCCATATCACAGCAGTTACAGTGAGCAGGAAAACGGAACTGTATTACAACCAATGGGACTGATGAATAAAACTAGGTGCCACCACTAAAGCCAAAAGTGTTAGTAAGTGTCAAGTGTTTTGAGATGCACAATGGCTGTTAGATGCTGGTTTTAAAAAAATGTTTTTCTATAATACATTGGGGTCTCAGTAGTTTATTTGAAGTCTTATGACCTGTATAGTTATTAATAAGTTAATGGCCTTAAAAATATGTTATGCTATACCTTTTGTTTGATCAGTCAAGGAGCGATAGTGGTTGCCACTTACTCTCCAGGCTTCCTTCCTTTTGGCCAAAATTGTATTTCCATGCTCTACTAACTAGCAAAGATGGTGGCAAGCTGTAAACCCAAATCCAAACTTCCTCTCAGAAACCTATGAGTGACGTGATTTCCGCTATATCCCTGAGTATGTGCAGTTTATGGGCTAAAATTCCACAAATGAGACCCAGGTTGCAAAAAAAAAAAGACATTTCCTTTAGGTTCTCCATGTATATCTCTGTAAATGAACCCCTGTAGAGTTCTAATCCCAACTTCTGGCTCCACAATTCCAGAGTTAAAATAAATCTAGACCACTGTGACCGAGCTGTGAGTGAGTCAATGTGCTGCTGGTAGCCAGATGGAATAACTCTCTACTGTCTGCAACTAAAACATCAACAGGAAACAAGATGACATGTAGACATGAAGAGATGGAGCAGGACTCATGTTGAAGTGTGGAACTCATTGTGTCTCAATCTGTTCTGCATGTTTCGACTTAACTTTATTCACACATGTAGTTTGGGTTGAGTAAACGTCAAAAACTATTGAAGTGAAATTATTGTCTTTGTTGTTAATGAAGTCAATTTGTTTTTCATATTTGATTATTGGGTCTCCTACACTTTGTTTGGATGAAGCTGGTCCTGATGTGATCCTAAACTGAAATTAATTTTTGTTTCTTTGAGAGAGTTTTTTTTTTATTTTAATTTTTTTTGTGCTTTCTCTCTCAAAACAAAGAAAATGAGCCCTTGTATTGTGTATGTGTGTTTGTGTATGTGCGCACTTGGCTTGCATGTGTGTGAGTGTGGGGTGATCACAGCCTGCCATTGTTGAGTAATGTCTAATTAAGGCCCACAGTGAGGCAGGTAATCTGGCCGGGGTGTGTGGAGGGAGTCGGGGGCGTGGGGGGGGATAAGTGGAGGCTTTGGCTAGGTGATGATTTGGGTTGATTATGTGCACTAATTGGGCCAGCCAAGCAGCGGAGCAGTGGTTGAAACCTGCAGTCTCACCTCTCATTAAAATGATCTAATGATGAGTTTCCAGCTCTTCTGACCAGAGGAGCGGGTGGCCGTGTCGGTCGCTAGTTAGCAGGCTGTCCCTGAGGACACGCACCCTAAAACAACCTACACTGTTGTAACATTTTGGACACACTTGCAGAGGTGGCAGTGGGCTCGCTACAGTTAAGAAATGATCTGACAATTTGTCACTGTCAAGTATTTTCGTTAAAAAGAATCGTGTACCATTTGTTGTTGTTCTTGAAAATATACAAAGGAGTGCTTGAAAGGTAGGAGGTGTTGATTGTTAATTAATGCAATCATCAGTCAAAATGAATTTTAGTCTTAAATCCAAATGCTTTATATATACTAATTATTTTGAATGACACCATTACTGGTTGTTAGCTGCTTTTCCCTCATACCTTACACAAATATACTCTGACAAGGTTAAAAACGATAGATTTTAGTTTAAGGCTGAGCACAAAGAACTGGAAGAAAGTTAGTTTTTCAGGACTTCAGCAGACCTTGACCTTCCCCACATCTTGAAAATGAAAGAAAAGTGCTACATTGCAGCTGCTTGTTTTTTGTATTTTTTACACCAGAAACTTGCCAAGCTCAAGGGTTTCACTGGAGAGTATTATTTCCACGCAGAGATTTGCTGATGTTATAAGTGATGTGACAGGAAACTAACAGCAACTTTGGGGTCAATGCGGTCGATTTAGCTAATAGAAAACAGTGCACCATGTGTGTGACTGATTGATCTACATTCACATAAGATGTTCTTCATGTTCAATATTTATATAGATACAAAAACTACAATACATAACTGGGCCTGTAAACTTCTTGGAAAGCTCTTATAATGGGCCAAAATGATAAGAAATGTGTTTAAAACCATTATTGACATCATTTGTTTTTCCTTTTTCCTTCCCCTCTCATCCTTGTTTTTATTTGGTCATGGCCTGTAAAAACCCACAATATATGTCATATGCTTTAATATCTAAAGAATGCTGTTGTTTTTTTATTGTGCTAATCACAAATGTCGAGCTATGTGTGTGTCAATGTATGTGTGTGATTGCTTGTACTTGCGTAACATATTTACATGACTTTGTGACTGTGCTCATGAAATGTGTAGCTGTCTTGGCTATTAGGTCGATGTTTATGAGATGGAGTTTTATGCGCTCCATGTTACAAAGGGAGGAAATGAAACTTCCTCATGTCTCAGACAGTGTGCAGCATGTAGTCTGCTGCCCTAATCCCTCACCTGCTCCACATTACTAAATCCCTATTACCTGCAACCCACCTAATCTTGGGATGTAGTTTCTGTCAGGTAGGATTAATAACACCCCACTGTGGCCTGAGTGTTTGAATCTGTGTGTAAGTGTATGTGTATCTGTTTAAGTGTGTCCACATCCACCTCCGCCTCCTCCCGTCTTTAATAAGCACGTTGTAATTTATGGTTGTAGTTCATCGACGGACGGCTGGCCAAATTGAATGCAGGCCGCGGCTTCTCCGACGTGTTTGAAGAAGAGATCACAGAGGGGGGCTTCTGTGGAAGTGAGTAGTGCTAGACCTGTCTCTGTCTATCAATTAGCCACATTATATTTATTTGACATATTTCATGCAGTAGGCAATTGTTGTCGTGCTTCAAAATCAGTGAACAAAACAAGGAGAAACCATTAAAGTTATGAAAATAAGATCTCTAAAACATTCAAACATACAAACAATCTTCTAAAACAATGATAAACTGATTTAAAAAGGTGGTAAATTATGTAGTATACTCTAGCCTTCTTGTATATGTTTTGTAATATGTTCATTTTAAAGCATTTCTGGTCCATAACTACTTATTGTTTGAGTCACATTTAAAGGGTGTTGTAAAGCTCTTTAAGTACTAATGGACTAATGAACTGTATTGTCTTTGGAAGAACTGAATTTAATTATTATTGATTTAAAAACTATAAAATTACAATATACTTTGAATTATGCCTTAACATGACTCTTGAGTGTCATTTATTGTTTAAAAAAAAAAAATAACTCATAGAACTCATACAAAGGTTACTTGTAAATGACTGAATGAATGATGAATGTGGCAAAAGAAGATTGACGAGAGTTAGCAATGTTTTGGCAGGATTGAGCTTTATTACAAGTGAAGACAAGACACCAGTCTTGAAATCCCACTGGAGTGCTTAGACAAATTATATTGTTTTGATCATATTACTTCAGGTTTGAGTTGTATTTACAGGACAAGAAAAAATAAATGCCATCCAGATGTTGCAGCTTAATATCCGTTGTTTTATTTGGCTTTCAATTCTGATACTGACCCAAACCCACGCTGTCATCTGTAATTCTGTTCTCTAAACATTTGATAGCAAACCCTGGATACCATAGAAAAAACCTCCACTATGAAACTAACAATAATAACCTCACTCAACCATGAAAATTTTACTTAATTATTATTGATTATATGTCAGAAGAGAAAAGAAGAAAGCAAATAATACCAAAGAAATGTATGTATATTTTACAGTCTTTTATCAACCACCTGACACTGTGACTGTCACTGTTTTTCCTGTTCGAAATGGTTTTGTCTACAATTTAAAATGTGTCACTGTATAATATACATAGTTGCCTTTGCTTTGCAATTTTAATACAGTGTTATCAAGTGCAAAATGATTTATTAATATTTCCTGTGTTTTATGCTTCCCTCCAGGTAATTCAAGGTCTTACCAGCAATGGATGCACACTGTAAAGGTATCCACAGAGCGCCCTGCATATCATACCTAAATGCTTTTATCTTATGGCTTTTTTTTCTTCATGTTTCACTCATTTTATTCCCGAGTTATATTTAATTAAAAGCGTGATTGACACGACTCAATGTTTGAAGTCCTGGTGTTGCCTTTGGAATGAAGGGGGCTGCCTGAATGTACAGATCCAGCGCGAGTGCAGTTTGGTGTGTGAAGCGGCGCGTGCAGCAGGACAGTGGAGACAGACAGGGAAGGGAGACAGAAGTGATTTGACGTGACAAGACGTCCTCCGACATGACATGTTGATCTGGCAGCAAAACACAGGCGTTACTCCGCTGAACCGACCCAAGAACATAGATCTCTCCCTCCTACTTCATCTCCTGTCTCTTTTCTTTCTCTCCTTTTCTTCCACTATCTATCTCTCTTTATCTTCTCTCTCACTCTCCTTCTTCTCATCTCTGTCACAGCCCCCCCTCTGTCTTTCTCTCTTTCTCTCTCTCTCACTGAGTATCTCTCCCTCACCCTCCCTCTCTCCGCATGCCGTCAGCTAAGGCTGAATTAGTTCTCTAGAGTGCTCTTCAAAGGTTTGTTAAAGTTCACATTTCCTGACTGACAGGGATCTATAAGAGGGGCCTTCACCTCGGCCCCTCTCCTCCTCTCTCTCTGCCGACTTCTGAAACGCCGTCTGCCATTTACTCTGTTTAGCCGTTTAGCCGATGCTTTGTGCTTACACTAAAGACCAAACAGAGAAAAAGAGTGAGACGCCAAATGAGAGATGTAGCAACTCAGGGCGAGAGAAAAGAAGACATGCACAGAGAGATATTGGGTGCCATAATGTCAGTCTGCAGAACTCAAAGTAGAAATCAATCACACACAGTCCCTTCCATCCCTTTTAGGCTGCTTCTAAATAAAAACCTCCTGAACGCTATGAATCATGCAGTTTATCATGGCTCAGCGATATGATACTTTGTCTGGTGTCACCATTTTTATAGTGAAGTTGTATTACAACACTATTTACTGCCCCAGAGGGAGTTTTGCTTTTGTTTTGATATTGAAAATGTGTTCTGTGTGACAGCTGAGGGGGTGGGGAGATACGGTAGAAATAATGAACACATTATTTATACAGTTACTGTACATCACAATATGACAAATGTATCCAAAATAATCAAACTGATTGCCAAAGCAACGAATAGTGTTCACCTGTTGTGCTTTACGTGAGACAAAACTCCTCAATCAATCAGTTTTTTGTCAGCTTTTATCTTCAGCTCGCTCTGAGCCATTCATGTGGAAATTTGGTGAGATTGTTGTAGTATGATTGCAATAAAAGTAGATAAACATTAACAGTATTGCTGAACCCTACCTGTGTGCATATATGAATATTTAATATAAAAAATAATTACTTTGAATGTGTGTGTGTGTGTGTGTAGAAGCTCACCCAAAATGCCTCTAAGTGACTGACTAATAATTTCTGTGTTTATTATAGAGAGGAGGAGCACTCTTCAACACAGCTGTGACAAAGGTACGTTATTCTGCAAAACCGCTTCAGTCACATTAGTGTAGTTTAATGCGCCGTTTTCTTCAATATGTACATAACTTGAAACATCAAGTCCTGAAAATCCCTTGAAATAGACCCCATTTGACATTTTGCAGGTTGTTTTGTAAAAAATTAATCAGTCTGTGAATAAACAGCAAATTAATTTAAGAAAACTGCCTGTTTTGGAATTGACAGTGGAAGGAATGGGAGCATTGTTCATGACTATGTTTGATGAGCGAGTACCATGTCGTTATGTGCTGTACAATAGGTGGTCAGGGTGCCCTTTCATGTTATCGCCTCCTGTTAGTGTGCAAGGCTCTCTTATCCAGCCTTTTGTCTCCGTGTTTTTGCCACAGGGATCAAAGCATTTCTTGATGTTACATGAAACCAGAGCAGAATGTTAATGCAACATGTTTTGATTAGTAATCTGTGTGTGTGTGTGTGTGTGTGTGTGTGTGTGTGTGTGTGTGTGTGTGTGTGTGTGTGTGTGTGTGTGTGTGTGTGTGTGTGTGTGTGTGAATGTGTGTGTGTGTGTGTGTGTGTGTGTGTGTGTGTGTGTGTGTGTGTGTGTGTGTGTGTGAATGTGTGTGTCTTTGTGTTGTTTTTTACTCCTAGGCCAAGATTAATGCCAAGAGGGGCATCCGGGACATTAAGGGCAGACTTAAAGCAAGGGTGAGCAGCACGGACCTTCACACCTCTCTGACACACATGCACACACCCGTACACACACTTGTACGCATAATTCTGTTCTGAGGCACACAGATAGACACACGCCCCCTTCATAGATACAGACAGGAAGGCTGCTTTACATGGAGAGTGTGAATCTGACGCAGGGGCCTTTAATGACTGTTGAAGCCTGCTTAGTGCTTTGTTCAGGGCTGTACATTTTTAACCAACGCCCCTCTGGCTATGGCCTGTCATGTCATCTGAGCCCCGGCCCCTCTTTCTCTTTCATTGTCTGCATATTTCATCAGTGAGCCTGTGATTTCCTCAAAACTAATGTAACGAGGTGTATGTTTCCATAAGCCTGATGGATTTGATAAGGCAATAGCAGTTTGATCTGTCAGTGGGAAACTGAGGAGAAAGGGCACTGATGATGAACAAGAGGAGTACACAGTGTTCTGCAATGTGCACGCACACACACACACACACACACACACACACACACACACACACAGCAGAGGCAAAGGATAGAGGTGTTGAAATCTATTTGAATTTGAAGTTAAACAGATTTCGTGTGCATTCATAAATGAATTTACAAATACACAGATGAATTAATTATAGTTTCTCCAGAACAGTTTCAATCTGCAGCATGTTGCTGCCAGCCACAGATGACTACACAAGGACCTCAGTGTACAAACATATTGAAAATAAACTCATCAGAGGTGGCTTCCCTGAATGTGAGAGAACACAAGGCTGTTGAGATTCTATATATCTGTTATAGTCAAACAATCCCATGAAAAATCTAAAACCAACAGTGCATTAGTTCCTCTTACAGTGCTTTTAACTTCAGACTAAGACTCAGACCCATTCCTTCCGAAGATTTACATCTTTAAAGACAGGTCATAAATATCTACTGTAATTCTTAAAAAGCATCATCCTCAAACAGCTGTGCACTGTAGTTTTTAGCAAATGTTATTTGAACACAAGTACATAGTCCATTTGTTGGGGACTATTTTCTTTAGTGTGCTTACAGTACTGGCTGTACAACTCACAGTGTATATGGGATAGACTTAGATAAACTGCAGTGAGTTTTGTTCATTGCAACTAAGTTAATGTCTCCAAATGTAATAGTGTGGCTGTGTGTGTTTTAAATAGTTTGGGTCTATGACATAGATGAATGAGCTTTATCAGGGTTTAGATACGCAATACTTGTTAGTAGGATCAGTTTAGTACTTCATGAGATTTGTAGTAGTAAGAACAATCTAGAATATCATCAGACTGATCCTTTACTTATTAAAAATGTCACTAGCAACCAACTGGGCAGAGAGCACCATTACTTCAGTTTTTTAATTTCTTTCATTCTTTAATTTGAAAAGGATTTGGAGAACTTAAATGAAGGAGTAAGATGTTTTAGTGTGGTTCTTTAACATAAATAAAATATACATATTATTCTCCAACTAACTTCTAACACAAATCATCATAATTTTTTACATTCAACAATTCTCAGGAAGAAGAAGAAGAGGGGATGATGGTCTGTGCAGGGTCTCCCACCAGCACCAAGAGCCTGTCTCCAAGGAGACTGCAGAAGATGAGACGGGTATGACACACACACACACACACACACACACACATACACACACAGATGCACATCAGTAAATGCTTTAACTACATATACACTGACTGATCACACTGATGGACTTGGATGCATCTTCCACTCCAGTACTCTTTCTGTCCACTTTTTGTTCTCATTTCTTTCTTTCTTCCTCTCTCCATCTGCATATCTTTCTCCCTACTTTTATTTTCATCTCGCTCTCTCCCTTTCTCCCCCCACTTTCTCTCTCTTGTAAGAGCTCTTGGAAGTACAGTAGTTTGTCAAGGTGCCAAATGTAATGATAAGCATTTTTTTCTTTCAACACATTCATGTTGTACATTCAGTGTTTTCCTCTGAACAGCACGGACAGTAGAAGCAACTCATCTGCTGGTCAGCATTTCTTCTGAAGAATTTGCTTGTGCACCATAAGTAGATATCACTTTTTTTTTTTCTTTGTTGTGTGCAGAGATGGCATACAATGTGCAAGCGCATGCACACTCACAAAATACACATTCATCAATAAATTTACCAAGAGAGTGAAAAATGTTAGAAAATTGTTAGACACCGTAGCGCAGTGTAAATAAAAATGTGCACATATATTTCTTGGTGTAGGAAGTTTAGTTTCATGTTATTAAAACTGCACACGTCTGTACAGTATTAAACACATGCATACAGCCTCAAGGTTGCTAGTTATATCACCCTCCTCATAACTATACCTCTGTACTCTCAGCTGGAGCTTTTCCACCTCTTATTGCTGAGTGAAAAACGGCAAGTGGACTTCCAATTCTGTCTAAAGAAACACACACAAAAAAAACACGCCTGCAATGCACACACTGACATTTTGGTCACAGTCATGTAAGAGTGTGATTAGGAGAGGTTGCGCTGTCTCTAATTAGCGTTGTGTTTCCTGTGTGTGTGATGAGGCTGGAAAGTCTTAGCGCAGAGAAAGGTGTGACGGCCAGGGAGAGGAGAGGAACGGCAATTAGGGCTATTCTAAAGGCCTCCTCGGACACCCTCCCCCCAGCTAGTGTGCACACACAATGACGGACCAATGCGACACACACACACAGATTAACAGTTAACATGCAATTGATGTACACACACACACACACATCGTATTCAGTATATACACACACTCCCACCCCTGTCCCTGCCATTGAGGCCTGTTCATTGCCACAGTAACGGGTCCCTGGAGACCACTGGAAGAGGGACACACAGGACACAGGACAACATGTCCCACAGCACTGGTTTTAGTCCACAATGCTCTTCCCTTTCTTCTCTTTTCACATTGCCCCTCCTAGCATAACTTATAGTTCATAACCCCGGTATATTATTGTATTACCCAGACCACTACACATTAAAGACAGACAACTCAGGAGGAGAGTGTGCAGTCTGCCATCCCAACGGCTTTTTTGTTTCTGTCAACTGAAACTAAGACTGAAAATTGAGAAGCCAAGAAAGCCTTGATAATTTATGGCCTGTCATTTTGAAGGACATTGTACTGGAAATAGTTTTTTTTTTTTTTAGGATAGTCCTATTAGCTTGGTTTATGTCTTAACACACACAAAGCTGACAACAAGTAATTCTTGCACAAAAAGTCCAGCTCAGAGAGAAGGTTTTTTTATTTAGAAAAGACCACCAGAAAATCGTTTGGTAAGTACATAATGAAAGAAAGACTCTCTTTAAGTTTTGCATGGATCTTTTTTCTCAGGTAGTTACACTATATGCTAGCCATTGATTTACTTTCATCTGGCTGTTTAAAGCACACCATATTTACATTTCAGTTCAAAAGAAAGTTGGAGGGAAACGTACCTATTGTTCCTGCTTTCTCACATCTCTCCGTCTCCCACTTTTCTATGTCTGTATGTTTTTTTTTTTTTTTTAATTGCCTCCTATGAAATCTCAAAACTGTGTTCTGCCCACAACTCTCTTGACCAGGTGTTCTTCGCACGAGAAATTGCTCTCAGTGGGACTAACCTGGTTAAATAAAGGTTAAGTAAAATGAAAAAAAGAAAAACGTACCTATCCTCATACATCCCCCACCTCTCATGCCCACACACACACACACACACACACACACACACACACACACACACACACAAGCTATAGCAGTACCATGGCCATCTTTAAAACATGTCCACAAGCCTCAACATTGCAACGATAGTCTTTAATTTTCTGTCCTAAAATATTATTTCCCTAAAATAAAACAAAAAATCTTACTTTTTTTGCACCCCATGTATATCATTTAGGGTAGACTAATTATTAGAAACACCTCTCAGTATAACACAATACAATTCAACACACCATCACAAAAAAGCAGCCTCCAAAATAACCCATCAAGTTGAATCAGCACCTCTCTGAAACAGTCCAACAAAAACTGAACTTTATAACCTTCACAAATTGTTCTGCATTAGTTTTAGCTTCTGTCGGTATACCTAATAAACTGGCAACTAGGTGTAAATTGAAGCTCGAGCACTGGTCCTGCTTATTGAGCAATATAAGTCCTTCCTATAAGTACTCACTTCAGTTACAATAAACACAAGATATTTATATATATTTTCCTGTTAAGACTTAGTGACACATTCATGCCAATGACATATTTTTTGCATCGTGTCCTTAGCTATACTATATATACTTCAAAACCTACTCCCTGTGTCATTTCCACATGTCCATACCTCTGACCAAGTGACCAACAAAGGCTCCTTCACCTGCCTTTTCAGAAACACGTTGCCATCCGACACTCCAAAAATGTGATCTGATTAAAGACATTCCATCCCTCCTGTGTGAAAGAAAAAGCCTGATACATTTTTATCATTCATCATTTCCTTTTGCAAACCCCTCTATGTCTGTCCTTGAAAATGAAATGAATGATCCTGGAGTAGCTCCTTTTAATTAATCATAGCAAAATAATCAGAGTTATGAAATTCATATTCTTTTTGATCAGCCAACACATGCACCAAAGTGAAAGTGCTGCTGTCATTTGCGCACATATTTTAGCCGTATCTGGCAATGTGGGTGATTTGTTGTGTTTGGTAAGCTTGTTGATTAAGAATGTAGGAGTAATCCTTTCATTTGACAAAAACAAGACTGAATTGGACTGCTGACTTCTTGTCTGATACAACAAACAACAACCACTGTTCTGGCTCCTGTATGGTTTTCTGTGAGTGTCACGTCTGTTTTTGAGATTCTGTTTAAGATTTTGTATATCTGGTGTTTGTGTATATGTGTATGTGTGTGTGTGTGCCTGTGTGTGTTTTATGTGGTATTTTGCTGTAAGCATCCGCAAATAGAAAGTGTGTCTGTACCTCAGCCCCTTTGTACACGAGCATGTATTTTGAGTGTGTGTGTGCTGTATGTACACAACCATGCATGCATTTAGCAGTTTGCCTCAGGTTGGAGACAACAGAATGACAGCTGTTAAGATAGCAGAGGAGAGTAGAGGATGGGATAGTGTTATGGACAATGACAGCCAGCAGGCTTGTGGCCGGGCTCAGCCCCAGGCTCTGGACTCTTCACCTGGTGAGGCAGAAGAGATGCCAGACCGGAAAACACCACATATCTCAGGGTGGAGGGGAAACAGGGAGCTAACAAAGATGTAAAGCAGGAACAAAGTCACATGGATACTCCAGTGTGTACGTGCTGGTGTGTGTGTGTGTGTGTGTGTGTGTGTGTGTGTGTGTGTGTGTGTGTGTGTGTGTGTGTGTGTGTGTGTGTGCGCGCGCATGGGAGGATGTGTTTGAATGCTCCATCGGTGGGAGACAGCTCATGTGTTCATGGCCAGTGGACACATATGTACACTGAACACATGACTTGTGAAGTGTCTGTCTTGTAACCGGGGGGACATTGTACGTTTGTGTGGTTATGATTTCAGGATGAAGCACTATCATTTGTCAGTTCAAACATACTCATACTAATATGTATTTTTAATACAATGTACAATGTATGTTTTGTACATTGTGGGTGCATTGTTTTCAGTACATGATTGAAAATGCTATAATATGAACAATATGCAAAAGCCTTATTTTCTTGGTAAACTGAATAGCTAATAACTTATTTCAAAGCATATTCATGTCTCCTGGATTATAGATCATACAGCGTGTGTGTGTTAATTCATAATAATGAAATTGTTGTTATAATTGTAAATGGAAAATAGTGTTTTATAAAAAATTATATTGTGGATAATTATTGTTAGATAGATTAATAGTTAAGATGCGATACAATGAACTTAAAGTACAGTGGCACTGTGTGTGTGTGTGTGTGTGTGTGTGTGTGTGTGTGTGTGTGTGTGTGTGTGTGTGTGTGTGTGTGTGTGTGTGTGTGTGTGTGTGTGTGTGTGTGTGTGTGTGTGTGTGTGTGTGTGTGTGTGTGTGTGTGTGTGTGTGTGTGTGCATGGTCATTTGTATGTGTTTGTAGTCTCCACTTCGTTTAGTTTCTCCCCACTTCAGAGACCAACTGGCCTCCTCGCTGAAACCAAAGTGCCATCTCCTGGCACCCTCAAAGTACTGCACCGCACCCATTCACAGAAAGACACCTGGTGATTTTACTGGATGAGTTTAGTTTAGTCTAACAGAATGAGCATAATGCACATTTTCCTGCTTTTATATGGCTCCTGTTTTAAGCGAAAGGGAAGTGGGCTTTCAGCAACAGCCAGTTGGACTGACGAGTAGTAGATCTTGCCTCAAACGTTGTTTTTTTCTCCCCCACACACCCCCCTTTCGAGTGAGCAGCTCTTAAACAGGCAGACACAGACTTGGCCGTACTTCTGCAAAGGCTCTGCCTCTCCCCAAGGTTTGTTTGCATTTTACCGGCATCTCTTTACATACTCTGCCAAGCTGTGAGATCAGTGCCCACTCAGAAATACCATATGAAATGTATAATGTAAGACGGGCTATTAAAGTCCGCTAGCATTTGGCCCTGTCACAGAGAGGCATAGTTGTTCCGCATAACCGGTCATGCAGGGAAGGAAGGGAAGAGGAGGGGAAAGTTTGTTTCTCCAAATGCAGCTACTAAAATGGATGGTGATGACTATTTTCCCCTCATAACCACAGAAATGAAATGTAATTTGTTATATCAAATCTGAATACGTTTTTTGAGGCCCCTGAGATGTATTTCATACCTTTTGCTTATTGCATTACGAATCCAAGGGTATTCAGGGTTAGAGTAAAGGATAAGTTAAGTCATGTTTACAGTTCCAGCCTCATTTGCTCACAATCCTCAACTGTAAAGCGATACTGAAGACGGGAGTGTATGCGTTGCTTTTTATGTCTGAAGCCTGAACTGGAGGTAATTAGGATTCTTTTACCTCTTTAGCCAGGTACTCAGGAACTCAGATCAGGGTGTAAAAAAATACAAAATAAGATACAAATAATTAAGAAATGTTTCCCTTAAAGTGTAAGTCAGTTTAGTGAGTTCACTGTGTGTCAAATCTTATCCTTGATTTAGGAACCACAAGGGGATTTTCTCCCCTTTAAAAATACTGGATTGAGCTAATAGTTTTATTGAAATAACATGACCATTTTTATTATTTTCATGACTCCTGTTCCTCTAGCTGTATCGTCTGACTCTTTTCGCTCCCTGCGTTCTGTACAGTCTCACTTGTGGCGACGGGGTGGAGACGAAGGGAAGCGAGAGCCAGACAGACAGAAACTGTGACATCTGTCACTGACAGCAGAGTGATGGAGGGAGAAAATGGGAGACAGGAAGGCATGGGGAGAGAATCACTTTTTTCATTTTCACCTTTCAGCTTCCCATTAGCCGACAGCGAGAAGCTAATGAAGGAGCAGTATGATAATCTGTTGTTCTTCCATTTCGTGCTTTCCACTGTCCTGTCAGGCCTGGGGAGGTACTGGATGGTGGCAGAGCTGTCACAGCTTTAACATGGGACCTGTTTGCATTGGTTGAGAATATCTCATGAATGTCTAGATTTGAAGAGTCTATATTTTTGTTGTTGTTTTCTACATTGACACACAGTACATCTAATTTTAGATCTCTGATTTAACTGCTGTTGTTGGTTTTGACAGTTTTTGAGGAGCAGGAATATTATGTTCAAGTAACTGACAAAAGCATACTTTGTATCTCGCATTACCAATAAAATGAATGCAATATGTTGGCCATTCTGAAAAAGCGTGATAAACTCCACTCCTGCGCCAAATTTGGCACTTCTATCGTAAAATGCTCGGTTGTTGTAAATAGTTTCATCTTAACTGCTGCACTAAAGGGTCACAGTGAAGAGAGGGAATGACAAATTGATAAAGCCGTGAAGTGAGGTACCATCCATTTACTGCTCCCTATGGAACTTCCTTTTGTAGACGGCACCAAAGCTGTAACCGAGATCAGAGGGCCAGGCTTCATGACCTGTGTCTGGTTGTGTTTGGGTTCACCTTGCTTTAATAAACACCTAGACGCAGAGAGAGGCCCTGCTTCCCCAAACACAGCCCTCTTGCACAAATGCACAGTCTAAATAACCTCACGCACCATGAACACGCAGGGCATGTGTTGGTAGTGTTTGTGTGGAACCGTTTCTGTCCGAACCCCACCCTCCCCAAGTGTCTCACAGGTGCATCTCCGCTCTGCCGGCCTGCTTTGGCTGGCTGGCATGTCGGCCTGGCCCCAGATTTACTGCCCTGACACAGGAATCCATTAAAGGCTGTTTAGGGATCCCAGGCCTGAGCCCCTCTGAAATCTCTTTCATTATAGCTCCAAGCTACCATGGAAGGGGAGCGGCTTGGCCAATCAGCAGTGCCACCACATGTGTTCGTGTTTAGCCCGATGGCTGAGAGGCTTAAGTGGCTACTGCACACATCTCCTCCGCTGACTTTTATGGAGAAAATGGCACTTTAACTCTTTGTGTTTTTTTGTAATAGGGTGCGTATGTGACCGAGTGTGTATATGTGAGTGTGTGTGGGTGTGTATGTCTTCCCTGGCCGAACACAGGCCCTAAATGAGGCCAGGCCAGCCACACGTTACATTCCGCCTGTCTGGCTGGCACTGCGTCGGCTAATCAAGACCGGCTTGGTTCACGGTTCCAATACTGATTCCAACCCCCCCTCCAAAATTCCCATCATTCTTTGGGGCTTTGAGGAATCTTTCCTCACCTCTCAATATTTCCTTCCTTCCTTTTTTCATTCATTCCCTTCCTCCTTCGTTCTTTTGGTCATGTGTTCTGTTTTTTGCCTTTTCATTTTTTTTCTGTTCTTCACCTTTGTGTCTCTGATTCCCGCTCTACCATAACCACAACACAAGCACACAGACACTACTGTCTTCACTTGTTAAACACACCCCTGTGCTCCGCTCACATTTAGGCTTGTAAAGAACCTTTTCCTCAGTGCTGGGCTTTGATAATGTGGCTAACGTGAGTTTACAAAGAAAAATGCAGAGAAAATCAGAGAGGTGGATCTAAGCCACACACACACAAAAACAGGGAAAACATGGCAGTGCCCCGTAAAGCTAACGCACACTGGTTGTTAGCAGTGCTAGCATTTTAAGTATACCCATGAGTGCTTGGGACTGAAGGAAAATTTGAGATCTTAGCAAAAAAATTTACACAGGAGGTGTGCAGCAATATGTGAGAAGATAAATGGGCAAAATGCAAAGAGTGTAAATTAGAAAGTGAGATAGTGTTAACATAAGTGAACATGCACATGCAGTGAGAGAGGAACATGTGCGTCGTAGTGGAAGGCATGTTAATAAGTGGCCTGGGGCAGATTTGGGCTCCCATGGGGAGAGTCCTGCCCTGCTCTGTGAAGCTTCTGTCTCTTTTTTAACCCGCCCATTAAATATGGTACACAGGTGGCTTATTAAACCCACTGTGTTAGACAACTACAGTACACACTGATCATTCAACACTCTGCAATGACAAATACAAAATCACATGCACTGGTGTGTGTAATGCAAATGATTAATGTAGTTACCCATATCTTAACTCACTCAGTAGCTTGTAGTTCACATATAATGCTGAGTGTGATAAAATACTGCAGGAGAGCCTAAAGATTTTTATCCCTAGACCCAAATTTGACAAATTTAGTCTCAACCCTAAGGGTTCAGGTTCATTAAAAAAAAAAAACTAGTACTCTTGCGTTATGGGGACCCACCAGACCTGCATCTTTCCTGTATCTGCTTCCAAGCTGTCGTTATATGAAAACACTATATTCTGTCTAGACTCCATGTTTAGGGAGACACAACCCCCCCGAGTCCACTTTTATTGTTTTATCATGTTATTCTTTGCGTCTAACTACATCCACTTTCTGTGTTGTTCTCATTAACAGCAGAACTTGAACAAGTCTCCCATGAGCATGGGCCCTCGAGATCTTGGCTACGGGCTAGATGATGATGAGCTGGACACTGCAAGCAAGTAAGTACTCCTAGATTTTTTACCTATTGCTTCACAACATTTTGTCATTGAAGCCATGTTCATGTTTTATCAGGTATGCATGCCATTTATATTAAGATATGAGAACATTTGCTGTCTGACTGATTAATTTTATGAAGAAAAAGTTGATGCCAGGTTCAAAGTTGCCTTTCCAAGGAGATTCAGCCCTTTTTTACTTATGATAATATTGCCCCCAAGTGGACATATTTAGTAACAACATTAGTTGACAGAAACATCAGTCATAGACTAAAACTACTTCTCCTCAATCACAGTGTAATTGTTGACTTGTTCTCAGTGATATTCATAATAATACATAAATATAATCCATGAAACACTGTTTAACTCTGCTCTGTCCCTTTCTCTTACCAGGATCTCCTCAGAGGACAGCGGGGATGTCCCTTCGTACATCGAGGACAGCGATGATTCCTACTCGCTAGAACTGGACATCGACTCTTCCCGCTCAGGCCAGATGAACCTGCTGGAGGAAATCCTGGACTCTCTGAACACCACAACGATGGAGCAAGGCAAACTCAGCGCTGCCAAGAGCCTGGACTTCTTCAGATCCATGGAAGATTTAGACTACAAGGCCCCGGTACGTAAGAAAGACTGGAGGAAGACTAGATTATAAGAAGGCCTCTGTTGTGATTTACAGGTTCAAGACTCAAGGAAAGAGGGCAATTTAGATGGGTACAGATAGACAGACATGAAGTCTAAAATGAAGAATATCTAAAAACAAACTCTCAAAATAATCATTTTCAAATAGTTTTTTGTGCACAGCATCTCCACTGTTATATCTGTATCAACCCTTTCACTTGCTTGGAAGTGGCCTGGAAAACAGTCTTCTTTTTACTACGATCCTAGAGGTACCATTTATCTGACTCTCAAATTCTCCTATTAGCTTAAATAAATTGATGATCTTTTCTGACTTGGGGAATTGAAAAATGAAGAAATACCCCAACACCTACTGTAGATAGTAGTTTACAAAAGCATCATAAATAATAAATAACAAAGGTATTCAGTGTCTCTTTCCCCATTGATAATGGGACTCGACTGGACGAAAATGCCCACACGTTGCTTGGTTCGCCATAACAACAAGGAGGTTTTTACAGTCAAGCACGATAGCTCATTTGCTAAGGTTCGGGGCTTTTCATATGTTGACTATTGGGACACAACAATCTGTGCGTGTGCCATCCTAATTTAAACAGTGTGCAGAAAGCTGGCAGTAAGATACACATGAAATAGTGTTCTCGGCCACATACTTCATAAAGGCAGATATTTGATGAAATCCAGGTCTGTTCATAAAGGTGTTGGTTTAATTTAGTATTTCCTTCCGTTACAGAGCAAGCCCACACCTTCCAGCGACTCTAAACCTGCAGATGAGAGTGGCTGCGGTGGAGGCGGGGATCAGGGCAGCTGGAATATGGGCCAGGATGACAGCGCGGTCCACGGAAAACACCTTCCCCCATCCCCGCGCAGACAGCCCAACAAGAGCAGCCTGAAGGTGTCAAAGAAACCGGCGGCAGCTCTTGCAGTGCCCGTCATCACAGCTACACCTCCAGCCCAGGACACTGACATCTCCAAGTCACGTCCTCATCATCCCAGCTCTGACCCTCCGCCTCTACCTCCAGGGCGACAACCAGGAGACCGCTACTCCTACTCGCCTTTAATGTCCCATAGAGTTACACCGATGCCGCCATCCTCCTCTCTCTCCCACACCTACAGTTCTCCAGAACATTATTCTCCTGTACCAGCGGCACGGCCTCGGACCATCTCAGACCCACAAACCAGCACAGAGCCTCCTCAGGCCCAGAACCAGACTGCCTCCACCAACATCCTGAGGAGGAAGGTGCTGTCCAAGGAGACAGTGAGGCACTACCAGGAAAAGGCCCTCCAGAGGCAGGGCAGCAAGGGCCACCAGGAGGGTCAGGGGAGCCCGGCGAGTAACAGCCATTCAGCTATGCAGGTCCCATGGGAGAAAGAGGTGTCCAAGGAGGGGCTCCTGGGGCTCGGCCTGTGTCTGGGTCAGGGTAAAGGCTCAGGGGCGGCTGTGGGGCAGGATCAAGGCCTCCTCGAGGAGATTGAGTCCATGTGTTGCCTCGGCTCAGTCCTCCACACCAGCCTGCAGCTCTCACAAGTTCACTGCAACAACAGTCACCACCAGGTCCAGGGCAAAGCCACAGACGAGTCGTAGGGATGTCAAAGACTCAATGTCTGTAAAATGCCATAGGTTCTACTGAAATATATTCACTTTAATTCTTCTATTACTATTAGCCGCTATCTCAACAACGAGATCTTTTTTTATCTCAACACTCAGCTATCAGGAAATATTACGGACAAAGTTGATGTCATACAGGCAGAGTAACAACAGAGTCACAGCCTCTAGAGCAGGAACTAGGAAGAGGTGAATTGGTGCACTGCACAAGTCTCCATCTTTTCAAGACATTTCTCTGTAAAATAGAGCCCTAGAAACCTTATTTTCTTCAAATCTGCCACCACAGTAAGAATGTTTCAACCTGTTTTCAATAAATATGAACTTGTTTCAAGAATGTTCTTGAAATGAATGTCTGTATCTTGAATACACATAAATATCTCTATCACTTGAAATACATTGATTTACAATGGAAACAGGTTTAAATGATCTTACTACAGTGGCAGATTTTTTCACATTCCATGCAGGATAGGTGCTTTTCCTATGAGTGAATTGGATATTTAGCTTAAGTGACAAGATGTGAATTTAGAAAGATAAAACAAGTGAATTATCTTGTGAACTTGGCACTTCAAAAACACAAACTGAGGCCATAGTACTTAGATTGCTTTGTGTTTTCGGAGTACTGTGAGATTCGATTTTTTTTTTTAAACTCAAATGCAAACAAAAAAAGGCTTGATAAGAAGGATGTTTTTGCAGTGTGTTTACTGCTCATCATAGTATTTCTGTCTGTAATCATCTAACTTTATGGATAACACGTATTATTTTCCTGTGTTGTATTTTTCATCGTGTAACATATTCACAATGCAATACCTGGAGAAAAAAAAAGACCCATTAATTACATTATGGGTAAAATATGAGTAGCCAACCGGAAATGGAAGAATTTTCCACCTTCACTTGAGAAAAAAAGTCTGAGTACTTTTTCAGGATTAAGAAGGGATGCAATACACCATTATGTCAGACCTTTATTCACAGTGTTCCAAACATTTCACGTGATCAAATTCAATTTGCACTTGTAGATTAAAAAAATTTACTTGACCACCTGATACTAAAATCATTTGAGCTAACACGACAAAATGAGGCAGGATTTATCAGACACGAAGTCCACTCTGGCCTTTGAAACTAATTATACACTGTGTAATTTAAATGTTTGTTTTCTATCACCATGCCTTAAACGGACATGTGATTTGTTTTTAATACTCTGGTGTCTTAATCCATAGATACCATAACAGGTACTTTGTAATCAGATTTTCTGATTCTCTCAGATCGTAAATGCAACAGTTAACAGTTCTTAAACAGCACTGTATTTCTCTGGATTATTAGAATAGTTAATACATATATATATATATATGATGTGCTTTAAGCTGCTGTTTTAAATTGCATTCCAGATAATGAGATGTGCATGTTGAAACCTCTCTCTCTCCTCTCCTCTTGCTGTGTTCCTCAGGACACTTCTGTCACTCTGAAGAGAAGCAAATACAGTTAAAAGTTACAGTGGATGGTCTGAAAATGCCAGTGTCAATGCTCCATGTCCTTTTCCTTTCTCTTTGTTTACCTTTTAATCATCACGCTTCCCCTCATGGTGTCTGTCCTAATATTCTGCGTATTCGTCCTTTCAGCACATCTAATTTTCACTCTGGACCTTAACAATGGTGACCAGTTGTTGCGGACCTAATGTGGTTTGGAGTGGATGTGGAAAATGGGTACTTAAAAGGATAAGGCCGGTGATATTCTACACTTTCTTATTGTCAACAAATCCCACAAAACAATGCACCCTTTCGGGTGGCTTTCAGATTTCTGTATCTATCCCCAAGCCCATTTGTTCCTACTGAAAACATAAAAAATAGTTCACAAATATGTAGTTTCAGTTTACAAAAAAAGGCTCAGTCATTTCTTAAAATAGCGGGAAACTGTAGATTTTAGCAAATTGTACTCAAACCGGAGTAAATAGTCCCCCAAAAACTATTTTTTGGGGGACTGTTGTCAGCTGTAGATTATTTGTAAGTAATAAATTCATTTTTGGTTTAGGTCCTTTCATTTTATTTGTTCATATTAAGAAAAATATACAATATCACCAGACTTATCACATAACTGAGTCTTTGTCTTTCTCTCTGTCTGTCTTCATGTCTTTGCCCACAGGAGGAAATGCAATCTCTGTCCTGCTAGGTTAGAGTCACACACTGTAAAGTAGTGTGCAGTGTTTGATGATTGTACTGTAATGAAGCAATACGGTTCTCCTCGGAGAGTAGCTACATGGATGTAATGTGTACAGAGTCGAAAGTATTTCTATAACAGACTCTCCTGTGGAGAGAAACGCCCGCGTCCAGAGGTTGTGGGTTCCCATCATTCCCTGTGCCGCCGCAAACCCAGAGAAAAGAAGAAAGCTTTTTCATGTGCTTGTGTTGGGATTATTACATTTATGGTTCGTTGTTCTCATGATTTATGCCAGACGCCAGTCGGTGTGGCAGTTTAATAGCAGCTATTTCTCCGCTTTTTGAGTGCTGCTCTGCGTTAACGATTTGCTCATAAAGTCTTTGGCGTGCTTCTAAAAGCCCAGGAATCAGTCTTAGTAATTCCAAAAAGGAGAAAAAAAAACAGTCTCCAAAACAATCTTTGCACTGGCCTTATTCAGTGTAAACACTTTAAAAAAATACTTATTTACTATGCAAATATTTAAAATTATCAAAAAAAGGTCAGTTTTTTTAAAGTAATTATATTATAAAGCATTATAGAAAAAATCACTCAATCAATAGGAGTAAGCCTAATGTGTCCCAAAATAAATAAATATCAAAGTCTATTTAACTGTGTGTGAGCTGAGGTGTGTCTGTGGGTGTTAATGACAGAATGGTGTGTATGGTGTGCCTTATACAGTAAGAGTACCACCCGATAATCAGAACAAGGTACAGTATTATATAAAGGAGGTGTATGCAATGTTGTTCAGACCACCTTAAATCACAGTTAGGAACATTTATTTATATGATAAAGCAGACGTGAAACCTGTTTTTGGTCCTTTAGAAACTGACCTGAAATGAACTTGGGTACTAGTATTGTTTTTATAGCTGTTTTGTTTTTGAGTTTCGGCTGCGGTCCAGCTGGAGTTACTCTGTGTTTTTCTTTGCTGCGGTGGTCGGTGGGAATCTTCCTGCCTGTATTTAAGAGAAGATGTCTGAATTTCTCTGGGTTATTTGACTTTTTGTAAATTAGGTACTTTCTTTGGTTGTACTAATAGGTGATTACTTGTATAGTTTTTGCTCTTTTTTTTCCTTTCCTCTTTTTAAAAAAAAACCTTGAACACTCATTCTGAGCTAACTGTATTGAAAAAACATTTCTCAGAGGAGTTCCTCTAGTTGATTTCATATTGATGAAAAAATTATTTTCAGCTGAATAGATGTGTATTTTTGCTGGCTTGAGTTTATTTTACATGGATAATATATAATTGGTGTTGTATGTTGTAGAAAAATGACACCTAATATTTGAATGTTTTAGATTTTATTTTTGGAAGATAAAAATAGAGAATATTAACAAACGTCCCATGTAGCCATTCATGTTCAGAAGCATTTGACACCTTCTAATCAAAATAAGCAGAGACTGACGCTTACTGTACATGGTACAATGCTTATTGTTGTATCTGCATGTATGTACCTGTATGTTGTATACTATGATTTTGTTTTGTTTAGTATAACAGATTTGGTCTATTCTGTTGGTATTAATTATTATTTCAGTATTTAGCACTTCCATGAAATCGAGAATGATGGAAAGAACATTGGGTCTCGTACACTCATTCTGCCTTGCATTGGGTATTGTGGAGTTAAATGTCATCTGCCTTGCATTTTCTGTAGAAGAAAACATTTCTTCTTTGGTTACTGGCTACTGTAAATCTAACCGTAGAGGTTTGTAAGGGGGAAATACTGGAGCAGTCAGCTGCTGTTAAGTGAAATGAAAAGCTTTAGTAACTCTGGTCCAGTTTACACTAATGTTGTACAACAATGAAGAAATGATTGTCAGGGGATATGCATTTCAGTATCTGCAGGTTTGTGATAACTAACTTATACTCTGCTAAAAAAATAGAGTGTTAAGTTATGAATATATATATATTTATATGGTAAGTATAATTGTCCTGAAATTACAAATTTGGATAGAGTGGGAGGTGACAGATTATGTAGCAGCTTTTACTGAGGTACTATGGAGTGAGAGCACAAACAAAGATATTAACATCACTTCCCCTTTAACCACACATTTAAAAAAACTGTGTGCTCAGTGTAGTGACGACCTTGGACAAGTTACAGTAAGCAACATTTCTCTTTTTTTCAGTCTCAATTTTGGGTATTGTAATCATGATTAACTCTTCGGTATGCCATTTTCTGATTCTGTGCACACTTGCATGTTCTCATTGCAGAGAAAACAACTGTCTTAAACAACTGAGGTCAATCTAATGTGCTATTCATGAGTAACTTGGTACTACTGCACATAATGTATGCACTGTGAACTGAAAATAAATTATACTGTTTCATGCTTTTGCATCTCTGGACTCATTTTTTTATTCTAAATTCTGTATTAACATCGGTAGAACCACAGTATGTGTTAAGAAACAATGTATTTTGCTGACGAAATAGTTGGGGTAGTAGCCTATGTTGTGTATTCACAGTTCACAAAGACAATGCTGGTTTATTGAGTAGTATAGTGTAGTGTTGTGTGTATGTGAGAGAGAATATCAGTCGGCATTGGCTTATTGATTTACCTAACACTAAAGTCCAAATTCTTTCTTACAGTAGCATCACATTGTTCCTAAATAAACCTGCAATATTTTGTTGACAAAAAAGTTAACACAAATAAATCACTTTAATGAACCAGCACATTCTCTATGTACAATTGCTAACAAGTGAAGGTAGCAATAAAGTTCACAGCAATAAACAAAAAACAAAATCATCATCACAGTATATACACTTGAAATTACACCACATTCAATAGACAGTTCTTGTTTCTAACAGCATATAAGTCAACTTAGAAGAAACTAAAACTATTCTTTACTAGTGCAACTTGAAACCTGACTCTTAGAGGACATTATTCTGTCAGTAAGGAGCTACAGTATGGAAAGTCCAGTGGGAATGTTCACTGAAAATGAAAAATAAATCAATACTTGCAGCAACACTCAACGTGTAGACAACACACAAAGAATTTGAAAGGCATTTTCCTGTAATAAATACAATTAAATTGCTGAAACTCCATTCTTCAGCAATTGAAATGATGAGTCTTATTGTCAACAAATCCCATTAAAAGATAAAAACAACAACAATGAATTGATCCTGTTATAAGTATTGTCTGTGAATCCAAAACTGACACTTGACTTGACATGTTTCTACCCTACAATGATTCTGGTTTATTTGAAACAATCCCACAAACACTGCTGCTGTAAATACTTACCAAATGTGTACTAATCCACCTCTGAAAATAGTCCCCAATAAATGCACTACATACTGCTGTTTGAGTCATGTTTGCTAAAAACTACACTGCCCTGCTGTTTCAGGAAACGACTGAGCTTTGTACGGATTTATCTGTTTCCAGATGATGCTTTAAGACAATGTGTCCCAAATACTGATCAGTTTTACTACTTACTGATTGCTCACTGGTCCATCAATCCTAATAATATGGATCAGACACAAAGATGTGACAGACTCGATACATTCTGAACTCAAATCTTTTAAATTTAGACGGATGCACTGCTGGATGCTGAAGCCAGGTGCAAAACATTGCAGGAAGATGGATGGAGCACTGGGATATGCAATTATACAAAAAGGGTGTCACAAGAGCTCATACAGCATGTGCATATGCAAATGAAAAGCGACAGCTGTAATTTAAAGCGGAGCTACTGTGAGGGGAAGACTGTGTTTACATGCAGGCTGCAGATATTCTTCTACAGAGTTCAGCAGTCTCTTCACTCACAATGCTTCAGTCCAAGTTATGTATCTGTTATCAGGCGTATTTCTGGCATTCGCTCCTTTATTGCTACAATAACAACATCCCCCTCCTGCATGTAAACACAGTGTCCGCCTGCATCTCATATAAGTCTCTCCATAGGTGGCGGCTGGGTGATACTCCACATCTCAACCCGTGATCCCTCCTTCTCCTGTCGGCTGGGACTGTAGGTGCCATGTGTGGCGCGCCGATTTAGCGCCACCACCAGGCCGACGGAGGTGAGGATGAGAACCAGCAGCAGGATAACCGACACCAGACTGACGGACAGCAAAAGGTCAGAGGTCAAACCCTCAGCGGTCAACTGTGGGAAAAAGAGACAGAATCAGATAATAGAAGCTTAGTGGACATGTGATGGTTTAAAAAAGCTCGTACACTGGATACGTTGTTTATTTCTGTCCCTCTCACACACTGTTTCTCTCACTCACACACACTTCTCCTCTCCTCACTACACCAGGCGCTCAACACGCGCTGCCAAAGTGCTGATGGATGTGTTTCCCAGCTCAGCAGGTGGGTTGCGACCACCAGGAGCCTCAAGTTGCCGTGGACTGAAACCTCCCTCCGTCTGCCGCCTCTCTCGCAGTTTGGCTACGGCCAGCGCCAGCCCCAGCGTCACCACTATCGCCAAGCCAACCAGACACGGTGCCAGCACGGCAGCCACCCGCGAGCTGTATGGAGCACGCTCCGTCTGTGGAGGATCACACACACACACACACACACACACACACACACACACACACGCAAGATTCTGCCTGATGATCCCATTTGCACATACACAGCAAACACCACCAGAAACACCAAAAACAGCTCATGCAGCCACACACACGATTCTTTTCTAACAGGAAGAAAACCTGCTTTACATTAAGTGTCTGAAAGCGTTTTAATGACTAATGAAACCTGTTAAGATTCATTTCCTTTCTTACAACCCTGTGGCCCTTTGATCATCACACACCAAACACACACAAGCGGCTTCACTACCAACCAGAAACACAATTACCCTTCATGCAAACACATAGATTTATGACCTCACATGTCAAACCCAGTGAATCAAGGCAAATCAAAGCTTCCAGTGCAGCAGGTGAATGATTGTTCATTAACCAGCAGCTGAAGATGCACTTACATCAGTAGTTCTTGTTGCCGTGATTGTCGTGACACTCTGAGTGGCTGCTACAACAGCACAACAGCTGTAAGTATCATTCCATTACACTTAAAATTTTGGCTGACACTTCTTCATAACTAAAGCCTCTTACTGAACTTGTCAGGTTACAGAAGACTATGAAAAAAAAATCTCAGAAGTCAGCAAACTTTGCACTGAGCAATCAACAGGGAAACATAATTCTAATAAAAATACAACCATCCATATCCTGAGGCAAAAAATAACTTATGCACTCATGCTCGACGCTGTAGACATTACACTTTCTTTCCCTCGCTACAGGTTCTTTGTTGACTCCTGGAAAGTGCTTACCTGTCACTGCAGCACAGTTGGCTGTCATAGCGAGTGTGACACAAGCGAGCCGGAGCAGCCTGCAGCCAGGACCCGCCATCAGTCACCGACTGCCACACACACAGACACAGAGATGTCTAACTAACCAGTCTCTAAGGTACACAGCAAGGCCACCCTGAAGCCTCAGCAGAGCAGCTACACACAGAGAGACAGCAGCAATGCTTCCCTGCTGTCAGCACTATCAACCTGCTCTGTGTGTATGTATGTGTGTGTGTGTGTGTGTGTGTGTGTGTGTGTGTGTGTGTGTGTGTGTGTGTGTGTGTGTGTGTGGTGCCTGCCAGATAAGCTGCCCTCATACGTTTCTGTGAAGCAGACCGAACTTCTGTGAATGCCACCAGCTCTCTGCTGAAACTGCACTTCAGCGCCAGATGCTGTTTTTTCGCTGGCGAAGCACATTTCTCCCTCTCTGCTTCTCTCGCTCTCAAAGGATGGCCACATCAGTGCCGACACTGAAAAACTGCTTCCCATTTCCTCCCCCTCTCTCCTCACCATTATGGCTACCTGTGCTTGCAAAGGACACACACACACACACACACACACACACACACACACGTACACACAGACTTGAAAAATACGAGATGGAAGGGAGGAGGTAGCTTTACAAGAGAGGAGTGCTACTGCATATTGACTACATGGGCAAAAGTATGTGGACACCCAATTGTGATTGTTGAACATTTCAATCAAAAAGTGTAAATCTGCTCCCGTAACAGACTCCACTCTTCTGGGAAGGCTTTCTACAAGATGTTGGAACATGGCTGCAGGGATTTGTTCCCAGTTTTGGGTCTCTTATAACAACAGTCAGAAGATTAAAATGGAGGGATGTAAATTTGTCTGCCCATTTTGGAAAAGAGTCACCAAGAACATGCGTATAGGTGGACCAAACAGAATTGCCCAATATATAGATAAAAGTGATAAAGATAGAAGCTGTAACAGCCACATTAATCTCATCCTCAGATTACCGAAAAGTACATCTTCTCCAGATATTTAAAAATAGATGGAGAGTATGTTAGAAATATATGAACACGTTTGCGAGAGTCACTCATAAAAATGAGAGGAGGTCACGCATTGCTGGGACACTATGATGTTGTGTTACCATGGCTGTATTCATTGTCAAAAGACGTGTATTGTAAAACGAAGATTAAAAGATCCCTACCTAATGTTCTTCCAAAATCTACAGCCCTTGTTCAGTGCCCCCATTTAAAAAAAAAAAAACACAGCAAAAATGCCCCCTTTGATGCCCCTATGTCAGATAAAACATGATAAAGTGCTCTCTAGGCGGCTACTCCTAACCCTGAATAAGCTATTTCACCATAAATGCATCACAACTTTCCGCACACTGGTGGCATGCCCCTCAAACAGCCTGAGTCCGCCACTATGGACAGAGGTGTGCAAATACTGTAGCACTGTACCCGTGCTCTGTGTGTGTGTGTGTGTGTGTGTGTGTGTGTGTGTGTGTGTGTGTGTGTGTGTGTGTGTGTGTGTGTGTGATAATGTGTGTCTATGAACTTGGGCTTTTCTGGGATTTACTCACACTACATCTTGTTAAGAAAGATTAAGTGTCTATGTTTGGTGTCACAGTAGCCAGCCACCTGACATGGGCATGTCTGCTCCTTTACTCACAAAGACACACCGATGCACAGTTAGGAAATCAATGAAAGGATTTGTACTGCGGTAAACCTTCAGCTGCACTTTGTCTGGAGGAGAGAATGGAGAAAGGAAATTGGAAAGGAAACCAAATGTGTGGTGATGAAAGAGGAAAATTAGTTGAGAGAGATGAAAAGAGGACAGAAGACAGACAAAGGCTGATAAGATTTATTTTATTTGACAAGAACAAAGACAGAGATTGGATTTATATTGAGACAGGACAGAATATGATGAAGAAAAAGACGTTATGGTCATACATGGATGATCCAGCATGATGTCTAAAGACTAAAAGACAGACATAAACACAGTAGTTTCACGAGGAACACACAAGTGCAATGATTCTGAGAGTTACGATATGCTGACCACAACAGCATGGTGGGTGTTGATAGGTAACGTTCAAGTAGAGCTGCAAAGAATTTAGGCTTAAAATATCTTTTTGCCTCACCCAGGAAGGTTTAGAGACAGAAACGTCTTCTTTGGTACAAAACAGCACACAGCAGTCAGTCAGTCAGTGAGCACAGTGCTCTGAACGCACATCAAGAACAAAGGGAGACATCTTGTCGTCTTCTAGCCCCTCTAGGCGCCTTTGTAACTACAACACTGTTTTTGATAGTTCACACGTTCATCCGTATGAGCTCCCAAAATCCAGTTCAGACAAGACTGACAGGATATCTTCAGTGAGAGACATTATAAATAACAAATATTTTATAATGTTCTTCACTGCATCAAAAAGTGCTTTACTGAATGTAGACTACCCTTCCCTTTAGACCACAGTGACTATCCTATGCAGTTTTGTGCTGAAACGATTATTAGATTCATCACTTAGTCAGTTTCAGATTGATTCATATTGAAATTCTTTAAGTTGTAATGGTTGATCAAAACAAGCAGTTTGAAGTTTTGAAGCAGGTTATTTTTGAACATTTTGTCACATTATATAGATTAAAGGATTCGTCAGATAATCAAAACGGTAATCAGCAGATTAATCAGTAACAAAGATGATCTTGAGTTGCAGCACTAAACCTTCTGTGCTGGTTTTGTGAGACATTATTGCATCTGTGATATATGGCTATTTAAATAAATAAATGTAGTTAAACAAAATAAATAACTATATTAAATAAGGTGCTTCTGATTACCAAAGTATCATTTAAGGCACAGAAACAGCTCTGTGGTACCATTAACCTGACGTCAAACTAGAGAAAACCCTAATGTGTGCTGTGTGCTGTAATAAATGCCTGATCCCCTTCGCTTTGTATGGTAAACCACTGGTCCTTCTCATTTTTTATGATCAATCACCCATACACATGCACCGACAAACGTGCAAACCCCACTCTGCACTCTCTTTCTCAAACAGTCCCAAAGACAAGAGCACGCACACATTTCACATTTCACATGTCACATGTTCACATGTCTAGGCCCCCCCAGTCTATTTCTGGCTCATCGTCCAGCCTGAGGATGAGATATGAGAGCAGCTGGAAGAGGTTCTGCCAAAGCAGCATGGCCACATAAAAGTAAATGTCGCTTACGTCCGTCTGGCACGTGTCTCCGGCGTAGCTCATGTCGCACATGCAGACAAATCTATTGACGAGGTTGCGACAGTAGCCTCCGTTCAGACAGGGGTTGGACTTGCACTCGTCCACCTCCTGTTCACACCTGCAGACACAGAATCACAGTTTAATCAGAGACGCTTACTATCAAGGAGGTGACCACAAAGAATGCCCCTTTTAATACATAAACACAAAATTTTAGTCAATAATTAAAAATAATATAGCACATGGAGGAGGAGGTTCGGCTGGTGGAGGGAGCTGCTGTACAAAACAGCTTTGGTATAAGTGTAGCAAGAAATCGTGAGGTGTCAGGATATAATGGCCATGTTGTGCATCTGCATGAATTTGATTGGACGTTACTCAGCTGATAGCTGGTGAATGAGCCAGTGATTGTGTAGCATGAATGATTCAGCTGATGCCAATCAGCTAATGAAAGTGTGACTGAATTGATTCTATGCTCTGTTGATTAATCAGGGGATGATTTGTCTTTATATCTCATATCTCTTATTCAAGTCTTTTCCTTTCCTACCGGTGTCCAGTGAAGCCTGATGGACAGTCACAAGACAGCTCTCGGTCAGTGCAATTTCCTCCATTGAAGCAGGTGTAGTTTCTAGTGTCATCACCGCACACTGAAACAGGCAGCTTAGGCCTCCTGGAAGAAGACAGTAAGACATGTAAGAAAGTAAATACACGTGTTGCTTATGTTTTAGTATCAGAGGTCTTGGGGTATTCAGAAGGGCATGTGCAGCAGAGTTTGACATCTTTGTGTCTGCCGGAAGCAGAAGACATAGTCGTGCAGGAGCAGTACTGTTCAGCTTCCCGCTGCTCCCCACAGCGGAGACAAAGAGGCTTAGGAGGGGGACAGGATAATAAGATTAAAGACCTCTGGCAACTACTCACCAGCAGGATGTGAAATCACATGTACAGGAATTAAAAAGGTAGCCATTTCTCTTTGGCCTCTATAACCTTCTATTTGCCTGAAGCACAGCAGCTCTGTTCCAAAATATTATGTATCTGTTGGCAACTTTAAATTCATCCCTCAGTGGTTACAAAACACAGGATTTTCTATTTTGTAAAGGGTACAATTTTGGTTGATGAAGTTTTAATTTAGATGCCGGGAATTATTTTGAAGTACAGCTGTCACTCATTTGAAACCGTGGGTATCTCAGTGCAAGACAAACAATGTCACAGGCAGCGTTAATATTAGCTTTGCTTGGCATTTTGTTGCACGCATTTGAACAAAAAAACAGGAAACATCGTACATGACATTTGAGAGACAAATATCTAACAGGAAACAAATAGCGAACACCTGAGAAAAAGGAAAAAAAACCAGAGCAACTTACACATTTCTGGTAGAAATGTACCACGGAATTTCTTCAATGCCTTCACTGGAGAGGAACAGAAAGAAAGACGGGGAAGGGGGGTAGAAAGAGACACAAACAAGAGACACAAACAAAAAGAAGTCATTTTGATGAAAACTTTGCAGCGTAGATGTTCCCAGTAAAGGGAGATGTGCAGCTTGTCTGGTGTCTTGCTTAGCGAGACACTTGCAAAGGTTTTCCTTGTGCAAAATAGGCAAAATGCAAGAGGCTGTGTGTTTACAGGATAAATGGTTGGAGGCGTTCCCCTGCTGGTTCTCCGAGGCAAACGGTAGATGACAAGGGAAAGAAACTGGCGCTGAACCAGAGAGCCTTGTGTAGTGAAACACCACAGCAGACTGAGGCCTTTTCTGGCTGACACTAGAATAGAAATGCAGCTTCTGAGACGCTTGCTGCAGGCGTGGTTGAAATGCTGAACAGAGGCAGAGATGTGGAGACATTTACAGTGAAGGATTTTGTTTGTGTTTGTGCAGTCCCTTGTTTATGCAATTTGGAGCTATTTATTTGTGTATTTTGTGTTCACTAACTAACTGAGCTCTTAAAACTGTTCATTGATGTACAAAGTCATCTTCAGTGCATGAAATATTTATACTGGGATTGTTTTGTTTCCTCCCCCACTAGAAAGTGACTGTTTTATGCTATTTTATTGTCCTGCTTTTCTGTTTATCCAACAAACACATCGACTTACTTGCAGAGGGGTCCAGTGTAGTTCTCAGTGCAGAGGCAGGCGTACCTGTCCGGCCCGTGCAGACAGGTGCCCCCATGGGCACACAGGTGGTTTTCACACACATCCACCTCCTCATCACAGTCGATACCTGCGTAGCCAAACTCACAGGTGCACTGGTAGGTCAGCCCGTTCACGCTGCAGTTGCCGTGAACACATGGACTGGAAGCGCAGGTGTCAGTGAAGAAGTCGCAGCGTCTTCCGGCCCAGCCCTGGACACAGCTGCAGTTGTAGGTGTTGAAGAGGTCTTGGCACTCCCCTCCATTCAGGCAGGGGTTGGGTTCACACATGGGGGCCCCACCGCAGCCAAGGAGCGGAGTATGCAGTGATGTCTGGATGAACTGCTCCTCCTGTAGGCGTGGGAGGTTCACATCAGAGGAACTGAGGTAAGGCAGGGCAATGCCACCCAGCTCTACTGTGCCAAGGCAACCAGCCAGGGACCACCCAGCATCAGGGGCCAGGCCCCCTAAGAAGATGTCCACCCCCTGCCTGAGGAAGTCCAGATTGCCTCCTTGGCGCATGGAAGTGCTGGCTTCCTCTATTTCTTCATCCAGCACCAGAGTCCACCGGGAGGTTTGTGCCCATGGCGCTGACATGAACAGGTGGACGCTGTGCCACTCACCATCACTAACACTCGTCCTGCTGCTGAGACTGACTGTAGACACACCCTGCTCTCCCTCCTGCTCCTCGGCTCTGTCCTCTTCAGTGGTGCTTTGAAGCTCCATGAAGAGGAACCCATCCTGGACAGAGAGTGTGATGAATGCTGAGTCCTTCTCTGCGTGGAGTATAGCTGCATTATGCTTTCGTGTACGTAGGTTTAGTGAGAGGTTAGTTAGATTGCGGGATATGTGGCCGTTTCCCCGGTAGGACAACACAGTGCTCTCATTCAGGAAGGTTGCATTGGAGTAGCCTGGGAGATTAGAGAAAATATCTGTTGTGTATATTTGTTAACACATGTACACACTCACTTTGTCGCACCATTAAAGCTCCTTCGTCAGTTGGCTTCTCATTTTTGATTACCGGTATGTAGCAGAATACAAGAAGGGCGTTAGGCAGTAGCACTGACTTCTAATTCAAAGATTACAAAAACAACAGGCAGTACTACAGCATGGCTTCTACCTGTTTGATAACACTACAATCCTTTTTAGGTAACTGGATGAGGTAATTTATTGGAAATACCCATAAGGAGCAGGTATCCTCAATGAGTTAATCACTGAACATGGGGTTGCGCACCCGACAGAAGGGCAACACGGCAAATTCAACACTAATCCCAGCAAAAAAAGGATAAGCTGGTTTCAGGCCAATCCTGCTTTACGGAGCACATGCAGTATACTGTTGACGGATTGAGGCAAGCATGTTACATAGTGGTCCAAAAACAAGGTTAAAGATTGGGTAATGTATATACATACCCGTGACTCTAAGAGGTAAACAATTCCATACGGGTTTAAGGGAGTTTATGTAACTAACAAATGATGTCAAGGAGATGAAGGCAACAAACTTTACCACTAATGACATGGGACCATATACTGTCAATGCATGGGACAAAAGTGAGCTCACTGTAAGGGTGCTTGTGGGAAACCCAACCTTACTGATGCTGTTAAGTATTAGCATGCAGTTGGAAAAATATCTAAAATCAATCAATCAAATGGGTTAAAAATGTACCTGACCATTTAAATTGAAGTAGTGTAATTTAATTTAAATGTAACTACCAATGTAACGTTCAGATTACATTACATGATTTACTTGAGATTAAGTAACGATTACATGTAATTACTCCATGGTCAGGTAAAATGCGACTACTAGACCATTTTCTAAACTAAAGGTCTCTCATAACCAAAGTAGACTTGAAATTGAGTCTGACCTCCTAAAGACTTGCCTTAAGGCTTGAAACATTGAAGAGACAGATTTTGAACTGGTAAACTCTAAGGTTTCAGGTAAACTATTAGGTCTATGCACTGAAAGGACTTGGTCTCAGCTATGAAAAAGGATATATAGTAACACATTTAAAAGGGAGGTGATCAAATGCTGTGTTGTTTTAATGCTATTGTTGGTCTGAATGTGGCCTTGACGTGGACTTGCAGCTTGATCTTCAATTTGCCATCGAAGATTTGAGTCTTTACTTGGACTTCAAATGGGACGAGACTCAAACAACTTAAAAACATCTCTGCTTGGAACTGGTGAAATCATGGATGCCACTTACATTCATATCCCTGGTTCAGCATTCTGCACTCTGTGTCTGTAGGGCAAGGTGACAGTTCACACCACCTGACCTCTTCACAGCGCCGCCCTGCTGTCTTGGGAGGGCAGGTGCAAGTAAAGTCATCCCACATGGAGTAGCACATGCCTCCATTTAGACAAGGGTTCCTCTGAGGATGAGAAATTGATACAGGGACTTACTTTTACCAAATGCTACATAATGTCAGATTTTTCTTTTCTAAATATGAAACGTATACTGGTCAGAGGTCTCATTATAAGCTTTTTATTTTAGGAAAATAAAAACATTAATTAACAAATATCAATGAAAGAGAACTTTGTGAAAAAAGCTTTTACTCACACTGCAGGCGTTGTCCCCAGAGCATCCAGCAGTCACATTTTCCATGAGCTCCAGAGGATAAGATGTCACTGAGGCGTCCAACCCAAAGAACAGCAGCCTCCTGTCATTGATCCTCAGGTCCTGGATACAGCCTTTAAAATATCCACCAAACATTGAAGTCCTCCTACTCTCCAACAGACCTCCCACATGCACGGTATCTCCTGCTTGGACACTGACTGTTGTGACTTCCACATCACCCTGTTTCTGAGCTGCTATGTACAGTGTCATACGGTCCTTCACCATCTCTACACTCACAAAGTGAACTTCTCCATCATCAATCGCACTCTCCGCCTTCAGGCTGTCGTAGTTATTGAGCTGAACCGTGACCTTGCCGTCCTCCAGCCACATGTGCAGGTACTGGCTGCTGCTGTTGGCAAGCGCCAGGAGGAGTCCATTTTGCCTCCGTGTACGCAGGAAGAGCGAGATGTAGAGGTCATGACCCAGATCATCTGTGACAGTGAACGTTGCATAACTCTGAGAGTCCTCGCTCCCAAAGCGTGCAGTCACATGTTCTGCAAAAAGGGGAAAAAAGTGAACAAGATGAGACAATTAAATGTTGGCCGCATTGTATTGACCAAAAGTCATACAGAGAGCTGGAGTGCATGTAAGCTAATGTCAGTAGTCACAAAGTACAAAAACAGCTTACACTCCAAAATCTATCAGACTTCTTTTTAATAGTATTTATTCAATTTTAGCTTCACCACAGGGATGTAAAATGATTTTCTTTTCATCTGTGCTTAGCACTAAAACTAAACATTTACTACGTTTTTGCAGAATTAACTAAATAGAGGAAAAGAGATTCAAGCAGTTTATGTTGAGGTCCCCAGACGAAATTTAAGCAGCCACCAGCCCTCATGTTCTGTATGTTGTGTTCACTGTCAGCACTTTCCACTGTGGGTTTGTCATCTTATAAGGCATGCAGGACATTGAGAACACACAAAGGACATACAGTGTATGAAAGGCCTTAAAGCTCTCAACGTGTATGTGTGTTCATATGTCGAGTCTATGCCTTTGTGTGTGAGTTAATGTGTGCACCAATATCCAATCAGAATCTCTTTTCAGTAATCTGCTTTGATAGACTCAAGAGGCTATAAATATTCTTGGTGGAAAATCAAAACTATTCAATATTTTTAGTGAGTGGAAAATTCAAACTACAACTTTTTCACTTGATTTATCATTTAGTTTCTGATGTATTTATCACAGTATTCAATAGTCTACTGAATGGTGTGACATTTGCTTGCATGTTCTGTGTATTTCCAAAATAGAATCCCTTATAACCTTAATCCAGTGCGTCAGATAAGAGGATCTGTGCCTCTGTCCTTTACTGTGGCTTTTGATTCTCCCCATCTCTCCTTCCTTATCTTCTGTTACACATCAACAAAGGGTGTTGTGTAATTACCTACTTAAGAAATTTGGTGAGAACGACCTAGTTCTCTCCTTCGATCTCAATTAATCAGGTTAGCTTAAAGCTTAATGTCTGGTTATGGTGATTAGATATCCAAAGTTTGATTCGTTTCCAAGTTTGATAAGAGTAGTAGACTTTTTACACTGTGTTGCTGTTATTTGACTGTCTTATTTCTCCACCTGTTGGAACCTATTAGTTCACAGCTGTAAACATACCCTCCTCACAGTCCTGCCCCTCATAAGGCCTTGGACATCGGCACTGGTAGCTCTGCCACAGGTTGACACACTGTCCTCTGTTTTGGCAAGGCACATCCAGGCAGCGGTCCCTGTGGCTGCAGCCAGGGGACACATTAACAGCAGAGTCGCTCAGCCATTCCTCAGGGACGACCAGCTGCCAGTCCACAAACACATCACGCATACAGCCAATGAATGCTGGAAGTGGAGAGTCCTCACGGGGGCTATTTGAGTCCTGAAGCACTCCTCCAATGAAAGTGTTCTGAGGAGGGGACGCCAGCCCAGCCACGGTGCTTTGAATCTGGGCCACCTCGTGGCATGACTGGCTCCCACAGCTCCCAGCATCATCTAAGAGTTTCAGACTGAGCACCCAGTTTCCAAGCATAGCCTCCACAGAATGCCACTCTCCATCTGTGACATTGTGTGGAAGCTCCAGGACCTGGCTGGGGCTTTCAGCTTCGGCATCAGGCGAGGCCTCCTTCCTCAGTGTGAGGCGAAGCTTCCCTTCGTCCAGCTCCAGGCTCAGCAGCAGCCCCCTGCTGTTCCGCTGGAACAGCACCGCTCTGGCCAGATCAGTCTTGAAGCTGAGGGTGATGTTGCAGGACACCTCCGCATCTACCAGGGGACTCTGCAGCAGCAGGTAGCCTCTGCGTTCAAAGGAGAAGGTGGTGGGGGTCTTACAGAGGGGTCCTGTGTACCCAGGCGAGCAGGAACAGGTGTATCCGTGAGTCCCATCCAACAGGAAAGGAGAGCAGGAGCCCTGGTTCTGGCATTCATGTCCTTCACAGCCCACTAGCCTCAAATCACAATTTACACCTCCATAGAGGAAGCCATTACGACTCTGCTTGAGGCAGTGGCAAATATAGCCTCCAACACGACTCTCACACCTGCCGTCATTCTGGCAGGGACTGGGGTCACACTGGTTTATCACCTCCTGGCAGAGGGAACCTGTTTGCAGAAGAATACAATAAAATCACGTAACTCATATTTTTCTAGCCAGAGTAGACAGAAACTCTCTTAAATGTTGTTTCTACTGTAATTAAAACATGATTGCAGGTGTAAATTATGTATTGTGGCCTGATCTGAATTATTCTGCTAAGGGAAGAGGGAATTATTGTCATTATAACTTGTTCAGTGGTCTTGTAAGCAATAGATGTCTCTGCTGCTATTTGTTTACTACAAACAATTCATACACTTGTACTTGGTTATTATGTGGGCATGTTACATAATGATGGCAAGCAATGAAAACATTGGACATTTTCTCCCATTTTCCTCCATAGTGAGTCAAAGCTTGTTTTTATGTGTCCAAGTTAGCTACAAACTGTGAAGTATGAATCAAAGTTCTCTATGCAGGCAGTGTGTTTTACTCTCTACAACATTGTTTGTCTATTTGTATTTGTCTCCAGAAATTTTTGTTCGTACTGTTTGTGTTGTTATGCTATAGATGTTATTAACATTTGAAATTTGTACTGTAGACAAATCTAAAATGAATGCAATGAGTAGGTATTTTGTCATATGGAGCAAAATAATTACGATTTATTACTTAGTATTACATTTTCTTACGGTTTAGTACAACACAGCACACTGTATAAAATACTGTAACAACAGGTGGATTTTTTCTTCAATGCACTATTATCATTATTATTATTATTATTATTATTATTATTATTATTATTATTATTATTATTATTATGTGTTTTATATTGGTAGGAAGAAAAGATAAAAGAACACAGGAATGAAATACCCATTATGTAATACCTTTACTAAGCATCTACGTATATAAAAATGTCTTCTGATGTTACCTGTTCCAAGCAACAGAATCCCCAAAATCCAGGGTGCAGGTGTCCACATCATGCCGTCACTTTTCCCCCCAGAATAGCCCCAAACTTGTCTAACTGCACCATATTAGTTTGTGTGTGTACAGGCCATCCCAGTGGAGGTCTGCTCCTTGTCTACTTCACCACAATTGCGTAGGGCTGAGTAGCTCCAGTCAGGAGACCGGCAAAGCCAGATCCTGGGGATTAAACTAATGCTATTTGGCCACCTTACTGAGTCAGTGCCACTGCGACTGGCAGAGAGTCAGTTTTTAGAACACAACTCTCAGCAGGCAACGGCTCACAATCTTACCCTCAGTATATTGCTAGATCAAGTCTTGTGTAAACTGGAAAACTAGAATTATCTGCTCTTGTAACTGAAAACTGTAATTTAATGTAACATCCCTGTCACAGTGCAAAGTTTTTTTCTTGACATCAATGCACCAGCAATGCACTATGAATATGTGAATGTTATTATATGGAGCATTATCAATTATATTACCTGCAGACCAAATTTCCAAGACCCAACTACTAATTTAGGTCATTTTAAATTGATTAATTGTGCCGGTTGTTCCTCAGCCTTCTCACTCAAGCATTACATATCTTTAACAGGGAAAAGATCATAGCATTACAATGAAACCCAAATTAAAGCTATGCCATGTAAGTACTGTGTGAGTTTTGCATCTTTCATGTCTTCAAAAATATATATTTTATACTACCACTGGGGGGTGCTAAAATTAGAAAATGTCAAATTCAACAGATAGTGCCTTCTCTCATCTCACTATACTGTTATGATCTCATTATGACACAACATAATTTTGGTTATTTTTGAAGGCATGTCACACTGGACAACACAGGTCCCTACATCCTGCAGAGTGTACTGGAAACGACCTGTGTAAGACATAATGAATTCCACTTGGTTGATCAGAATAAATTACCTGTTGTTCCTCGAGGACAGCTGCAGATGTAGCCTGCAGCATGCTGCTGGTCATAGAGTAAAGGCAGCAGAGGCTCGCTGCCATACATGGCCTGCCACGATCTCTCAATGCAGCGGCCTCCATGCATGCAGGGGTTGCTGCTGCACTCATTGATGTCAATCTCACACTGACGCCCCTCAAACCCTGGAATGAGGAAGCAGATAGTGTTTCTGGTTGGAATAATGTATAGGATTGCAAACATATGATATCCTAGATTAAGTAATAGAGTCAAAGTTCTGATTTTGTTTCTCCCATCATACATTCTTATAAATGTCTGTCTGTATCTCTTCCCTGGTTGCTATATAGTACATGTGTCTCTTGACCTTTCAAACTCCTATTTAAAAACTCCAAAACCTCTCACTCAGAAATGCAGTATTTTCCCTTTTAACTGAGCAAGAAAGTGCTTCATGTACCTGGCCAGCATTCACAGGTGTAGTTACCATGGTTGTCCTCACAGATGGCGCTGTTGAAGCAGGGTTCAGAGTGGCATTGGGGTAGTGGTGTTTCACAGTGTCTGCCAGTGAAGGCTGTGTGAGAGCAGTCACAGCTGTAGCTGGGACAATCAAGGATTCAGAAATCACGTAAATTATTTACATAATTTCCACATTATGTGTACTGTACAAAACATTTTTATTTTCTAAACTTGGCAAGAGCTATGTACGATTTCTTCTTTTCAGCAACTGCTGCTGGGCTACTTACTCATTCACCCCATCTATACACAGAGCCCCATTTTGGCATGGCTGCTCTTGGCACTCATCAATGTTGATTTCGCAGCGGTGTCCTTGGAAACCGGACAGGCAGGTGCAAGTGAAGCCACCAACGTAGTCATGGCAACTGCCACCATTGAGACATGGCTGTGATTGACACTCATCAATCTGGACCTCACAAGTGGCCCCTGTGAACATCAAAGCAGTACAGATGTCAGAAGGCGAGTGGGCCTGCTACATAGACTGAGGGCAGGGGGCAAAAATGAACAAAGCTTTTATGTGTACCGGCTGTGATCATGTTTGGACTGAGCTTTTATCTCACAACAAGGCCTCGGCAGTGGTTTGCAATTCCAAAAACAGTACACTGTGTGCAACATATCTCATAAATGTACCCTTATAGTGATATTACCCTCATGCAATGTGGGAAAAAGAGGATAAGGAATGAAAGTTTAACATGAATGAATACAACTAACAAGACATAGTTTTAAGGCATATGAACCATATGAAGTGTCAAAATACTTTTAGGATTCTTTCAGTGGATTAATTCATTGGGGTTCAGCTAGTTCCTCTATTCTTTATTAAGAAGATTTGAAACATAACACAAGATAAAATAAAGTATAAGTTACAGACATGATGCAAGGCATAAACTTATTATGAAACATTATACCCCAATAAGGGACTGAATGAATCATTACATTATTTCTAGTCGGTTGAGGTTTTTTGTTTTCAGAGTTACCCTTTACTACTCCAGATTTCTTTAAAATAATAACTTGGCCAACAGAGTCACAGATTTGACAGAGCACAGGATGCCATAAGATTTAGTATGACACAGAGAGCTTTGGGAAACATGGAGGACTGGGAGACCCGGCACTGTTATTCCCACTCACCAGTGAACCCAGGAGAACACAGACAGGAGAACCTGCCCACTCTGTCCACACAGGTAGCTCCGTTCTTGCAGGGCTGCGACACACACTCATTCACATCAATCTGACAGTGAGCACCCTGGAACCCCGGCACGCAGAAGCACGAGTAGCCGTCCCCGCGTATTCTGCATATCGCCCTGTTTTGGCACGGGTTTGGAGAACACTGGTCTACTGGTGAGGGCAGCCTGTCAGTGGATGCACCTGTGAGCACATCACATTTTGAAATATTAATATCACAGATTATTCTTGCTTCTGAGGATGTAATAAACCAACAAAACCAGGATATATATTCTTTCTGATAAAAGATATTTGCAATATGTTACTTTTCATATTTCATTGTTTTCTGAGTCTTGAAGCAAAACAAACGTTTTTTTCCAATAAAACTGCATGTGTGACTTATGATAAAATGTACTTTATAACCTCTGGTTGTAAGATTTAGATTAGGAAAGTCTTCATAAACTGGTAAACAGAAAAAACTTTGCACCAATGTGAGTAAACATGCTCTCGTTTACTATTTTAGTCTAATCATGCCTGGCATGAAGCTCTTTTATCTCAATTTATGTTTGATAAAACCCCTCTGTCTAGCAGTTGTCGGCACAAGGACTTCAAATTTAAGGGCCTCTCAAGGCGTCATGGCTGGCTGCCATGGTAACCAATTCCACTGTTTGGCTTAAGCATTCAATCTATTTCCATGGTGACTGCATCCGACCGAACATTTGAGGCATTTACTCCTTTACACTTAATGGTGTGTTTTAATCAGCGGGACATTACTGCCACTCTGCCAGAGTTCTGGCTTTAGGTCTCATTTCAGTCAACACTTGCTATACATACAAATTAGAGGAGAAGCACTTCATTCTCAGGAACAACAATGAAAAGCAATAATTCTTAAACTGTCTATGACCTAATCACTTTGTTTTTTAGCCTAGACTAATAAATATGATGTAGAGAATTGTTCATGTTAACCTCATTCAAGTTAAACTACATTTAATTCAAAAAAATTTTTGCAAAAAAATTTATATACTGTATCATAGCATCAATGCACCATATATTTTTATATTAATACAAATAGGAATGTGTTTTAGGCCCACAATTTCCACACTTTAAAGAAGAATTTGCAACTTTACTTTAAATGCAGACTCCAGGTAATTTAGCTTGTAAAAATAGACGTGTCTGTTAATTGTATCTAGCTTTATAACATTCTGTTGATTTCCAGGAAAGGGCTATTCCAAACCTTAATATATCGTATATATGTTGGAAGTTGGATGTATAAAGAATGGTATTCTCTATCATCTTGACAGCTAATTTCTCAAATCTCAAAAAGCAACTGCATGTTTAGGATAACTTTGTGTCCTTGAACTCCTTAAACCTCCCCCTTTTTTGACATCCAACAACATCCAAACAGTATGACAATATTACATCTGGGTGTTCCAATAATTCACTTTAACTTTACACAAGTTATTTCATATTAACACTAGGAAAATATTCAATCCCATGTTGTAATTGTTTTATTTTTCAAATGACAAGTAAACATTCTGGTCACATATTTTCAAATATCACATACTATCATAACACTGTATATACTATATCTTAGAACTCAAAACAACGTTCTGTAGGTTTGAGCATTTTGTAAAGGTGTACCCACGAGTTGAGATTTTTTTTTTCAGAAAACCAAACATCTCAAGAGCCTCAACCCGATGATGATGCATTGCGTATTTCTTCACTCTTCCTGACTCTCAAATCATACATCATGTCAACCCTGAGATTTGCCTCCCACAGCTCATACACATGCACAAAAACATCAAAGACAAATAGCTACCACTGAGGCATCTCAAAATTGCCATACTCCAGGCAGAACGAATGGGACCAGCTCAGAGGCAATGATCCTGGTAATCCATGGAATGTGCATAAGGAGACACAGAGGCGTGATGCCACAAGGAGGAGGCTTCAAATCAGCGGAACAAGTGTTGCTTCTATTAGATGATAATCAGGCTGAGACAGTTTTCTAAAAGTCTTGAAAGCAATTTATGGATATTGGATGGACGGGAAGATACTTGAAAGCGTGTACGTGTGTTTTGCATGATGGGTACAAGATGGATTCTGCATCATTATGAGGCCAGGGGGCACAAATGTAGCCATAGAGATATTCCAATAATATTCCTCACATATGATAATCGTGCACAGTAATCATGCTTGAAGAGCACAATCAGGCTGAGTGTGGACTATAAAGGAGTGCAATTACACGTGCTGCTCCATCTTCACCAACTCAGGCAACAATCTTATGTCATTGGTGGAGGTCAATCAGTTTCATAGACAGTTGGCAGAGTTCTCCAGGAGCAGCTTATATGTGTCTAGACTTGGACTGGTATGGGCCGAGTGTCCCCGGGGTGTGATGGAGATCATGAGACCATATGCTTATATTACATTGAGGATCAGCTTGTAAATTCAGACCAGATTAGAGGAGCATGTTGTAGCAGTGTTTAATATATATAATGTCTTGAAAAACACAGAGACAGACTTAAAAGCTTGTAACCATGAATAATTGCCTACGAGTATCCAGTGTTTTTTTTCTTTTTAGGAAACTGGGACACGTGGTGTCTGTTTGTAAGATTTGCTCTACTGAATCCTCTTGGTCTTTCAGGCAGGGAGTTCAGAGGATTCAGAGCCATTGCCTGTTGCTTATTTGAGACAAAGCTCCAGCCAACCACACATCCCCTCCCACAGCATGTAAGGCTTTTTTCATATGCAAATTCCTTCTGAGGGTCTTTGTTTGGTCCTATCTGGAGGCCCTCAAATGGCACATGTGGGTCACCTGACATCTCCTCCGGACTGATGCATGTTGCCACTGTATCTGTGTGTTTGTTTCAGTGGTGATAAGAAGATGTGTGATTATTATGTGTTTTGTGTAGACTAGAATATAGTGCCTTCTTCCTTTTGTCACATTACACACACACAACCCCCCAATCCTAACACCCCCTCCTGGGTCACTACGCAGCCCCCCATTGTTAGATCTCTTTTTACCATCTTTCAGTCCTTAGAAAATGTGTAGGCATCATTATAGGCAATGATGTCATCTCACAGTCTTAATTGATATTCCAAGCATGGACTGGGTAAAATGCAAGCCAATTACTAGAGTCAAATTCAAAATACGCACAATTTCTACACTACTCGGCTTCATTTCAAGGTTTAAGGAAACTTTTACAAGAAAAGTGTGAATAAAACAAGCATGTTTTGTATCACCAACTCCAGTTTTGTTGGTGTTGAAATACAAAAAAAGCCCAGTGACCTTACTGTTACAAATGGCACTGATTATTAGTTAACTATAAGAAATATATGATGATGATATAGCCACAGCATGACATTAAACAAGCATTCATTAGAAACTAAACTCATAGCCACGAGGGAAAAGCACTCACTTACCATCTATCACAACCAGTGGTAAGACGAGAAATGTCCATGCAAGTAATTCAAAATTATGATAACGAATTAAATCCATAATCGGGACAGGAAATCATCCTGCTCGTCTGTGTTGAAGTCTTGTCACACACGGATCTCTCTGCTTCTGCTGCTGCTGCCTGTTGCGACTCATCTGTTGTCAACTACAGATCCACTTGATGCTCACTTCTTATCCTGCTGGAGCACCATCAAGAGCCTCCATCACACATGAAGTAAAAGAAGACTGCAGCGTGGCGTTCAGCAGGCTACACACACACACACACACACACACACACACACGCACACGCGCACACACACACACACGCACACACACACACACACACACACACACACACCCTCCCATACAGAGCAGGGCAGTGACGATCTCATGGGAGGTACAGAAATCTCACTGCAAAGACAGAAGGCTAACTGATGTTAAGAAACAACATTTAACTATCACAGCAGTGGACAAAAGAGTAGCCAAATATTATAATTTATATTATATTATATATTAATATTTAAAATGTAGTTAAATGTGTTAAAAGGTGCTTTGGCTACAGCACGTGGCCCTATAGGCCCTATAGGTTACAAGAAAAAACAAAAACAAAACAAAACATACTAAAATCCTAAAAATCACTATGTGATGAAATCATCTTGATATAAAAAAATAAATTACTAATCAATTAAATCAAAATGTATCAAGCATTAAATTGATGAGGAATGGATTTTCTCATATTAACGGATAAATTGTTAATATCAATGAAATAGCTGAAATCAATAATTAAATAGTTTTTAAGTATTAGTAAGTAAGTAGCAAATATCAACTGCAAATGTTGATAATATAAAATATTATTAAAAACTAAAATAGGTTTTGTGTTTGTCTTCAATGTCCAGTTAAAACTGTATGATCTCATCCATATTACATTACTGTGCATGTTCGTGTTATTTAACGGGGCTGTTAAAAAAAGGATATAAAAAAATAGTCGAATATAAAATACATTTTAATTGTTTTAATGTATTTTGTCCATGTGGTGGTCAGTTTATGAACTTATTACCAAATAAAAGTTACAGATGTTTCTCCTGTTGACAAAATGAACAAACGGAAAACGCAAGACGTTTCCATGGCAACGCGACCAGGAAGTTGAAGCTCCCGGGGAACAGAGTGGCAGAGACGGTTCATCTATTTTTTTTTTTTTAACAAATAAAACTAGCTTCTCGCCCACATGACTTTGTTAAAGTTTCACAATTGTGTTGCCAAAAGGTTACTGTAACGTCTCCACCGTGACTCCGGGATGTCTGCGGCCATGAAAGCCGGCAGTTCAGCGCCAAGTTCATCGAGGCCGGAGGAAGCCGTGGACGGCAGAGGTGATGTTACTGTGCAGTCAGTGGAGAGGGGTAGCTTTACATCACAGTGCTCAGCTTATAGGAGGACGATAAACAAACAAAAGATTGGCTAATGTCGGGAAAACATTACTCCTATCGGTACAGCACTTCACACATGAAGTAACTTAGATAGATAACAGCCACAAACGTTTGTATTTATGATTGATAGTTTCACTTTTCCCCTTAAACTGGTCTAATAATGATAGAAGGTGAAAGTTATTAGATGTTAAGGTGATTAGATGTTAAGTATTTTTTAAACTATTTATTGTGCATATACATGTGTTTTGAGGAATTATAAATAGTTTGTTAATAATATATTATTGAGGGAAATTAATAATAATAATAAGTCATACTTTGTTAGAAATAGAGATCGTCTTTCCAGATTCCCCAAAGTCTCTCTGATAAAGCAATCAAATATGGAAAGCCTGAAGTATTATATGTCTTTGCTCTATGTGAGTAATGCAAGAAATATGTGGACATTATATACATTAAAAATAAAAACATCAAACTGTGAGACACATTCATGTGCATACATACCATCCCCTCATACCAAGGTCAGAGTCTGAGTTATACATTTACTGGTTTGTTTGAATTTGATTATATTTTTCTCAGTGGCGGAACTGAATTTTGAAGTCCCACCGGAGAGCAGAAAGACACATCTTCCTCCTGTCAACAGCCAGATCATCCCAGATGAACTGCTGGTCAGCCTTACCTCCACTGTCTGCAACAAGAGCACACTGGGGCACACTGCACACCATCGACACTGCAAGGTACATTAAAGCCCCATTTATATCTAAGAGGGTTACTTCTCCGTGTCTGAAATCAGTTCACACCAGTGTTCCTATGTTGACTTTGTGTACAGGGTTGTGGAATCAGACGGCCGGATGCAGTCTGGCATCACCCGTTTGGACGCAAGAAATACAAATATTTCCTGGAGCAACCAACGTCCCTGACTGGAGCCGGCAGGTCAGCTAGACTAACAAAACATATGCAACAACATAAAGAATGTCGCATTGCAATTTTAGGTTCTGTCTAAAGTTATAGATAATAAAATAAATGCTCTAGAGGGCAACATTAAATATCTCAATATGTCTTACATTTGGCTTTCTGCAATCTGCAGATGACCCAAGGAGGCTAAATGTGAGTGTTTTTCTTTTTACTTTTTTGTTTCATACAGGGATATTTCGTTCCTGTGTGATGCTATGGTAACCCAGAAGAAGACAACACCCCTTCCACCACTGACTGACAAGAGTGGCATCGGAGACACACAGGTGCGCTGCTTCAGCTGACCTTTTTTTACTTTTTGTCCTTTTAACCCTCTTTGGCAAAAATAAGGAGAATGTAAATTTCCTTTTTTTAATTGATTATGACCTGAGTCTTTTTTCCTAGCGACATATGTGGTATAACACAAAATATGCAAAATCAAAAGAAGTGTTTTACAGGATAACAAATTCAGAAATTCAGGCAGATGTGAAAAACAAACAAGATATTCCCGCTCAACAACCACAGAAATTCATTGTTCAGTTTGCCAAGTGCAAAAGGGGAAAAATACCATGTGAATTTAAACTACAGTATGTCAGTGAAACAGTAAAACATTAACTTGAAAGTTTGTTTAAAAGTTGCTACTTTTGATACTGTTTTCATCTCTAAACTTTACTTTGGCATGTTTTATAAAGAAACATAAAGATTGTTACGTGAAGAAACATAACTAAATTACCTTAGGGAGGAATTTAAATAGATTTTTTTTATATTTAGGTTTTATAGTTGTCTTTAAAAAAATACTGTGAGTTACCGTAATAGTGCTGACTTCAAATTCACATTTATTGTTATTCATCTATACTGTATAGTTTGACGTGATAATCACAGCCACTCTGTATTTCAGAACATAAGTGTCTCAGAAAGTCTGATCCCGGATGAATATCACATTGTGAAAAACAAAGGGCTGCGGAGCCTTGAGCTCTATGAGGAGTGAGTCTGCTTCATTATGTTCGTCTTCTTTATTCATGTGAACTGTTCACCTTCATATTATCATCGTCAAATTGGAATTTAGTTTTCCTGTCAGCACATGTTACTTCTCTTCCTCAGTGCCTTCACAGTGCAGCTGCAGGATGAAGAGCAGAAGCTACGGGTCTTCCCTTCTCTGTGAGTTCATTCATTTTAGTTAATCTAATTTACAGATCAACCATAGTTGAGTTGTCTGCACTGGGAGATGTTGTTGTTTATATTAGTATTAGTACAGCTTAATAGTAGGAAGTAATTGTACTCTTTACCATAAGGTAGGCAAAGTGCTAGTAAGATAAGGGACAGTTGTTGTCAAGGCAAGACCTTAAGTGTGTAGTAATACTGATTCGTGTGTATGTTCTGTGTGTCTAGGAGGCCCAGTGGCAGAGTGGAAGTGGTCCAGCTGATGAAGATGATGGACGACATGCTGGTAAAGGCTGGAGTGGATCAACAGAGTGAGGAGCTGACCGAGATCTCCCAGGTAAGACAGACCGAGAAGCAGAAATTGCACAGGCTGCTCTGTGCCTCTTTGGCTGACACTAGTGCTGTGTTGCAGTCATGTACAGAGAATAATCTGTACTGGTACAATGTTTTACAACTTTTGAAACAACCAAATCCTGCAAAACACCAAGGCGATCCTGTACATATTGAAAAAAAACATACCACTGGTCAAGGTGCCTATGTTCATGAGTTACAAATACTTTGTAGTTTGTACACACCATGTGCAGGGCTGGGGGCTGGGGGCTGCATATAGTCACACACTGCACTGCACACTTGATCTTTTATTAACACTGACATGAGTAACCTCCTTTTGCTCAGTTTTGCTGCTTTTATACAGATTTGGATGTGCATTACTTCCGCCCTCATCAAAAGCACAATATGTAGAGTGTACTGTTATGTGTGAGTGTGTTACTTTGTGTTGGTAACATTCCTGTCATAACCACAACATATTCAGAGATGAGCAATTTGTATATGAAAAACAAGTGTTTACAGATGCATAGCTGTCTATGTATATTAGAAATAGTGCAATGAAATGTCTTACAGATGGAGGGTCTGCTGGAGCTTGTGCAGGTGGAGCAGAACATCTACAACATTGTTTTCCATGAACTGATCAGGCAGGTCAGCGTGAGCTGTTCAGAGAGAGGAGAGCTGCTTGCCAAACTCAGGTTAGCAGACAACAGAACGGCATGTAAATGTCAGACCTCAACACCGGTTGGGGGGACGTTAATTAGCCATATGAGCGTTTGAACCAGTTGAAATCAAATTATGGAAATATGGATTTAAATAAGAACTCATATAAGATGAGGGCAATTCAATTCAACAACAATTCTTCAACTCTATTATCTCAAGTTAATTCTGAAACATATTTTCACAGATAGCTGGGGGAAACCTTCCGGCATTTTTGAAAATCTTTTCCAGTAATAACCCCAGGAAGCCTTTTTCCCAGCAGCTCTCTCATGTTTGTGTGTCCAGGCAGCGCTACCAGTCCTTGCTCGAGCGAATCCCCCGCCTTCTGAAGGCTCTGCATACTGAGACGGTGGCACAGCGGGCTCTGGACCGCCGACTCACCGAGGAGATCTACCACATCAAGACATCCATCCAGAAGCTCAGCACGTAAGTAGATCAGCTGTCAGCCAGCTGGGTCATGGAGAATAAAATAAACTTGTGCTTTTAAGCACTGGAACATGTTTAAAGAGTGATTCTATTTTAAGAGGAAATAATTCATGCAAGAAATGAAAATGATAACACTCATTACAATGCGTGAATATGAGAAATGTGTGTGTGCTCATTTCTCTGTGTATGTGTGTGATTATGGGTGTGAACCTTCTCTGCAGGGAACTGTCCAGAATCAGAGACCATGATGCCCTTGTTTCCCAGCAGGCAGAGAGCGCTCACCGGCAGCTGGCTGGGGCACTTGAGCAGACACACACCAACTCAGAGTCAGTCCCTCACAGGACAGAATTGAACTACTGTGCATTCAAGTCACATTTCATCAAGTTGATTGTGAACCTTATTTATGTGGCAGATACGAGTGATTTATTTCAAGCTAAATTTAATTGCACCTTGAAAAGAAATACTGCTATCAGTGTATTCCCTTTGTGATGTAGACAGTAGGGGTTACTGTATCATTAATTAAGATTTTAGCACAGCGGGATTAAGATTAAGATTTAAGCACGCAGAGCAATACAAAATGTGACCATGTGTCCCTCTCAAATGGTCCATGTGCTCTTCTCAGTGTGGTCCAAGGTTACCACCAGCTGTATGAGCTCCAGAGGGGTCGCCTTGAGGCTCAGCTGCTCCAGATGACTGAGGAGAGAGACTACTGGAGCCAGCTCACCTTTTGCCTCGCCCTCAAGGTGTGTGAGCCATAATATTGATTTTTGTGTCAACTGGACTTACCTTGTATGTTACTTTCATGTGATGGTGGTCCGCTGTTTTGCTGAAAAAAATAATAGATTAACTGACTTTGATTGTTGAATCAGAAAACTATGGCTGACTTTGATGGAGCACAATAACTAGAATTTTTAGGTTGTGAGGGTCAAATTTCTACCCACTGCTTACTAAAATCAAAATCAATTGAAGTCGATCCACACAAGTACAGTACGTTTTTCTGTGCTCTTCAGGTGATCAGTGTGAAGAAGCTGCAGCTGATCAGTCGGCTGCATATCAGCGAGCAGAACTGGTCCAAGACAGCAGAGCACTGCAGCCTTTACGTCACTTCAAAGGTAATAAAGCAGTTCCTGTTTCTCACAGTTTTATATATTGCTCCTGGAATTCAATTGCACTCTGACTATGACAGTGACCATCCTGCTGTAGGACACAGAGGACCTGAATGTCATCATAGAGCTTACTGACTACTGGAAAGAGCAGCTGACTGCTCTTATGTCCCAGCTGAAGAAGACAGAGCATTCTCAGTGCGAACACCTCAGTGCTATCCAGCAAGGCATTACCAAGTGGTTCAACTTCTGCTCCACACAGAACCAGTAAGGACAAGCTAAGATACCAAAGGAGATTATTTAATGTTTAAAAAAGCACCATCAGTTAAAGAAAACTTGGATTTCTGGAAATCTGTAATAACCTAATTATATTATTGAGACTTCACGCCCAGTACAGTGTCAATAATCAGCAATGTCACTGAGAGCAATTTATGGATGAGGAGATTGATTTGTGTGTGAATTCTGCCAAAGATGCTCTTCTTCTATTTCAAGGTGCCCTGACCCAAAATATGAGAAAGCTTCATTGGAAAAGATTCAAGCTGATTTTAAGCAGTGGTCAAGTGTAAGTCAGTCCATTTACTTCCTCTGTGTGTGTGTGTGTGTGTGTGTGCGTGTGTGTGTTTTTCTCAGTGGTGGTCATGGATCTATTTGATGTATCTCATCTTTATCATCAGTCTCATGTGTCTTATTTCTAACAGTAATCTCATTGATATAATTTATTTGATCCGTCCCAACTCTGCCATGTTGGTATCTAATCACATCTAATCACTTCATGTTGCATAATTATCATCACTTGTCACGTTTGATCAGTGTCATCTTTATGATGCTGTCACTAGTCTGCTGTGTCTCACCTCCATCATCTCATCTCTTTCATCTCATCAATCGTGCACTACTGATAATCCGTTACTCATCTGTGTCATCTGTCTAAAATCTTTTTATAATCGAAAATAAATTAACTATGAAAAGTTATCTAGAAAGGTCTTAGCTGAGTGCTGAACACCTGGCTCTGAGCATATTTTTCTGTGTTATAAGGTGGTGTCCATTTTGGCTGTGATGTGCCATGTTCCTCTGTTTTCTCTTTCTCTGCAGACGTTGGCTTGCCAGTGTGAGTGCTACCAAGGTGAGAGGCTGCTTTGCTGCCAGCAGACACTGGGTGAGCTTGGCTGTGTCCAGCAAAAATGGCTGAATATGAGCCTTCAGCTGTTCAGAAGACACCTTTCTCCTGATGGTGAACCCCCTGGAGGCCAGCAGGCTTTAAGAGAGCTTGACAAGGTCCTATCTGAGCTCCTCAAACAGCTGGACACACAAGTCACTGGAGAGACTGGTGAGAGCCGATAGAAGCACAATTTTGAATAGGGTTTGGAGAAATTTTAAATGAGCTAAAAACAGATTTTAAGGCATACAGACAGGTAAGTAAAGCATACACTTTCACTTGGCACTGCCCTAGTTTTTGCTTGAGTGTACTCCAAGTGGATATCTGTAAAGAGAACTGCTGACGGCAGCAAAATCTGGACCTTGGTGAGTGTCACGGCATATGGCCATGACACACACACACACACACACACCCACACACACACACACACACACACACACACTCACAAGCTATACTACAGAATCTTCATAAGTCTATCATATGTTTTACTGTCTCTCATTGTGGGATATAATCTTTGAGATGAGGACTAAAGTGCTGAAACTGATTCCAGCCATGCTGTTTTAGGGATCCACGGACAGATGACGTCACTGCTCGGGTTGATGGAGTCCTGGGTTTCCAAGCTTGCCACAGTGATTGACCGGCCAGAAATGATGTCCGTCTCTGATTGGCTGAGGCTGGAGAAGGCACTGTGCAATTGGCAGAGTTTGTCTGAAGAAGCCTTGCAGAACGTCTGCATTATACAGACAAAGAACAAAATGGACAAAAACAAACCTGACATATTGTACGTTTTTCATTTAGCGGCATTAATAGTTATCCAGAATCAGAAGTCACACGTTATACCTGTCCAGGGTTTAAACCTATTCACTATTCTGTCTCAAAATAATTAGTTAAAGCAATGGATGCAATAAAAACTCATCTCAAAAAGAGATGCTTTATTTTTTAGCATTGGGTAGACAGGTTTGTGGAAAACTGTGAATGTTTTTCGATACAAGAACATTTGTATTCTGTATGTCAATGTATGCATGATTTAATATGCATACTCTAGAAACATGTAACTGATCTGTGACTTATAGTGAGATCAACACAGCAACAAATGTGACCTAATATGCATTTTTCCATGTTGCCTTTTAACCATAAACTTAATCTCTACTTTAATTTTTATTGTCATAATTGGCCATTAACACATTCTGGGAAAAGGCTTTTGTTTGAGTTTGAAAATATGTGGTTTCTTAGAAAATATCTAAGCTTTTATTAACACATTCTATTCGTTGCTTGTGATAAAATTTGATTGAAACAGAGATAGAAAAAAGATTCAACTTAAAGAGAAATCAAGCCAACAACAAATATTGAAATTGAAATACTCCCTAGTCATTCTTTGTTTTTGTTGTGTGCGCTTCTTCAAACAGCACAGAGGCAGAAAAGGTGTCAGACAAAGTGCAGGAGTTCATAACCAACTTATCCAACTTTACTGATGGTGAGAGCCAGAGACTCAGCGAGGAGGTGAGTACCAACCAGGTTCAGGCAAACTGTCAAGGGAGGATTACACACGTTTTGAAAATGCATTTGCATCAAGTGTTCTGGAACAAACACATCAGCTCCGTGAATGTGCTGCTCAGATATTGCATCGGAAATAAATCTGAATGAGAACGAAAATATGCCATTCATATTTCTATTTAGATTTTAAAATGTAAATCTAAATTGATATATCACCATTTTGAGTTGGAAATCTATTCATCTATTTAATCAGTCCTTTTCTCTTTTTCACTTCCAATTCTTCCCTCTTTCTGCCCTTTCCTTCGTACTGTCAGCTTCACATCCTGAGCTCTTTCTGCAGCAATGGCTCTGATCTACGTTTCTCTTCTTCTAGGTACCTACAGCCTTTTCAGTTCTTCATTGTTTTTCTGTGATTTCTGTTTTGTCTTATAACTTATTTGTTGTTAATCTTTTCCAACAATAGCTTGTCTCAAAATCATGCAATTACTGATACTGCTTTTTTGTACTGTTTATCACTGAGCAGCTCTACCAGTGAAGTTGCAGTTTCAATCCCAAGTCCCAGTTCAAATGTTCAGAAGATTTGCCGTAATGTTACAAGGTGCTGTCTTGAGTTTAAGTGTTTCCTCCCCTACCAGGTCAGATCTATTCACATGGCTCAGACCCGCTGGATGTTGGATCTGTTGCTCCTCATGGTACCTGACCATAGTGATGACCAGAACCAAGAACAGGAACACCATTACAATATGAACATCTCACTACAGACACTGGATGAGGATGCCAAGATGCTGGCTGAGAAACTGGACTATTTTTCCAGACACATCACAAGGTACTAGAGTATTTACAGTTGGATCAGATCTTATTAACCAGAGTAACTAACAATTAGTGCTTAGTACAAAAAGTAAACTTTGTTTGAAGTGAGTACTGAATTTTACAGAGTGCGGTGATAACCTCTTTACATACATAACTAACAACACACAGAAATGAAATGATGGCTAAAGTATACTTTAATATTGAAAGTTCCTTTGACACAAGATGAATCAGAAGAGCAGTTTCTCCAGGATTTTCTCATCAAGAAATGTTTGTTTTTTAATCCAGCCCTTGCAAGCTGATTCTGGAAGAACAGGTTCTGCAGAACTCGCATGAAGTTGAGAGTGAAAATGAGATGAATGAGTGCAGAAAGCTGCAGGTAAACAATGTTCTGATGCAGAATGAAACAAACCTTTTTAGGTGTTTTAAATCAAATCAACTGGAAAATGTATCCATAAGAAAAAATGAAATATTTGCACTCTTTTGTCCAAAAATTTGTTCTGCCGAAGGATGCAATTAATCACCCAATGTCATTTTTTACGCAGCACTGTTCTACTCTTTTTTGTACAAACATTATAAAACTCCAAATGAGGTTGCCATAGTGCAGTTACAGACTAGGATAAGGTAATCTAAGCAAACCTACACCTGTGTGTGTTGTGTCCATCTTCAGAGAGAAAGCAATAATTGGGTGGAGACGTGTATAATCCTGCTCTCAGGAGTGAAAGGTGGTCCTGTGGAGCTGCCTGTCAGACTCGCTGACCCCGCCTCCAGCAGTGATGTCCCAGCCTCTCCCTCAGACAGCATGGAGACTCTGGTGAGGAGTCGTTTAAAATACAACGCACTTGATTATACCCTTTTTGTTCAAATTGGATAATGAAAATGAATTGAAAGCCTGTTAATGTTGATTTTTGAAATTTGATGATAGCTTTTACAGGTGAATGAAGAGATTTCAGCAGAGCCTACAGTCGACAGTGAGGTCAAAAATGAGACTGAGGCAGAACTGAGAGAGGTGAGTCATATTAAGTTTATCCAAACATTAAAATAATTCAAATAAAGCATTTATCATTTTCTAGTGAGGTAAACAAAGGAAGAAAAGGCATCATTGCTGTTGATGATGAAGGGAACGCAATCTAGTAGTTAGACTATCTGTTATTTAACCACAGGATCAAGATTGAAGCTCCTGCGTCAGCAAATATCTGCCCTTTCACAAAGCAAGGCACTGAGAACCATTAAGGTTCCACTGTTTGGGTCATCTGTGCTTTTAGTGTGTCTAGAAACCAATCTGTAAACCCCCAATGTCTTTAATGTGAAACGGTACACTTTTTAAGGATTCAAGGTTATATTTTATTTAACGTCATTTACAAAGCACGGTTGTAGAATGAAATTTAGATATAGTAGTTCCCTTTAGGCTACTTTGAAAAACAGAATAAAATATGATTAACGAGTCATAAAAATAAAACGAAATGCTAATTTGTGTGATGAAGTGTTGAGGAAGAATTTAACAGTCTCACAGCCTAAGGGATGAAGCTGTCTTTAAGTCTGGTGGTACAGCAGTGGACGCTTCTCTACCTCTTCCCAGATGTCAGCAGGGTGAACAGGCTGTGGCTGGGGTGGGTGCTGTCTTTCAGTAGCCGTTGGGTTCTGCACAGGCATCTCACCACACCAATATCACTGATGCTGGGTAGCTGAGTACCAATGATCTGTTTTAATCACTTCCTACAGAGTCTTCCTGTCCTGGGCCATGCCGATCCCCTGCCAGTTTGTGATGTATCCAGTCAGGATTTTGTCTATTGCTTCTCTGTTAAAGTTATCAAGAACTTGGCATGGGAATTTTGCTTTCTTAAGTTGCCTTTTTCTTTTGATTAGTGTGTCCCTGAATATGGTATAAATAACTATTTTGTAGGTTGAATGACATTGAGTTAAAATTTTGACCAGTATTGTTTGGTTTCTGTTTATTTTATAATGTGAATTATAATCACTTATAAACATAATGTGCAAAAAATAAGGTATTCAATAACTGTTTCCATATTAATGTTCATGATGATAATGACAAGTGCAGTCATGGTACTCTTGTTTCTCCACAGTGCACTGCTGAAGGATATGAAGCACAACAAGAGGTTTGTCCGGTATTAACAGTTTTAATGAAGTGTACTTTAATAAATTGTAGTCTGCAGTCTGATCTGCAAAAACAAAAAAATATTGGATTGTCTGGAACTGTGAAACTAGACACTTATGGTGAAGGTTATAGAGCTTTGTGTGATAAAAGACACAACATTAAACAAATATGTATTGCTCTGCATTATATTCATTGTTACCTCAGGTCAGGAAATCTTTTGGAGTATTTGGATTTATGTTGAAGACAGAACAGTTTTAAAGAATTAAATAAACTCTTCAAGAATACAGGGGATTTTATAAATGGGTCCTACGTTCATTGTACAGTATTCACTAGACTTGCTAAAAACTATTGTTTTTGTCCTGCAGGGGGAGCTAACGGTTTGTGAGAGCCCAGTGGTGAAGCTGATTGGCTATGATGGAAACATTACGCAAAGAAAGCTGGGAGAGAGCAGTATCCACCTGAGTGGGGTCAGACAGATAAATCACACACTTTTTCAGTGTTAGTTCCAAGCTTTTTACTGTGTATTTAACTGAACAATCTGCCTGTCTGTCTCTGTTAGACTGAGGAGCTGGTTGTGTCTCCAGTGACAGATGAAGCCCAGAAAGCTTTTAGCGATCTGACCACAGTAGGATTACTGCAGCAGGAACTGCAGTAAGTTTCTTATCTTTGAGTGGAACCTTTTTGGGAAACTAGTATGAGAAGCAGTTACTACCATGGCTGAAAATCAATGCTTTAGTGAAAAACACACTTTTACACCTTGAACACTTGGAGTTTATTAGGCAAAATCCCATCAGAAGGGCATATATCTGATTTGTTGTCGAGTTCAGTCACCATCAGCCATATATATCTGTTGAATGTCCACACATCAGCTGTGTTTCTGCGGCTGTTCAGAAATGGAAAAAGGACCTTTATTGACTTGTGTATATGCAAAAAGCATCTAGGTTAGATTTCTCTCCATGTGTTCGTCAGTGATTCAGAGCTGCAAGTCCAGAGTGCCGAGCAGCGAGCCCTGAAGGCTGAAGAAGCCCTACAGGCAGCGTTGGAGAAGATTCAGGACCTAGAAACACAACTGCAGGGTCAGCCCAGTCTGGAGCCCAAAAGTAGTGAAGGTACAGACTAAACTGAAATTCTATAAACTTAGAACAGTTGGAGAGACAGTGACACAGTATTACATTATTTACACATCTTTGTGTTGCAGAGAAAAAGAAAACACCAACACCTTCCCCACTACCAGTTACACCTCCAGCTCCTCCGAAGAAAACCACAGCTGAAGCCAAAACATCAAGCAGCACCAAAAGGACCAAGAAACGGTGATCTGACATGTAATCAGGAGGTGTTACAGCCTTATATGCATTTATGGGACTGTCCAGTTGTCACTTTTAGGATTTTATGTTTATGTATTTTCTCTGCTGCAACACAAGAGGAACTTTTCGCCTGCACTCCAGGAAAGGATGCAAGAAGCATCATTTATCAGCGCTGCCGTCCAAGTATAACATTTCTCCAGTACCAGGAAATGGTCCAATATTCACTCTGCTTATGAGAGTGAGTATTGTGATCTTTATATAATGGCTTGCTGTGATTTTGTTTAACCTTGTGATATGTCTTTGCATATAAGGGCAAATTATTTAAAACAAAATAAAGTTTCTGCAGACATATTACATTTTTAAAAAGTTAGACTTTTTTTTCAAAGCACATTTGCAAACATTTGCTATGAACTCATATTCAACTCAAAATTGTACACAAAATTTTGGATTGAAGATTACTTTCTTTAACATGATCAATATCTCCTAAAACTCTAGCACAAGATGAGAATTACTGCCTCACACTCACTTTCATTAGGCATTCAATAATAATTACTTATTACATTTGAATAATAATAATAATTCACTTGATAGCAGTCTGTCACATCATTGGCGAGTCCGTCTCTGTCATCCCTCCCTCTCCTTCTATAGCAGGAGGAGGAGGGGGTGGTAAGGATGAAAGGTCAGGGGTCACACTGAGGAGATCTGGGGGGAGTGGAAGGACCAGGGCAGGATGGAGGAGACGGAGGGAAGCCCTGAACCCTTCCCATGCATCTCTCTCCCCTTCTGCTGCTTTTGCCTGGAGGAGAGAAGGTTTGAAACACATTTCTGCCGAGAATGCAGAATTAAACTTTGGCAGGACTAAAGACCCATTGTTTTGCAGACTAAACCAAGCCTGGGCTAGAAAAACAGCAAAATTGTTTGAAATGGAAACATAGTGCATTGAGTGTTGCAAGGTGTTGGAACAAAGATTGGCCACTGGCTTTCTTTGCTGTCAGCTGCTGTGTTTACAGTATACTACCACCACAGTAGGATTTGCCTTAATAGTTATACAACAGCTATTTTAAGTATAGTTCAACTTCTTACTTATTCTGCCTATATTCCAAAAGTTTTACAAATAATGCTGAAAATCTGTGAGCCATAAACATTAAAAATGCAAAAAACAAGCATTCAAATATTAAATGATAAACATTAGATTTTTAAAAGCTAGTAAAGTTACTCACTCTGATCTGGTGTTGTCTCTTGGCCTCAGCCTCAGCAGCCAGATTCTGCTGTAACTCCACAGGAAAACTGAGCTCGTCTCTGACAGAAAATCAAACACACGCCTGGTCAGCAGTAAAAGATTGCAGCACCCCACAAATCTCTACATTCCTCGTTGCTGTTTACCTGGAAAAATCACTGCATGCAGAGGAAAAATCCTTTGCACAGAGACAGCGATGCATTTTTCAGAGGCAATGCCACCCTTTTGTAAATCAGCTTATTTTTCTTTTGAGATGATGTTTCAATAATCCTCTTGAATCTCTTTAGCCATTTAAAGTATCAGCTTTTAAAAGCTGGTTTTGCTGTCAGGCCCTCAAAATCAAAGTGCTACCTTGCACTAGCGTTCAACAATAACCCACGGTCACCCAGTGAAGGAGAGGAACCAAGGTCAGTTTACACCCACAGTAACAAACGGTAGACCAGAATCGATTACTGCCACAGGCGCAGCTTAGAAAGGTTCATCCAAAAAAGATAAATTACAACGAATGACCAGTCTTACATGTCTGCTCTCTCCACCTTGATGCCCCAGTGGCAAGCAACAGCGTCCACGCCTGCTTGTATCTTCTGTCCGATGTTCCTCCGGTGCAGCAGGATATGGCTGAATGTGTGTTGGGCGAGAATGTCTCTGATCACTGCCTGGACCAGAGTCTGCAGCACTGTGGTTAGATGAGACAGAGCTGCACTACATAAAGCTACATTCTCTATCTGATAGTAACACACTGCACTCAGCTCTGGCCTCACCAAGTCCTTTGTCACCACCTGGGTACAGACATATGAGGAGAATTTCAGTCAGCAATCTGATGCAATAAAATCCTTCCACTCTGGTAAATTAGGTAAAATAGTTCAGAACACTTGTGTTGTAAACTTCTATGAAGGTACTATAATGGAAGTGGCTGTTGAAGTTTACTAGCCAGTCACAAATAAGTCTGATCCCTTTATGGACTATGAAAGATTTACAATGTACATTCAGAGAAAGCAAAGTGCATATACAGTAAACAGTTCATTCATAATAATTTTTACATATAGAGCTAAATGTGAATATGTTGGTTGTGTTTTTTGCTTATTCTGTACCGTGTGAGGAGGAACCTTCAGCATTTTTAATCGGATGTCGACCTTGTGACACACATCTAGGAGTGGGAGGTAGAAAAGAAGGCCTGGATAGAGGAAGAACAAGGGTTTGACCTAAGGATAGATTTCTAAAATAAACTGTTTTTTTAAATATGTTTCTCTTACTTCTGTGTGATAGGAAACAACATATCTCAGGCTAAAACAAGTTATGGGCTATGTGTGTATGACTATAGCTGAACAATCACACAATTCAAACACTGACACACATGTTCAGAAGTGGTAAGTCAGCAGTTTAGTCAGCAAATCACCACTGACAGATGAGAATAAAAGATTATAGTAATTGGTGACAACCTGGTCCTCTGGGTCTTCCACGTAGTAAGTGACCCAGTCTAAAGATCACAGCTCTCTCATGCTCCCTCACCACCTGTCAATCAAAAAGGATATGAGACATCAGTCAGTCTATATATATATGGAAGACTGGAGTGTCTAATTGATATAACACACAAGTAGGTCAGTTTTTATACAATGTTTTTATATAATAACATACAGTGTAGTCAGAAAGTATTGTTGCAGTGTGACACATTTTTGCTTAAAAAGCCCAGTTTAATGTTAAAAATTCCCAACATTCACTCTTTTCTCCAAATATTTTACGTCTATGGGAGGTGGAAAAGGTCGAAACGACATTTTGACCATTAAGAAAAATGTCTCAGATGAAACTTGAATGACCACCAATGAATGGTTACCAACTTCTTCCATGCCAAATTAGACTTGTTAGTCAAGACAGTCTATTAGATTGTGCTGTAGATCGTACTTTGACGCAGAACCAGATGGACAGAGGAAGGAAGAGGAGAACCAGCACCAAGACGAAGACCATCAGCAGCCACTCAAACACTCCCAGGTTCTTGCGCTTTAGACCTGCAGAGATAAACAGTATTTAGTATAAGGAATCCAACCAAGATACTCAAATGAAATAGAATTGAGAGTAATTTTTGTAATAATTGACCTTATTTGTATCATCACATACATGAATTTACATTACTGGTTATTTTGCTATCTGTAATTTGTTTTTTTTAGAATGTATGTTTCAGAAAATTCCACATACAGAAAAATTACACAACACATAGGAGAAATAAAGACCACTGTTAATATTTCCTCCACTGAATATACAGTGAACCAGGCTTTTCTTGAGGCTTCGACTTACCGTCCTCCTGCTCTGCTGCTTCCAGGAGCCCCAGGTTCTCCTCCTTCACCTCATCCTCTCTCACACTGTCGATGTCCACCACAGTGGATGGCACCTTCATTTCTGTCTCCTGTTCCACTTTCACCTCGTTTGTCTCTGGCTTCTCCTTCTGTAGCCTCTCTTTCCTCACTGGTTGTGCCTCAGGGACCCGGCCTGTCTTCGATGGTCTTTGCCGTTGACTTTGGGAGGCACCAGGGGCTCCCCTCTCCCTCTCCTTCCTGGGTGTCATTCTGGATCTCGGAGGGTGACTGGGGTGGACATCGGAGGACTTCTCCATACTGGCTGGAGGCTCTGCATAGAGGAGCGGCTGTTGGGATGTTTCTGCTTGATGGGTTAGTGGAGGGTTTTCTTTTTAGGTGAAAGCAGAGAAGAGATTTTGTGACTTTCACTGCTGTGAGTTGTTTCTTCTGGCTTCGAGGTCTGTAACTGGAGTTAGTGCTGCTGCCGTCTAAATCAGACCAGCTGTTGGACTGTGGGAGTATGACGGTAGTGGGAGTGCCACTTACCACCCTCTCTGTTTTTCAAATGATTTCAGGTCAGTGAACCTTTGTGATCAGGATATGCAATAGCTGTGGTCAAAGCAGCAAACTAAAATAAAATAAAATGTTAAGATAATAATGTGAAAAACAGAAAAAAGTTCTCATGTGCAGTTCATCTCAAGCAAATAAAGACCATCTCACGTCCTCTTTTTCCAAGATTCAGATTAATATTTTAAAGACATAAAATTGCTTTTATTTCCATTATATACATAGAGCCGTGTACTTTGGTCAACAGTAGTTGTTCTAAACGTATAAATAAACTTGACATGATATTATTCTTTGCTACGTGTTATCCAAAAGTCCTTCATGGGTAAAAAAAAAAAAAAAAAAGGCTCCACTATAAGGTTTTTCATCCTATTTACGCAATCCAATGTTTTTTAGCTGTTACATCTTGGAAGCTCTTGATTCTGTCACAGGAAACTCAAAAATATCCCAATCTTTGACTATAAAATTCTCACATAGAAGCATATCTACTACATAAATGTATACATGGCCCACACATTGGTGGAGCCAGTGGACGTCCTGTAAATCATGTATAGAACAAGCTATTTGAGTGCATGTCATATAAAATATAAAACATGCCGACATATTAAATTAAAATATTTATACCCCTAAATCTCTGTGTTTCTAGGTCCATTATTTTGGATTGTGTTTCTTTCCTGGTAATACCAGTGCCACCCAGAGAGAGTTGTAGTCCACGATTGGGGCAATATGTGTCAGTGGAGCTTAGGGAGTCACAGTGTGTCTTCAATGGGAATGTGCAAACTCAGGGCTCTCCTTTCCCAAGAGCTGATGAAGTTTTTCTCTCTGTTTTTACAGATGACAAACAGTATCCTCCCTAATGTGTCCTTAATTAAACTGAAAATTAATTCTGTCCAAACCCAGGCAGTTGAAAGGATGGCTACTCTACAGTTCTGATACAGTTCCCCTAGTTTGGTGTCAAATGCTGTCAAATTCATCACATTAATTTTGATCAATAAAAAATAGAAATGAATGTAATGATCTATTATAGCCACATTTTAAGTGACAGGCTTTAAGTTCAATAAAAAAAAACACACATACATTTGAAGAAATTGAAGAAAGATTTGGAAATAACAATTTTCTGACTTTGAATGCCACCTTTAGATATTCTTATCCAATGCTTTACGAAATGTCCCACAACAATTATATTATTTTGAGTAATTAAATACCTTCAAATATTAATATATGTGATTTTTTTTTTTTTTTTTTTGCAATTAAATCAGCACATATTTCTGCTACAACCTTAAAGCCTCCATCTCACCCTCTGGTCCTGTAACACAATCTTTAGTGTATTGATTCCTCCTTTGAGCAAACAGTGGATCATCACTGCCACAACAAACGATCTGTGTTCGCGGTGCTGCAACGACAAAGTTACGAGTAAGACAATTTTATCCTACTTAGCGAAGCAGCTAACTTTAAAAGAAATAGCTTTTTTTGTTTTTATTTATTTCAAGCTGTATTTAGCGGAGGTTTTTTTTTTATTCATACGACATAAGATACCGGTTGCTTTGTGGCTTGCTTGTGGCGCTGCTGGCTAACAGGTGTGGCGAGAGCGATATCGTGGGAGGATGTGGCGAAGATATTGAAGATTTTGAGGGGGTAAAAGGTATGTCTGGAATATTTCTGGAACATTTTGGTGTGTATTAAAATGATTTATTTGTTTAAAATGTACGCAGCGACAGCTAGCTAACTCATTTGGGAGTCCACGTTAACGCTGCTTTAACTGTTGAGTCGTGTAATTGGCAGTAATGTTGGCTAGATAGTATTTTTTACCTCCATTTTATGGTTTAAATTAGGTGTTTTACTTCAGGACGTTTTGTTAAAACCTGTAAAATGTCAGGTGGCGTGCTGTTGTGTGTAAAGTGTAAAGACACGTTAACGATTAAAGATGGCCGAAAGAGAAAAGGCTGAATTTGACGCCATCTCCTGACATTTTTTATTTTTTTTGTCCATTTATTTATATTTTAAAAAGATGAGCTGCAAAAGTTCAACCATATGATTTTGTATTGGAACAAAAAAAGGTAACTTTTGGCAGTGAAAAACAATTAATATTCCAGTATTTGTAAGTTTATTTTAACACTGTTGTTACCTGTGAAGTATATTAAATCTGCATTCTGTGTAATGGCCAGCAGGGGGCAGCTCCATTGGCTGCAATAAAAACCAATATCATGCAATCTTATGGAGATCAATCCGTGTATCATTTGTTCTTTTTATATTCAATTGAGAGTCCAGAATCAGAAAATGGAAAAGTTTGTTATTTCCTTATTCTTTTATGAATCTGATCCCAAAAAACAAATAACGGTTCATTTTTTGTACTTTCAATTTATTGCTCAGATCAAAAATAGGAAATGAAATAACGGGCCACGGATCGATTTTGATATTTAATTTGTCAGATTCTTCTTCGTGTGTTGCACTTGGAAGTTTGCCGCAATTTCGCAAAGCCTGAAAAAAACTCAGTCATGCAGTGATTGTACTCTGTATTTTTTGAGTAATTTCGTATCGACACCATATGCTGATTTAATTAAAGACTTATTTGAAACTGAAAAGACACATGTAGAGATTTCTACTACCCTGCAGCAGATGGGTATCCAGCGATGTTCTGAACGTTAGCTTGATTCACTTCTTTAGTTTAACTAACGAGACAATAACTTCCCGGTTCAAACAAAGCGAAAAAATTTAAATATCAAAATCAAAATCGATCCGTGGCCCGTTATTTAATTTCCTATTTTTGATCTGAGCAATAAATTGAAAGTACAAAAAATTAACCGTTATTTGTTTTTTCTCTCAGAACGAATGATACACGGATTAGATACGACCCTACTTTTCACTTGATTCATTATCACTGTAAAACATTTTCTAATGAATTTATCGCTGTTGCAAGTCTTCTTCCATACAGTATGATCTTCATTTTGTAAATTCTGCTACAATTTAGAGTGAAATAGACCATAAAGCAGGGTATGCTACTGGGGTGTCTACCTTGTCGATTGACAAGTCCATCTTGCGCACCCCACAAAACTCAGATCAAACCGGGCATTGCTGATCAAATATAAATCAAGATTCTGTTACTGCGTTGCCTATTTTCCGCCTAAAATCTATTCACAAACATATTTTAGTGTACTGTTTAGCTGTAATACGAGATTGTGTGTGACCAGGCGTGCCGCCATTGTTTCCTGTTGCGGACAAGTCGGAACTGCGCAGCCAATCAACTCGCAGTACGTCACATCCGCTGGCTCCGACAAACTATCATGGCGACGACCATATTGCCAAACTCGAGGCTTCAAAACGGTACTCCACACACCAATGGGTGACACACTTGACTTTCAGGATGTACAGTATGTTTTGTTTCATTGTTCCTCTTGCTGTGTTCTCCAGATGTCAGCAGGCAAGATGAACCAGGAAGAAGTTTTGGCAAAGCTGAAGAAGGATGTTCGTTCCTTACTCATTTCATCCAAGATGGGCTTGGACCCTGAGCAGCTCAGGCGAGACTATATGACCATGTTGGGGCATCCCATCCCCCTGAAACTCCTGGGCTTCAGAAACATCATGGATATGGTGAAAGAGATGCCTGATGTGGTTTCAGTTAACTTCAGGGCAGATGGCAGCACCTTCTTAAAGGGTAAAATCGACTTGTTTGTTTTGAGCATTTATTTAAACACGTGAACAAGTTCTTATACTTCATGATCACACCTTTTATATGTCCGCCATCACAGCTGTTAGTGACGAGTCCACCCGAAACATCGAGGAGCTGGTAGCTTATCAGCGCACTTCTAAGACAGACAGGAAGACCAGGAGGGGAGGTACCAGCTACTTCTCGCCCCGCTACTGTTCCCAGTCCCCATCTTTGGTCCTTCCCAGAAGAGGTCGTGCTCCTCTGGCTCTTCCGGCCCAGCTGAGGGCCCAGCTCCGCTTACTGCTCTCCCAGGTGTGACTTTACCATATCCTGTGTATCATCAGGCCTCTGCGCTTTCGATAGCTGTGGCTGGAGGTGTTATGTTTTCCATCTGTCCAGTTCTCGTGAACGTGATATCTGTGAAACATCTGGAGGGAAATTCATTCAGTCTGACACAAACGTCCACTTGGACTCAAGGATGACCTAATAGAATTTGTTGGTCAAAGGTCAAGGTCACTATGACTTTACAAAACAAGTTTTGGCCATAACTCAAGAATCCATAACCTATGAACATTTGACAACTAAAGTCTAATAGGATAAAATTATGAAGTGATTACATTTTATATCCGAAAGGTCATAACTCAGGAACATAAGAGGAGATTGTGACCATATTTCACATTTAGTCAGATACTGAGTTGGTGCCTCTTGTCTTTGGTGCCCACCTTGAAACTGTTGTGATTGTAAAGATCTTCTGTGCTGCCAAGTTGAAGATGTGTGTGTGTGAAGCATCCACGTTTTAGAATTTGTAGTTTCTTTGCAGAAACATATTACATTTTGAAGCATTGTAGTCCATCACAAGCTCAAAATATACTTAATTCATTTCATTAAATTCCTTCAAAGTCTTCACTGCTTATAAGAGTTTGGACAGACGTGAATGTAAACCTGACTAATTGGTGGAGGCATACAACCACAAGGCAAATAATTCTAGTTTAGCAAACAAACAGTTATTTTAACATTGATTGTTCCTCAACATAGGCATTGTGTTTATCCTCCATAATGAGGTGCACTGTTTGGGTCTGTTGATGTTTTTCAGCTATTTAATTAACAGCTATCGACAACCAGAATCACACTGCCTACGCCAGCCCTCCTTCCCCTTGAAATTGGACAAATATGATGAAAATGAGAGCTTCTTTGAAGAATTTTTTATTTTTTTTGCAATTCACTGTTCAAACACACCCCACTAAATCAGAACAGTACCGTAGAGGCCTGATTGACTGTTTTGTATATGCTTTTTATAGGTCTGTTTTTCTAACAGGATCACGTAGCTATGTTACTGCAAATGTTTTCTTGTTCCAAGTAATGATGTTGCCTCTCTCCCAGGGTCCACTGCGGTTGTCTGACCTGGAGGCGTGCTATCTACGCTGCTTCGGCCACCCGCTGCGTATCCACAATTATGGCTTTTACTCCACTGGAGAGATGCTGGAGGCAGCGGCGGACCTGGTCCTTATCCAGCAGGGCAGGCTGGGCTCAGTTATTTCCCTGAGGGAACATATGCTGCCGAGGCCACTGCTCACACCAGTCAGTTCACTGAAGAGGACTGGACCAGTAAAGTCAGTGGCACCTAGAACTGACAAGTCGGACTCCAAAGGGCCAGAAACCAGAGCTCAGACACCAACACTTCCCCCAGGTGTGTCAGTAATGACAAATTAATACACTGTTGAAACTCCATATATTAAAATTAATTAATTGTGACATTTTTTATATACCTTGGTGATTTTCTTCAACTGAAGTCCCAGTGAAGCAGAGTCCTCTGAGCAAGCCCTCTACTGTGACTACCTTGGGCCCTGTCCATAAAGAGTCAACAACTATCAGTAGCAAGCCAGAGGTGGTTGAGAAGAACCAGGAGGCAAACCCAGAGTTCTGCCAAGAAGGTCGGCTCTTTCAGAAACGTGTTCTCAAGGTTTGTTCTCATTTTAAAGAAGAAAACAAGAGTACCTGGACCTGTAGCTTGTCTTGCTTAGAACGCGACATGAGAATGTGAATTTGAGGGGAAAAAGAGACCATGCACGTTTTTGTTTTTAAGTACAATTATCTATGTTCTTTCCACTTAAATTCTACACCAGCTGGAGGAGGAACTTTGGCATCAAATCCTTGAGAATGGAGTTGCAGGCACCATTAGTCAGGAGCTGAAGGACAAGCTACGAAAGGTCGGACTTGCTGCTACATTATAAGCAGATACTAGTTGACTACAAGCCTCTAATGTGCTTTGCTTTCATGGCAAGAATTTTTGTGGTGCAGAAAATAACCAAGAAACATGGTTACAAGTCTTGTATTGAAATATAATATATCCATGACTCTGCAGGTTGTAGGTCAGAGCACTGGTGGATTATCAGTGCACGATCTTCCTGCTGAGTACAAGGTAAGAAAAAAAACTAATGCAATGCACCTTCATAGTTTCACATGAGAGTTGAGGACTGATTACAAGCAAATTGAACAAATTTGAAGCACTAATTCATTTGAGGAACTGGATTCAGTCTTTCCAGGTCCAGCTAAAGAAAACATCTTCACTGCTGTGGTTTTGTCTGTCACATGCCTGTGCTGCTTTTTTATTTTTTTTGCTCAGAGGCTGTTTGGGGAGGACTTACCACTGCTACAGAGCGGCTTTGTCAGTGTCACCGAACTGGTCAGTGCCATGAGTGACATCTTCCACCTGAAACCTGCAGGGCATGAAGATGGACTGCACTGGATAGTCATGGACATACAGGACAGTGGCATTAAACAATCAGGTTTGTATGTGTTCAGATACCAGCAATCACCCTAGTTACCCTATTAGGTATAATGGCAGGTACTTCATATTTGGAACTATATTACTGTAAGAATTATTTGCTTTCCATCATCAGACTTTGATATTTCACATGGGTAACCACTTGGAATAAGATTGAATGAAAAAACGGACATGGGCCATTAATTTGGTGGTTACAGTCAGTGCTGTCACTGGTTAATGTTGCTGTAAATAAAGCTGTAAATGTTATGAAATGTGTTTTCTTTAATTTTGTAGGGTCCAAGGAGTCTGAGAGTTTTGGTGATGATGTGAAGGCCCCATTTACGAGCTACTTCAGCTGTGGAGAGTCTCCTTGGGAAGGTGAACCAGAAGGAGACGCTGATAATATCACAGCAGATGATGAGAATGAGGTGCTACAGACGAGTAACAATTCCAAGACACATGAAATGGTCAGTCAACTTCTTTTTCATCAGATTATTTTACATTACTATGCAGTCTTTAAGGTTGAGACCTAAATATAAATGTTGTGTTCTGAGAGTATCAAATGGTGTGATGCCAGTGCAAATCATGAATTTTCATTGCACTTAAAAAGTAGGTATCCGTGGCCCCTGTAACACTGCTTTTTATTTGTCTACCTTTTAGATGTCTGAGATCTACCCCGCCCTTCAGGTGCATTGCAGCCCTCAGGTGCCTCTGGACGCCCTGCAGAGTCAACGTCTCAAACAGCCGACACGTCATGGTGCCCGAGAGCTGGTAGAAGTCCTGGTGGAACAGGTGGAGTCGCCTGGATATTTTCACATCCGCTTCAGCGAGACTGAGGAGGCCCGAGCTATGGAGGACCTGATGATTGAGATGAGGTGGTGGACATGTTAGTGGCAGCTTATTCGAAAGATAGTGTACTAACGCTTCCTGTACATATTGTGCTTGCTGCATTTTTTTAGGGAATTACAGAATCAGAATTAAAGAAGTATTAATGTTTCCTAAAAGTGAGGTTCATCATGACCTGAACCAAAATATATTTAGTTGTTTAGCTTGTCCAACATGAGTGGTCTGTTACTCCTCATAGACACAGTAAGCAAAAAGAAAATAAGCTAATTAAGATACCTAACACTCACTGCATGAGTGAGTGGAATATTTTAGAATTACAAAAGTGTCAGTCCTTGGCGCCCGGTTAGCTCAGTAGGTAGAGCTGGCGACCCATGTACCAAGGATGAGTCCTTGCTGCAGCGGCCCAGGGTTCGAGCCCTTTGCTGCGCGTCATCCCCTCTCTGCCCCCCTTTCCTGTCTGTCTTCAGCTGTCACTGTCATAAAGGCAATAAAAGATTCAGTCCTCAATGCAACAAATAATAAAAGAGGGAAAAAAAGATGCTTTTGAAGAGCTCAAATAATTGATATTGAAGTGTCTGGAAGACAGCATGAAACCAAACACTGACAGCCTCTGTAAAGTTTTAGCTGGGACTGATTGATTTTTAATAGAAACGATTTATAAAATCTCAAAACTATGATGTAAAACATCAAAGAATGTAATCATCACTGTCTCAATAGTGCTTCCTGGTGCTTCTGTATAAGAAATGACATTGTGTTTCTTATTTTTTTTATGTCTTCCTCTCCTGTCCTCTCCACTCCAGACGACATTACACCTGTCCTAAGGTGTCGGAGCGCTACCGCCTCCCTGAGCGATTTGTCCGACGGGGTCAGGTCTGCTGTGTGTCACCTAAAGGAATGTGGTTCTACCGGGTGGTGATCCATCAGATCGTCAGCCCCACTCAGGTCGAGGTGTACTATGTCGACTTTGGCGACATCACTGTGGTACAGAGTGCCAACCTCAAGTTCCTCAAGTAGGAGCCTCTCTTGCATATAGCACCAATAGTTGTACTAAGCTGATCAGTGTCTGTGTTTTGCGGAGCTCTCTACAGTGCACCTCTCTTTCTCAGGTCATGCTATTCGGTTCTTCCAGCTCAAGCTGTTCCATCATCACTCTCTGGTATTAAACCCACCACTGTGAGTCTGATAGCCTATCTATTAATATATTCACTGTGTTCCTTCATGCTACTTGCAGCTGCTGACATATTTCCTCTTGTATATATGAATAAATTAAAACTGTCAAGACGCTAGATGTTCTAGATATTCTGTTACCATGGAGTTTTATGAATTTGAGTGTTTGTGGTTTGCCTCTTGCAGGGCAGCTGGACTGATGAGGCCATAGCTTCTTTTCAGAAGCTGTGCTCTGATCGCACCCTGGTGGGCGCTCTGGATTGTTACATTGGAGATGTGCTGCAGCTCTACCTGTGTGACACACACACTGATAATGACATCTACATCCACTCTGCCCTGTTGAGCCTGGGCCACGGGACAGCCTGCAGCAGTGCAGCAGTGAGCCGACTCTGCCTGCAGCAGACGCACAACTCATTTGTACAATGGTCATGATACTAGATTCTGATTGGCTCTTATTTAGGTTATTTATGAATAATTCCCAACTATGGGTCAGTCTGACTACAGACAAAGGTGTATGTGGCCATGGTATAGTAGAATTTTGAAATACAGTTTATATATTCATACTTGATCTAAATAACTTAACTTTCCCTTAGCTTTGTGTCCCAGTCAACCCAGTGAGTCTCTACCTGGGAGAGGGAATGATTGACCTGCCAGAGGTCGAAGAGGAGACCACTTCTTCCCCCAAGCCTGCACACATGCCGGAACAGTCCATGTCAGCTTCACTGAAGGTACTCCAGGCATACACACACAGTGTTTCCCACAACATGAGCATTAGTGTAATAATATATTACTTATTCCACTATTTAACTCTCACGGCTCAAACTACTTAATCACGTCTCCTTTTTCCTTCAGTAACTTTACTCTTTTCCATACAAGCCATGCACACTGCTACTCTCTCTCACACACTCACACACACACACACACACACACACACACACACACACACACACACACACACACACACACACACACACGGCTTGCCTCGTCTCTTTCTGTATGTGTCTCTGTTGACTTTCTTCAGCAGTAACTTTTATAAAGTTGCCCAAAAAGCACAGCTCATGTTTTCACCCGCGACTCAGTAGGTGAGCCGGGTGTAGGAGGCTCGTTGTTAATGGCGTAGACTATGATAACAATCAAAAACAACGTGGTAACTAATGATGTCGGCAACAGCTAATGTGTTCACTGCTGTCCCCTCTTGCTTTATCTGATTCACACTGGTAAAGTAAACACTGTGCCTGTGTTTCTCTGCAGAGCAGTGTGACTGTACAGGAGGGGCAGAGTGAGGGGAGATTGTCCACTAGTTAATTGATCGCCGATACTTGTACTGTGAATGAGAGATGCTTTGCTGAAGCAATGGCATCAAACCAATCTTAGAGAGCAATGCAAAAATATTTTTGGTTCGTTATGAAACTATGGTTCGGGGGAATTGCATGTTCCATGTAAAAAATATTTGGTTTCAGTACAGCCAAACAAAACCATTAATGTTCGTACTGTGTTATACTGTATTAGTTTGTGGTGGATTTGCAGCTTTGTGTCTCTATTGTTTCTTATCTATGAGTGCACTCTCTTTTTCTCTTCTCTTCCTCCCTCTCATGGTTTCTCTTTCTCAACCAATCTTTTAATGTTGCTGTAAAGCTTTTATTCTCCACTGTCCATAGCTCTTATCTTACCAGCCATACTGTCAGTGCTTCCACACACACACACACACACACACACACACACACACACACACACACACACACACACACACAGACACAGACACACAAACAGTGTACACCACAACCACTTAACCACTTGCAGAAAGGGGGGTTGCAGTCCAATGCTACTTAATGTATAGTCAGTCACACTGTTCAGAAGGTCACAGCTTGTTGTTGACCAATAAATAAGATGACAGCCAATCAGTGGGCTGTTTAATGGATATTGGATTATAAGATTGCTACTCTCTTATTTTAATGAGTGGATGGTTGTTAAACTTAGCATATAGGAAAGGAGATTGTGCAATGTTACTGTCTATGACTGCTTTAAAATATATTTTAATTTATTTACATATGGATTGGATGTGAAAGGCAAATAAATAACTGAATAAGGCAGTTTGCACAATTTATAACTTACCTCAGAAAAAGAAGCATTTTTTAATTTTAAAAGAAAATATATTTTACAGAAATAATTTGTCTTGAATCTCATTTTATTCAAATAAATTGTGGTCAAATTGTATTATAATTGTATCATAAATTGTATTGATTTCATGAGTTGAGACCACAGCAATAGCTCCACTGCACTTGAGCTTAAGAAATGCTTGGTGAAAAGAAGCTTGTGTGGATGCTTCTGAGCTACTTAATCAATAACAGCTGAGATGCTGAAGAGCTATTTGATTTTGAAAACAGAAACACCATCACACTACTGAGAAATGTAATTAAACTAGTAACGTTGCCACTTGTAGTACCGATACTGCCCAACTGCAAATGTGCAATACAACATACAATTACAGGATGTATGTTGGTTTATGAACAGATTAATTGATGTACAGTGAATACATAAATACTGAACACCACTATACAGTTACATGTGTTAATTAAAAATGAATCGGAAGGAAACAGGAGATTTCTTGGTGTCTCAGGTTGAAGAGGAAGAGATGCCCGGCCTGGAATTTATTAAGGAAATTGAGGTCCGCCATCGCCCTCAGGTATGACCCCCTGACCACTAACCTTGTCCTCATCTACACCACCACTGCCTTCAGTCAGCATATCAGCGAAACTTGGATGGATGAGTGCTGTCATGTGGACAATTTGTTTTTATATTTTACAAATAGAACAGTATAAACAATCACCACTTAAGTCTTCTTTATTGCTTTGTCTTTTTCAGAGTAAGGACACCAATCTGTTCATTGCTCTGCTAGATGAACAAACTCTCAACTGTAGTGAATTGGGCTCGGCCTGGACCGACAAATCGCCTCCTGCCAACCCTTCCAGTCCCACCTCCAGCCCTCTTGCCCCTCCAGATTTGATCCAGTTGAAAACAACCCCCGGTTACTGTAAAGTAAGTGAGAAGACATCAGTGGTGTTTGTTTTTATCTCTGTAGATTTATGTTTTTTTGTAACCTTTTATGTGATAGTTGTTTTGTGTCCATTAAATAAACTTTACTCTGTTCTCAGGCACTGAGCACGTCTCCTCCACCAGCTCCATCCAGCATTAATTCCAGCTCCTGGTTTCCGACACCAGAAGAGGAGCTGCATTGGCCCAGGCTCGCTGCCCCCTCGTACATCACGCCACCTCCGATCCTGAGGACGCTGAGCCTCCACACCCCTGACTTGGGCCAGGGTACATACACATGCAGTGAGAGAAGTACACAATGAATAGAGAAGAATTAAGTCTGGTAAGGTGTTAAGAAGAATTAAGTCTGGTAAGGTGTTAAGATTCAAAGTGGGTTACTGCAACAGATTCATATAAATAAATAGTTTGCCTCTTTGATGTAGAGGGACAGGTCAGTTTCATCTGTATGAAGCTTTTTCGGCATTGTCAGCATTCTGTCCTGTAGATCATAGATCATGTTAACCAGAATGCTTTGTTACATAGTGAAAATATAAACATTTGATTTTTACAAGTCATCACATAGACCTTTAATCATTTCTAAGATAATTATCATTTCCTTCAAATTGTAAAATGAGAACACCGTGGAACAAGTCCTAATGTACTGTGGTGGCAGTTTTTGTAATAAAGCATACAAAGTATGATCTTGTCTTTCTTTAAAGTTTTATTCAAGTCATCCATGAATGGTCTCAACGCAACCGTCACACACACTCTTATGTGAAACTCCGAAAGAGCTCAGATTGGGAGAAGCAGTATGGTTTTATCTCTGTTTGGCTTGTCTCTCTTGCTCACACACACTAATTTTCTAATGGGATTATACAATGACCTTCATTAACCTGCACATGTACAGAGAGAGAGAGAGAGAGAGAAGCCTTCAATGAAATTAGACTGTGTCCATGGACTCAGAGAGGACATATTGATTTCCATCTTGCTGCATACAGTGGTGGATGTACCTGCACTGAGAACCTGACACAGATTCAATTAGACCTGTTACCAGAGCTATTTGACCCTACAAGCTGCTTTCATTGCATTGCATTTGTCCTGATATTGATACACTCCTGCGTGCTCCACCATGCTTCCACTTGCACAGTGTAAATGAAAAAAGCAAAACAAAGTGGGTCAAGGCAGATTTATCTACAGATCGCTTTTTGTTAACTAGTGTTACAAAGTGCTTTATACAGATGCACAGACACGGATGAAAACATAGGATAGAAACAAGAATTGGCACATGACAGATTTGAAGATATGGTGTTTGAGCGCAGCGTGTGTGTGTGTTGAGAAAATGTGTGACTACATACAGCACAATTGCTGACAATATTGCCTGTGGTAAATATCAATTCTTCCCCTTCACACTTGCATCCCCTCTCTGTATTTAGTCTCCTAGCATGCCCTGAAACTTGTATACCGCATTTCCTCAGAAACCTGACATTGCAGAAATTTGACTCAAATATAAAAAAGATCTACTCAATCACTTGCAAATGCCAAGTCGACACATCCCTTGTCGCGATTCTCTTGTATCTCTCTTGGATGAACCGACAGCTGGATTGTCCGCTCAGCATATTTGTAACATACGAAAGGGTCAGCTTGTTGTTGAGCTGCTGTGGAGACAAAACTGACAATGACCATTTCCAGGGTTTTATTGATTTAGTGAAGTTTTTTTTTTTATTATGGAAAATCTTGAAAGTTTAAACATTAATTTAACAGCAGCTGAGAATCATGCTTTTACTGACCTCCTGTGGTTAATCCCTTACTTAACATTTCCTTTATGTATAACTGTTCATACAGCTGTGCCATGGCTTTCAGTTCAGTAGTACAATCAGTTTAGTACAAAACTTACCTATAGGAGTGCTACACCTGCACCTCAGCAGCTACTTATTAACAACTGACTTATTAGATTATTGATTGATTGATACTGTGGCTTTCGCAGTCTGTTAATATGCTTTTTAATGAGGAAATATCACACTGTGAATCGCAGTGAGGCCTCCACTACTAAAAGCTCCTGATTTATTCATTGTATTGTAATTTTAGTACAGTCATGTTAAAAAATCTATTAATGCATGTACTGAACATCTCTAATAATAATAGTAATGTCTTTATATTGTTAATAATCGTGTTTTATTCTGTCGTCCATGTGAACCGCTCCATCTGTGAAAGTCAGGCATCCTGTTTCCTCTGTTTGGGGCCAGGTAGGTCGTGCCTACTACATCCATCCCAAACCAAATCCCAACCCAACCACGTGAATGAGTCAAAACACAAACAAAGGAATATTTATTCTTTAATAACTACACGACTGATAAAATATCTTGATGCTCAGTGATAATCCAGTTAAGGAATCATTTTGTCAGCAAGCACTCAAGTGATGTACTGACTTGTAAAAGGTGCTTAAAGCATTTTTAGAAGTTCATTTTCATGTCGTTTTTAATCTATTCTTTATAAGTTAAGTTGTATGTTACCGCTCTGTTTGTTTGATATCACTGTAATTGTAGTACTGTTAAATCTTGGAAGACAGTGAAAGTGGATGGCTGTTGTGATGGCCTTTTTGATTTAAAATACTTTTTTTCTTTGTATGCAGCGTTTTATTGTTTTCTCAGAAGGCATCAAGATGTCTGATACGTTAATCAGACATAAATATTGCTGTTCTGGACAGGGTTAAAACATTTCAAAATGTTGTTAACATTATAGAAACAAGTCAAATAAGTTTTATATTTTGTCATTTGATTCTTAATGGAGTTTTTTTTCCCCCCCACCGGTTTTTCTTTTTCACTTCAGTGGTCCAATGTCTGACATAAATGTGTATTCAATTCTAAACACAATGCTTTACACAAAGACAAAGCCTTTTAGCTTTATTCTGTAGAGCATGAAATATTTTTTAATTCCTTTTAAGTAGTGTGCAGGAAAATGCTCAGCCAGAATATGTTCATGAAATAACAGAATATAAAGAATAGAATAGAGTACATTGTTAATATAATCCAAATAATGTAAATGATACAAACATAAGTTGTACACTTCAGAAGTCATGTTTTCATCAGCAGGTGCTGTGTGGGAACCCCATTGTTTATTTTTGTTGTAAAAAACCTTACATATTGCTTTAAAAAGTAGTAGTGTAAACATGGCTTCATGTTAATACTTATTCGTACATCTAATATGCATTTGATATTTTGTCTTACTTGCTGCCAGTTTGTCCCGATGGCCACTTGTGATATTGCAACATAGAAATCCCCTGCGACCAAAATACATTTTACCCTTAAACCACAATTATAAAAGAGACATTCTGTAAAACCTTTGATTAGACACCTCAAACAGCAAACAAGGTCTATCATTAACTCTTTGTATTATTATTCACTAATGCGCATGTGGAGTGGGTTGGAAGTTGGACAGCTGGAAGACTGTTTTGTATATGCCAAGCAGTCACAAGCCAATCTCTAAATGCTTTGCTCGGTAGACTGAGGACAATCTCTCTCTCGCTTTTGTTGCTAAACTGGTGGAAACAATTAGAGTTAAAAGAAAACAACCCTACATTGCAGAACTAATCCAAAGCATTAGGGTGGTGACATGCAGAAGATGTGGGCTTGTAAACACTGTTGTACCATATAACCTTGCTTGGGACATACGTTTTCAATGTTTTAAAAAACAAAGTGAGTTGCTTTATCTTCACTTTCACTGCAGGAGTACATCCGTGGTTAGTATGCAAACATTATCGTGCAGCACAAAGCAGCATTGTAACTGAGTACAGCTACACAGAGCCACTGGTTGAATCCCTCAGTGTACATTTTGCTACTAAAACAGATTTAAATTCTGTATTTATCTTCAAATTCAGTGTGTGACCTTTAAATTTAATTAAAAAAGAAACTAATTCTTTCAGATAAGAGGATTGTCCTGTCAGTTCTGTGATTTCAGTGTTGTTGGTCCAGTGATTCTGAAGCTTTAGTGCCTTTCCTCTTCCCTGGCTCTACTTTCCTCATCAGGACAATGTCAGCATGACCTTCAGCAAGACAGTTAATTAATACTTTGCCTCATCCTGCTAAGTCATTAAAACTTATTTTGATTTATACAAATCTGTTTTCCTGCATTTGACTTGCGTGACTTTGCTCTTCCAATGAGGCAGCATGCAAACAGCTGCACCTTCAGACCCTGTCTCAGAGGGAATATGAATGAATGAAGAGACCAGATCAGTGCGCAGGAACAATGAATAAAACAAAAGACAATCTTCAAACTCAATGACGCTCATTACCGAGAGTCAAGGCACTTTACTGGGCAGAGCTGAAAGGGAGCTAAAATGTGTTTGTGTTATTGAGCAGAGCTGCCCACACAACCCAATATAGATTCAAAGCCTCTCCACAAGTCCAAAACCTTCCTCCTTCTTTTTGTTTTCCAACAGGAATAAAATGAATAATGTGTGTCCTTCTGAAACCTATGGAGAGGATAGACCTTGAAACTAGAGCTCAGGTACCAAAATGTGCTCACATTTATAAAGGTTAAGGCAGAATGTGGATTATTGGTCTGCATCCTGCTGGGCTCCCTGACCTTTACTGCCTCAGCCAATTAGCTTTTTAAAAGGCTCCTGATGAGAATAGCTCCGCCTCTCACTCTAATACAGCAAGGCAATGAAGAACATTAACCTACATACTGTACACACACACACACACACACACACACACACACACACACACACACAACACACACACTCTTCCTACAGAGATGTACAATGACACAGTGTAACCCACTTTTACATACACAATACATACAAATATACACACACCTGACTTTGTTTTTCTACTTAAACTTATCTCATGACAATCAAACTGTACACCCACTCTTGCTTTTTAGGACAAAAACTAAATGACAAACACAGGTCTTCATGCACGCAACAATGACAATGCTTTAACAACACAATCTCTCTCTCTCTCTCTCTCTCTCTCTCTCACACACACACACACACACACACACACACACAATCACACACAGATGTTGCAACACAAAGACAGCAAAAAGCTTTTACAAAAGCACACACATTGCAAGGCATTGTATGGTACAGGCTCCATTAGTGTGTGTGTGTGTGTGTGTGTGTGTGTGTGTGTGTGTGTGTGTGTGTGTGTGTTTGGAGGAGGGAGAGGGTTGGTAACGCAGACGCCCAGTAAACCTTATTAAGGAGGAGAGTAATGTGGTTGCAGCTGATTAGCAGCCAGCAGCAGCAGAGCATCAGTGTGCTGAATGAAGCATGAAGATCCGATGGCTCTGATTTACAGTCGAGACCCTAAACCAGACTGTCAAACGAAGACTGGCTTTGTTT